CCCCGGACCCCCCTCTAACCCAAACCCTAACCGTCGGGCGGGGGGGAGGGGGGGTGCAATGCTTGGTGCAAGGGCACTGTGGCAAGCACTCACCGGCACCGGTGGGGGTGATCGGGGACGGGCGGGAAATGTGGCACGACACAGGTCGAACTAGTGGAAGTCGGATACCGGGCCACCTAACGCCGAGTTCCACTTCCACTATTTTGGTAATGCCTCCTATAGAGGGCCTAGACGATATGGATATAGACACCCTCGAAGTATCGTTTGATTCTCCGATATAGGCAAGAAGCCCCACGAATCTGGATACCCTCGATACTGCATTCGCATCTGTGAGACCATTCATCTGTCAAAATTTCAGGTTTCACGGGCTACAGGACGTCTCTCCTGTTGCGCAGCCCGTTCCAGAACGTACGGAGCATGCAACATCGGCCAGTAATTCTTCGCTCCGTTTGTCAACTTTCCTGAGCGCCTTCTCATGCATAACGCGCATTAGCATGATGCGCCAGCCATTGTCTCGAGAGCCTGCCTTGTACAGCTTCCACAGCCACGATCAGTGGTGCTGTCAATACAATCTGCCACTGCATTGACCTCATTCCTAGTCACAGCATCCGGTTAATAGACCTCCATTGATCAGAAAGAGCGAAGTAGAACTTCCAGCATGTCTGACACCATCCTATCCACCGACACTACTATAGTGTACATGGCAGTATGAAGGACAGCGGGTGGCAAGCTGCCCAGATTCTAACGGCATTGTTGTTTGGGATCTGTACGTCTGCACAAGAGTCGTGCGCCTCACTAATGCCCCACGAAAATGCATACTCCAGTATTCCTTACCGTCGTTGGTGTGCTATTTTTCTGCAGCCACCGGTACAATCAGCGCAGACATCTGCTGAGGAAAACGGGTGATACCTCATGGATTGGTGCGCTCCTAGTCCGCGACCTATGCCCATGAATATTCTGACAGGAGGTCAGATTGCATGAAGAGACCTTTCCGTTTGGTCGGAATCTTGTTGCGTCCCCGTGAGCTAGACGCTGAAGGCGCGCACGCTGAAAGCGAGGGACGAAACGTCCATCGCATGAATACCTTCCCATCTCCGACACTGAGTCGTACATCTACCTTTGATCAGCGCTTACCTTCCTACACCCCACGCACCCCGGCCACAGCACCCATTCCAGGGGAATCGCAGGGGTGTTTGAAGCCGAGTCCGACGAGGCTCGACTCGGCCCGGGATGAGAATGACCGCACTGGGGCTGTATTGGACCTTCAGACATCAGCTCCGCCTGGTTCACGTCCCATAGTATACGATTGTACATCTTACTTCTCTATTCCTGTGATCAATGATCAAGGCCCACCGACGCTCGTTATGGATACACACGCGTAAACTAGGCTGCGCTACTGCGTCGGAGCTTCCCGGAACCCATATCGGAAGTCAACGTCCACTGGTCCGACTGATTCTTGCATCGCGGTATGAAAAATGAAGCGATCCCTCTGGCTAAGTACGCGTTTGATGCTATTTTTCGAACTTCGAAGTCCACAAGATGGTAGATGCACACCGGATGGAACGCTTCGGCCTAGAAGGATGGCTATACACTGCTAATTCGAACGGGTGATGATGATGAACGTTAAACGACGGACGTGCAAATCCTTTTCCTCACACGCTTGTCAGTTTCCCTTTGTCCTAGTCCCTGTCCCGGCAAAGTACTATTGATCCTTTCCAGATTCCTCGCCATGGAGCCTATTTGCGTCGGAGGCATCAGGTACTGATGCTGGCGCCGGTATATCTCCAAGCTCCGCGGTATTCGATTTGAGTGCTTTGACGCTCAGCACGGCAGAGAAACCGCCTGCCCTACCGTATACTGAGCTAATCTCGCTGGGGACTCGCGGGAACATCCGGGATAGTCTTTGCTTTTCACCGTTCAATCGGCGGTGTTCAGAAATGCTTTGGTTTGCTGTGCGCGGAATTCGCAGCCACCCAGCGCTATTGCCTAGCGTCTCTAGAAGCGCTCGGTTGACGTCCCTGGTTTGTCTTCTCCCAGTCTCTTCCTGCGTCATGGTCTTCAGTATGCCGACTTTTCCGTCCGCGGTGGGCCTTGTAAACTAAATGAAAGCTGGTAAACCACATGCTCTGTAGAAGCTGTCCACTTGCTGTGAGCTTCGTGATTATATATCTTCCCCCCTGCTCTCGCAGACCCTCTTCTTCACCACGATGCCAATAACAGCGCTAGCCCTGGCAGAGATTGCCGCCGCCATGCCACTCCGCAGGGAAAGTGATTCCCAGAACCAGAGAGCGCTCGAGATATCGCCCAAGGAAAGTGTTGTAGGATGGATCGTGTCCGGCGCGGTGGTCTTCGGTGGTGGGCGAGTCCACTACGCTCTCTTGCCCCCGCCTGACGATATCGTTTAGTCATACTCATCGGCTTTGCCATCATTTACTGTCTCGGGCTACCTATCTGCTGCCCCACGGAGGCTCCAGAGGATACGAACAGCATGACAGGTATCAATGAAGGTATTTTGATAGCATTTCCTCGTGCCCTGTGCCCGATGGAAGTGGACTAACGCAGCCATATGCAGGCCAAACGCGGACGGATGTTCTCCAATTGTGTGCGATCGCCAATTCAGAAGATGCTCCCGCCCCTCCGTATGACCCGAACTCTCCGCCCGAATATGAGCTCAGCATGATCACGGAGATGGATATCACTGAGGCCGGGGACGGCTCCTCGCACCAAGGGAACGGAAATCAAGGACGTCGCAGTCAGTTACATTTCATGTCATGACGGTAGTAAGACTGAGCTCTTCCTTTCTCAGGTCGTTCTCCGTCTATCGCCCTGCCTGGTCTGCAGGGCAGGGATGCCCCTGAATAGTACCGCCCTCCGCGTCGCTCCTGACGAGACAATCGTGAACGGCCACCGAGTTTATTTGCTCTAGCGGCATCCAGCGATGGGACTCTATCGGCCGGTATACTTGTAATAAGCCCATAGCAGCCTTCACCCCGCAGAATCCCGCCGACTACTTCAAGGTCTGGGAGTTCATGGTCTAATTGCTGATCACACTGCTCTTGCGACACCTCTATTTGTCATGCGATGAACAGTCGAAGTGCCCTTATCTTTTTGAATATCTTTCGTTTGAGCTCCCTGTATTCTATCCGGACACCCATCGTTGATTTCATATATTACATCTAGTGGGGGGCTCTGCGCAAAGGAACTGTTTAACATCTGTGTTGATTCATTCTCCGAATATCTGGATCTGGCTAATGCGAGATCGTTAGGTAGTTATAGAGCGAGGAGTTACGATATATATTGCTTGTATACGGAATGAATCTCGAGAGTCGAGACGTAGACCGATTGGCAAGAGGTGAGCAACGTTCAACATCCGGCCACATCCCGTAGTCCTTGCAGCCGAGCATATCACACATCGTCCGAGGAAAATGCAGAGAATAAAATTAACTCGAATTATAATGAGCGGATGTGCACTGGTAGCAAGTATAGGAACGTGACAGCGATAAGTCCAGAATGCAGGCTCTGAAAGAATACATATGCAAGCTCGTCTCCTAGTAGTCCGTACGCGGGTCTGCGTCTCGAAAGTCCAGATCGAAGAAAATATACGCCTGATGAACTTCAGCGATAGCCTGAAATCACACAGAATTTTGCGGCAGCTCAATCGGACAGGGTGCATCCGTTATCTGTGTTGAGGCTGTTGGGTGCGACGCGAGGCCGAAGATGTTCATGTCGAGGACGAGGCGGAATTTCAACCCTGGCCGCGTGCCGTTGGCATAGAGAGCGGTGTTTTTGCACGCGTTGTACCAATTATTCCCTACGTACCGCTAAGCGAAACGAAGTGGCAAAAGTATAGGACGGAGCGTGCTTACATGTGATGTCGGAGTCGTTAGTCGCGACATACGTGAAATTCATCGGCAGCTTGATCTCGGGGAACGCCTTTGCTGGCACAGTCGTGTGCCCCAAGCTCCCGGTGCCGACCAGCATGCCCGTGTCCAGGTCGAACACCTGCCCGCTGAGCTTCGTAAACGTCAGCGGCAGGAAATTGCTGCCCGTGTTCGCTTGAAGGTCAACGAGCGAGGGGAATGAGAAGTTTGCGGGCGCGCGCGAGAAGATGGTGGGCACGGTCTCGTTGAAGGGCGAGGTGGCGTTGAGGAGGGGTTCGTCGGAGTTGAAAGCAAAGGAGGGGACACGGGGGATGGTGAATGCAAGCACAAGAGCGATGCTAGCAAGCCGTCACGTCAGGCGGGAGCACAAGGCAGATGGATGGGAGCGACGCACGCGCAACATAGCCCGAACATAAAGAACGCAGTGAACCGGCGCGTGAAGTAGGGCCCGCAGAGCCCCCGCTCGCCGCGGTTCCAGTCTTTCCAAAACTGCTTTCTGCTCTCCGCCTTCCTTTCGCGCTTGCCGGTCTTCGTCATCGCCTTCAGCTCGTCCTTCTTCCATTCCGGACCGAGTGCGGGTACGGTGACCATCTCCACAGGTCCGTTTGTGGCAGGCGTGGCGAGATCCTCCTCGTACTTTGGCGTGGAGGCGGGTATCTCCCGGTAGCTAAGGCAGGGTTAACGTCCATTGTAACCAAGCAAGCATGGTGACCTCGTACCCTGAGCTATTGTTGCTAACAAATGCCGCGCTGTACCGCGGGCCCGCATTGTTAAAGTCTGCGTACACATCCCAGCTATCAGCTGGCCCTGCCAACGCCTCCTCCTCGTCGTGCAATCCGCCCTTCACGGGCTCCTCCCTCCCGGGATGGAAATACGAGCTGCGATTGTATCCGGCACTGGGCGTAGGCCGAGCACCGTAGTTTGGGTTGAAGAACGACGACGAGGAGTCCCGGCGTGCGCGCTCCTGGCCTGGCGCTGGGAAGTCCGCGTTCAGGGCGTCCACGCTCCGCCGCCCGGGAGCGCCGTAGAACGAGGAAACTGCGGATTTACGGTCGAAGTCCATATTCGAGACCTCAGAGTGAACGTCGTCGTCGCTGCTGCCGACGAAGGGAAAGCTCGAAGCCCTGTGCTCGCCGCGTGAGTTACAGAAAGGTCCAGACGAAGGTGGCTGAGAGCGGTTTCGCCTCATGAAGTATGTTGTTCTCACGTTTGTTGGCGTCACTCGGAATTGGGCTTCGTCTTGTTTCTCCGTCTTCCGTCATTCGCGAATGTCTGCTGCTCTGGTTGAAAGCACTGGATATAGTTGACCTGCGAGCGCCGTTATAACTTGCCGTTTGCTGGTAGCATAACTCGGTTTGCGGTTCCAGGCAGGATGACTTCGAGTCGGTTTCTTCTGCCCATTACACTCTGCGGCTCGAGTGGACAGCAAAGCTCGTCGACACCTAGCTCTGTGGATATTATTGAGACATCCTGCTCTCGTGCTAACCCGACTTGCGTAGTTTCCTGGAGTCTCGACTCTCGAAACGGAGAAGTCTCATATAAAGATAATGACAGGGGACAGGACGTAGCAGGCGTTGCTTTGGGATGTGCAGACGGCACAGTCTACATCTTCCATGCTGCAAGTCGGCCAGAAAAGCATCGCTCCCAAGAGCCTAACGAGAGCCAGTTCGGCAGTGCCAAGGTCTCTCTGTCTCTCAGACCCTCAAGTCCAACAAGACGCTCTAAACTAGCTCAGTCAAAGTCCCGCTCGACTTCACCTTCGTCTGTAACCTCAGGTCTGGCTCCCTTCTCTGTCTCCTCCCGCTCTCGAATTGTCTCCGGCCTCTCTTTGGAACAAGCAGAAGCGCCCAAGAACTACGTCGACTTCGAAGAGGAGCCCGAGAAGCTCAAAGACATGCTCAAAGGCAAAGGTCCCAAGGAGAAGTCGACTGCTCCTGAAGGCCCGCCTTCCCAATCTCCGTCTCGCTTACTGCGCTCACCGTGGCATGTTTCATCTACTCTGAGCAGCTCGCTTTCTACGTCCAGATCGATGTCGCGCGCGCCTTCACCTACGCTTTCCACTGCCGATGCCACCCCTCCTCCGGCGTCATCTGTCATGTCCCTAAAACTTCACATCTGTCCTCAGCGCTTCGGGGAGGGACATGCGGTATCATCTGTGGAAATCATACATGATAGTCAGGAGCTCCTTTGCCTCCAGGAATCAGGGTGAATCATGACCTTCCGGCTGAAGTGATCGCTCATATGTATAACAGCTTCCTAGATATCTGTCGGTACACTCCCTGCAGGACGGTTCTTGTACGGGTACATTGCAGATTGAAGATGAGCATTCGCTTGCCCCGCCGGATGGTATCAAGCCCCATGACATGTCGTACCACGTCTGGAGTTGGAAACGGATGCAGGTGATTACTCACGGAGAGGTGCGGGGCCTTTGCACATCTACCACGGACATGTTAATAATCACGAGTGGTTATGTATATGTTCCTTATAAAACCACTGGAACAATCCCGTAGAAAACCCTTGTACTAGTTTGCGCGAACGATCCTACGACCGCCGCAGCTGCTCCTTCGGTCCCCGGGGATTACCATTCGTCTCAGGACGACGTATCGGAAGTGACCCGCCTTGCTATCTTTGAATTGAGGCGATTGCATGAGCATGAACGCTTTAACACGCCCGTCCTTGAGAAAGTAGGCGAGTGGTGTGTGGACGGGCCTTTATGTGGCCACAGGCTGTGCGAGACAGGATCTGAAGGTGCATACAGCCAATATCGCCCCCGAGAGCTGACAATACTAAATGGTTCTACTACCAGATGACCTGGCGTTGCTCCACATAACCCCTTCGCGTCACCTCGTCATGCGCTCGCTGCGCCTCTCATCTCCAGCGCCAAATTCGCTGCATGCCTCGCTAGCCGAGAACGAGAGCAGCACTAACAACAGCCTCACCTCTCTGCCCCTGCCGAATCCCTTCAAAGCTCTGAAAATCCGTTCGTCGGAGCATGTAGCAGCTGCAGAGCCGGAGAAGCGGCCCGGAAAGATAGTTCTGGGTGAAGAATTGGACTTGGGTGAGATTTCCTTTGGCGAGGGTGATGCTGGGGTAATTGCGGGCGTTCGGGTATGCTATCCTCGAGCGGTGATATGGTCCGATAGTACGGTGATTGTGCGTATGCTTTCGCTCCGCTTTTTTGGGTCCAATTGACTGTTTCTGCTCCTGGTACAGGCGCTGGATCTGGATTTGACAGCACGCACGATGTCGCCGGTTGGATCGTCAATCTCGATACCTCGTATCGAAGATGTCGGGGTGTCTGGATTGGATTCTTTCGTGGCAGTATGCGATGTAAGTCGACGCCCTGCATGTCTATGGCAAGCTAACTCGCCGTTCCCTTAGGACCGCGCAGAAGTATACACCATACGGACCGTCGACCCCAATAACGACGAAGTAACAGGCGAGGAACGCTCAGCAGGATCTTCTGCCATCCATGCGTAAGATTGACTTGACACCACATGATAGTTTTGTTAAATATCTGTTTATATACAGGTATCAGCTTTCGCGCACGATGACCCTTCCAGATCATTCCGCTAATCACATAATTTTTCCTGACGGGATACTACTTGCTACGAGGGATGAGACGGGTAGGAGGATGCTACAGCTGACAGAGCCGCCCGAGACGTCTAGGGTCGCAGCTAACTCGAAAGGGAGGGTAAAGGATGCTCGATCTACTATCCTCTGGAAAGCGAAGCGTCAGCCGAAGGATAACGAGTTATCGCTGACCGCGCTGCTTCCTCTAGAGCTCAACTTGATTATCACTGGTTACAGTGAGGCGATATCTTTTCCTGACTTCGAGAGTATTCTAATTGACACTGCCCTCCTCAGGCGATGGATATATCAAGCGGTCCTCGCTCGCGAGCCTGGCGGCTGATTGGACCGGTTCTTCGGCCAAGCGCTCAGACGCGCCTCTGAACGCGGCGGTGATGTCGCTCTTCGCTGTGCATAACCGCAGGACATCTAGTCGAATCTTGGTCGGCGGCGGCGACGACGGTTCTGTCGCCTGTTGGGATTTCAGGTCCGTTATCCAGCACCTTCGGAAATGAAGTGTGTTTAACCTTGTCTCCTTTGTCTCATAGCTCTTTAGCCCTTACTGCGCGATGGACGTTGTTTATAACTCCTCTGCGGAAAGTCATCGAAGCCCCGGATTCAGGATGCTTGAAAGACTGCATTCTATGCATCGCGCACGATGGGACTGTCGCAGTGATCGCAATCGACGGTTGTCAATTGTAAGCAGCTTTACTGCGTCCGGGCTTCAGAACGCTCACTTTTCATTATTCAGCCTTTATCTCATCCCAGGTTCTATTGCGCCGCTGGAGCACATGTACTTCGACTCGCAGAACATACTGCTTGTATATGCGCATGGCTGGGCCCGCTTGTGGGATTTAAGAACACAGGAGTTCCGGAGATCGGTGGCTTGGGACAAGGCAGCGGATATCGTCGCTCAAGACAAAGAATGGATGGAGATGTCTGCTGCTCCATTATTTGCCATGGCCGTGACGTTAACTTAATCTTCAGGCCATTGAATAGTGGAGACGAGAAACTGAAGGAAGGCACCTTTGCCGGAGCGTTATCTGTTAATTCATTCAGTCCGGATGCAGGTATGTGGTGCTTCCGTGTGTATGTCGAGGCTGTCATCACATGTAAATCAACAGCGTCAACATTACTCGTTGACTTGGAAATTTTGTTAGGCCAACTGGTCTTGCTAAGCCAAGCGTCTGGGGAGAAACAGCGCCAATCATCCGTGCTCCTAACGCAGAGTCGAACGATACTTTCAACCTTCCTCACGTTTGGTCTGAGTCCCGACATCGATGCCATATGTCAAGAGGGACTAGGTGTTCAGCCTTGCGGTCCACTGGTGGGACTCATGAGGTGCGAACCACTTGTCAGTATCTTAAGACGGATTTGACAGCGTCCACCAGCCGAGGCACTTTCATCACTGTCGACATACGGAACCCTCGAAGTTATTGGACCGTCTCCTCTGACGTCTCGGCGGCGCGTGCACTTGCTATCATAGCCTTGCTCCGTTCATTGGCGCTGTTCGAAGGTAAGACTCCAACTCCTTGTCGTAGATCTCCCTCCTATTCCCCGTCGCAGATCTCACAGACAACGCAAACACCGTGATTGCGTTCTATGCGTCTTCACTGGGCGCTCTCGTAGGCCCGGCTTACCAAGTGCCAAGCCCTGTTTTTCTCGCTAACGCTTGGTTCAATGCCTCAAGTTTGTACATTTACTCGATGTTGTTCAGTCTGGCGGCTGACCGCTTTGTCCTCAAGGTGAATTAAGAGCCGCTATCCACCTCCTGTTCGATGCCGGTTTAGCCTGCTTATCGGACGAGGAGACGAACAGGATCATAGATACGTGGCAGCCATCACGTACGTGCTATCCAAGCCTGCCGTCGCTCTGTCCTCATGATTTGTCGGTCAGTACCCTATCTGCAACCCGAGGAGCGAAGACTAAGCCACACTGCCGCTATGGCCCTCTTTTTATGTGGTTATATCGCTGTCTCCAAATATAGCCTCTTGTCGGCCACGTAAGCTTCCTCGACGCCATTGGGAAGCTATCACTTACCAGTGTTGTAGAACCCTTTCAGACATCTCTAAATCCATCGCGTTCTATCTCCACGATGAGACATCTAACCATCGCGCACTAGCTATAGATCTTTGCTCGAGAGGTTTCACAGTCTGGCAGCAGTATGTCGATGCCATGGAGATGTTGCGAGCCTTATTTGTACTGGCAACCACCTCCCGGAAGGAGAGTATATCTACACAGAATGCAGGCCTGTTGGCACGCTCTGCAGTCCTTCGCATTGCCTCCAGCAACTCTCCTCTGTTTATGACCACCCTAGCTTTTGACATCCTTCATCCCAAGGATGTGGAGCATCGGAAGTCCGTGATGCAGCTAGTTGCATTCTTTATACGGAAGGTGAGTGCAGAGTTCTTTTGCCTTCAAGATGCTCTCACAATTCCCAGCAACCTTTGGTTCTGTATCCCAACTTACCTAGACTAGTGGAGGCCGTCGTTAAGTCTCTGGACCCCAATTCAACTGCGAACCGCGAAGCCGTATTAGACACAGCCACAGAGATCCTGGGGCATGTCGTGAAAACGTATGTACTAAGATCCTTTGTTTGCTTCGGCATACGTTGTTCACCTCCTTCTAGCTTTCCTACAGTGGATTTTCATATGGCCACTCAACGCCTGGCAGTCGGGACCAGTGAAGGAGCTGTGATCATGTATGACCTCAAGACAGCAACTCGGCTGTATGTCCTGGAAGGTCACAAGAAGCGCTTGGTGGCTTGCAGCTTTTCCCCCGATGGTCGACGCCTGGTAACGGTCTCTCTCGAAGAGAGCACAGTCCTCGTATGGAAAGTTGGGTCAAGCTTCTCAAGCTTCTTCAACCCTGGAGCGCCACCTCGTCAAGGGCACTCTGGATCCGAGCCGTTCAAGCGCCTGAGCTTCAATGTAGGGGACGAAGGTCTGATCACCTGCTGGGCGTGTTTTTGTGTGAAGCTGACTGATCCTTTGAAAGCGAAAATGACTATAGCGGGGACTCTAGAGTTCATACGGTTCGAGTGGCCTGCTGATCGCAGTGTGAAGTTAAAGATACGCGACAGTACCTTGACATTCAGTACATAGAATCCCGCTATCAGCATAGCCGTTGCTCAGTCAATGCGATGGTACTTCACTGAGATTTGAGTACGTCCTGGTGAGAACCTAAAGCAGAGGTGCATTGATTCCTCTTCGAGCGCCAGGTAATTTCTGCGTCCGTGGAAGCCGAGCAAGAAATACGCTACAAGACGTTTACTTCCCTTCTATAGATACAGTAGGTCAAGGTGGGCTCCTATGCGCCAATTTTGCCATGGGTTGTATCAATAGTTATATAATGGGTCATCGAACCGTCAGCTAAGTAGCGTCGTCCTCGAGGCTTTGAAAGGCTGCTTGCGTACCAGGATCGACTCGGATTGAGAGCATCCCGGTCAACGATCAGCTCTTCAGCGCTCAGCGCTCACCTCGTCTAGTTCAGAATGGGGCTCCCATCGGTCTCCAACTTTTACCTTATGCCGAGGCTTAATTTTTTTCGGATTCACCTTCTTCTCTTGTGAGTCTTCAAGAGTGCGATGATCATCTGCGAAACCCTCACACCTTACCTCAGCGTTGTTTGCTCCCTGATCTTCTCCGCCATCCTTTGGGCATCAAACGGCTGTTTCAAGATTAACTATGTCGATGCGTTGTTCCTTTGTGTCAGCTCTGTCACTGGGACTGGATTGTATACTATCGACCTGAGTTCGTTAACAGCATGGCAACAGACGATCATGGTGATACTAGAGCTCATAGGAAATCCGGTGGGTGTCTGAGTTGTCTGCCGAGGAGAACCAAAAAGGGCTCCGACATTAATCCCCGTTGAATTAGGTGGCCGTCTCCTGGGTTCTGGTCTATGTCAGGAGGTTAGTGTGTCCCCACAACTGCCCGTCCTATCCTTTAACTTCACTTCGGATGGGATATAGACGTTATTTCGTCAATCACCTACACCACGTCATCCGGGCTGAAATAGAAAGGACCAAGTCCCGTAATCAGATGGCGACTAATAAAGTTGACGAAGAACAGGCCCCACGACGTCGGTCAAGAGAACCTGACGCGACACAGCTGGATAGGCCTGAGGTTGTAGTCGCGAGTACGCGATCCGGACCAGGCCTGGTACGCCGATTAGACACTGCGCCTCGACGTATTGGTGCCATGGACTTCGTTGAAGGAGCAGGTGTGATAAGCCCGTGGCCTCGGCCAATGATGTACCACCGAATGTTGATAGTACGACCTCGTTGCCAGGCAATGGAGAAACTCCGAGTCCTCAGCACGATACGGGCCCGGACATCGAATTGTCCGCATGCAGGCCGTCGCAACAAGGCGCGCCAAGTGAGTGAGATTCCTAGACTACCATGTTAAGCAACTCTGATTCTCTTTAGATGCAAGTGGGATACAATCATCGATACATACCCAACGTACGCGATCGCTGAGGAGGCAAGAATCCGACTTCGGTGGTTTCGCAGGTCCCACAGAATTTGTTTCTAAACTCATGAAGAGAACCGCGCCCAATCTGCACACTCAGTTGACGCGCACCATAACGATGCCACACACAACCACCGTCACTGGTATGGATGATAGAGGAGAAGAAGGAGCCCATCGTGGCGCTACCAAACAAGTTCCCTATATATCCTTCAATGCCACTGTGGATCGCAACTCCAGGTTCCTACAATTGACTGAAGACAATCTGCAAGAGCTTGGCGGCGTTGAATTCCGCGCACTGAATGCTTTATTATGGATCGTACCTATCGTATGTCATCCTCTCTCCCTGATTCCTCTCCGCACCCCTCGTATATGTTGTAGTACTACATGGGTATTTTGGCGGTGTCATTGGTTGTCGTCGCCCCTTACATGTCCCTATCCCGATGGACAAGCAACTTCCTTCCGCCGCAGCAGCACCGTGTCATCAATCCAGTATGGTAAGCGCAGCCTACCTGAGGCAGGCATTCGGCTGCATGGTCATTTCCAGGTTTTCCATGTTTCAGGTCGTTGCGGCATGGGCAAACACGGGGATGTCGCTGGTTGACCAGAACATGATCCCATTTCAGACGGCATATCCGATGATATTCTTTCTTATCCTGTGTATATTGGCCGGGAATACAGCTTACGTGAGAGTTAATCCTTTTGATCCATGCGCACGTCTGATCTCCTATCCAGCCTATTCTGTGAGCACACCCTGTCTCTAACTCGCAACACAAAAATAACAGCAGCCTTACCAGCCTACGCTTTATGATGTGAGCGATGATAGCCTGTATGAGGGATTGAGCTCATTGCGACGATAACCAGATGGATACTCTCCAAATGCGTTCACCGAAGGTCCCGAGCGTATGAAACCTATCAATTTCTACTTGATCACCCTCGCAGATGCTTCATATACATGTTCCCTTCTCGTCAAACATGGTTTTTGCTGCTCATGCTGTTGTTCTTGAAGTGCGGTGACGACTCATCTTCTCTGCGCGTGAGCGTTTGTAACCCACCCACAGCTGTACCGATTGGTTCTTCTTTCTCATTCTGGACATCGGGAATCCGGCCATCTCTACAATCCCGGTAGGAACTAGGAACATCTTGGGGCTGCTGCAGGCCTGTGCCGTACGAACCGCTGGATTTCAGTCTGTGATACTTTCAGCTTTGGCCCCGGCCGTTAAGTGAGGAGGCGTTCCATAACATTGTCCTGACTATAGTATTAATCTTCCCGTATCGTAGAGTTCTCTACTTAATAATGATGTACATATCTGTTTATCCTGTTGCCATGAGGTCAGTACCGCGCATCCAATTCTGCTAGCGACTGGTGGCACTGAAGCGTGAACTAGCGTACGGTCAACGAACGTGTACGAGAAGCAATCATTGGGGATATACGATGAAGAGGCAGAAGTAGATGACGACGACGACCAGTTCAACAATGGATCAAGAGTGGCGATATGGGGCAAGTACATTTTTCTCCATGTTCGGAGGCAGCTAGCTTTCGGTGCGGCACATTGCCCCTTGGCCAAGTGTCTAGCATGCTTAACAATGTCTTCTTCATTCAGACTTGTGGTGGTTAGCCTTCGCGTTGTTTCTATTGTGCATTATCGAGGTGCACCAGGAACCTTTCCTTGGTTACTCTTCTCTAACTGTTGCGAAGGCGCATAACCTCAACGATCCATCGAAGGCGACTTGGTTCAATATTTTCCAATTGAGTGTGTTTGATTATCGTGGTTTTGATCGTTTTCTATTGATCTTGATCTGCCCTCAATAGCATTCGAGTTGGTATCCGCCTATGGGACTGTGGGGCTCAGCCTAGGTATCCCAACGGTAAGTCTATCCGCTAGATAACCCAAACGCAGGCCATTGACAGAACGCAGGCCAACTACTCATTCGCCGGGGCTTTGCGCACGTTGTCCAAGTTAATACTGTGCGCCGTGATGTTGAGAGGTCGTCACAGAGGGCTACCGGTCGCACTGGACAGAGCAGTGATGCTACCTTCAGAGTTCCGTCCAAAGGAGAAGGAGAAAGAAGTATCGAATCCAACAGATCTCGACCAAGACACGCCGAAGACTTATCCGTCCCAGGACGCTAGACGCGAAGGCGCCGCCTCAAGCCACGATCTAACAGAGAAGATTGATCAGCGACAGAAGCAAAATCGCGATTCCCTCGGAACCTTTCTCCCTGATCCCGATGCTGCGATTCAATTCGAGTAATTTGATTCCATGTACACACTATACAAGATCCTCTACTGCATTTTCCCCCGGCGCCAGCTGCACCGCTCCTCGTGAAGGATTTAGTGAGGTTTATCCTTCACAGGTAGCTCGTGACCAGTGACCGCCTTGTACGCAGTGCGGAGCCCGTCGCTGATTTGCTCGTCTTTCATTTGTTCCAGCACCGACTCGTTGGACTGATCCCCTTGATGCAAGATATGCTCTTGGAAGAAATCGATAGCTGGGAAACGATCGTAGTTTCCAAAGAGGGAATTAGCTGACATGAACGTACTTTTGTCTAACTTATCTATGACTCAGGATTGTCAGTTTGCGCAAGGATGCATAGCAAGATCATACTCACCTTCTTTCTCTTCGCTTGGGACACCTCCGCCGGTCATCTCGTTCAGCTGACCTAGTATTAGTATCACGTCCAAATGGTCCAGGCCAGCACTACCTTTGATGCAAGCCAACCTCTATCAGTCTGAGGCTTCTTCTCCTCTCCGCGTAACTTGGCCTGGATCTATGAATCGCTCAATGTGTGTGCCGTGAACGCAAATGTGGTAATCCGTACTTTGTCTCGGAGGCCTTCTTCAGTATCTTCGCGCTCCTTGTAATGCCTTTCCTGTCTCTCCTTTTCTCCAGGGGTTGCTTGCTCCCAGAGATTCTTAACCTGAGGCAGTGTCAGTCACGACTCTGAGCACAGGACGTGCTACTGACCTTGTCACTGAAGTGTTCAGGCTCAGGAGGGGGAGTAGGCCTGGGGCTTAGCCTCTCTATAGTATCGTGGATCTACTCAAATAAAGAAATAAGCTGACATTCTTGCTCCATCTAGGCCGTCGTAACATGGTCACCTTATCGGTCAGATGAGGTTTGCTCTCTTCTTCCTCTTTAGTTTTGTCCCTCTGACTCTTATTGATTTCCTGAAGCTTGGATTCCCGCTCATCGGATCCTTCAAGCACCTTCTTGATCTGCGGGTGCGCGGGGCTAAGTAAGACAGTCAACGGAGACATGGGAATCGATATTACATGGTGGGACAGCCCTTGCTCCTTTGCAGCCGCCTTTGCCTCGGCTTCGAGACGCTGGAATTCTGCTTCTTCAAGTTCTCGTTTGTGGCGTCCTCCATCGAAAACATCTTGTATCTGCAGGCGTTAGCCGAGTCCCAATCCAGTTGAGGAACAAGCAGTCTAGCCGCCAACCTTCCCCGCCACACCCCGCTCTGCTTCGACTTTCTCCCTCGCCAGTTCCTTCTCTTTTTCGATTCTCAATCGTTCTTCCTCCTCTTCCTTCTTCCTCTTTGCTTCACCACCGTCCAGCACATTCTTGATCTGACACGCCGTGAAGTTATCCACACTTTCATATACGTGTGGTACATGCCCACCTTGTCAGACCAACCTCCACTCTCCTGCGCTTCCCTTATCTTATGTTCCTCCCCCTGTATTTCCGCTCGGACCTCGTCTTGCTTCTTCTCATGTCCGGCAGGTATTTCTGTCTTATAATCGTCGCCGGCCAACGCTTCCTTCAATTCGTTCAGCTTATCCCAAGGGGCCATAATGATAGTTATGATGCAAGCGTAGTATGCCGATAGCCATCGTAACGATGTTCTTGGAGTTGCACTACACGCTACCGCCGGGACAAGACTTGAAAAAGGTTCTTGGCGTCACCGCCTTGTCCATGTGGCCGCCATGCAAGATTCATCTCATGATCATCCTCCGCAACTTGCCAGAAACATCAGCAAATGTTCCCATAACTGGTATCTGAATATAATTCGCATATAATCAATTAAAATAAATACCAGTATTACAATATGTACCAGACTTGTGGACAGCTGGGCCAGCCATTATATTCGGATGGCACATGTTGTAAGACTCCCACAAGAAGTACAATATGTACCAGACTTACACATATTGCAAGCTCAGGCCAGCTTGCTTTGATCCATAATCACACTATCAGCTGTGTTTTGCTTGGTATTCTACATCCCGGAATGAAATACAGACTCAACACATTGGCTGATGAACACAGTACAACATATGATTGCTCAGGCTAGCTACAATACAGAATTTGCTATGGCTACATGCTCAATGCAATACTATCCCGGAATCAACCCCCACCCTAATCAATAGAAAACAAACCATATCACTACAACAAACTACATCAGGGTAAATCAACAGGTGAGATGTTAGGGACATACCTAATGCACTAGTCATCCTGTATGCATAGAACCCAGCAGCAGTACCATAGTCAAACCTGCAAAACAAATCAGAATGCTCAGTCACTAAATGTGAGGGACACACCTAGCAAGCAAGACTCCTCCGGCAATCTAAGAACCTCTATTAATATGTGCACACAGTAAGGCAGAGAATTGGCTTACCTGCAACAGAGACGCGTCGAGACACGATGAGGGCCTCATCTAGGTCACGCCGTACACGCGCTGTAGGAAGGTACTCAGGGGGAGTTCGACGAGAGGCAACGGGTTCACAAAAAGAACTTACCCGCGGAGAGGTACAGGAGGCGACGCAGGCGCCGCTGTTAGGACTTAGCCATGTGAGAGCTGTAGAGAGGACGTAGTCGTGATACAAGGGAGAGAGGGGATTGGCGATGAAGTCGAACTGCGGCGCGCTTTTAAGTCAAGTTCAAAGTCCGACATGTTGAACTTAGCACGTGAGGCGACGCGCATCAGTCAGGCGCCGGTGATTGCTTCGTTGCTAAGGGTATATATATAGAATGATAAGATAATCCTCGGGTAAGTGTATCTCAGCAGGCGCTTCGCTTATCATAAATACAAGTCTGGTATTCGGCTGGTAATGCGATTGTAGACGTGCTAAAATAACTGGAATATGCGCCAGCCACTACCAGCCGCGGGACAATTTGCTGATGAAAGCCACATGAATTGTAGTCGGACGTTATGCTACATCAAGGTTTCGACTGTGTTGAACAGTGATACTGAACCTATGATAGATTCATTAGAATAATGTGTGCTAGTGTTAAGCAGGGAATAAAGCTGGAGAAGTTGTGCACCTGGAAGTGGAGGTCGATGAGTACTCTACACTGGTTCCGCCACCATGTAACCAAAACAAGAACCCTCTATAGGATTAACCTGGGATATACGCCAGCCCCCACGTGCTGCGAGGTCAGCGTGATGCGCTAGAGTTCGTTCTTGACCGTTTAATATGACTTGCATCTGCGAAAATTATTCAGGCGGTGTCCAACAGGAGGAAACGTGTACCTACGGCCATGTCGAGTGCATAGGGAATAGAATTGGCCCTACCGTGGTTCGCTAGTAGAGGCGAAGGCACGGTAACTTTCAGTGCCCCCAAGATCTGGGGCGCTTCTGCGCCCTCGCTACATGCGAGCGGTATAATCCAGTCGCCTATCAGGAGTTTGGTTTTGGTGCCCGCAGCGTCTCGCAAATGTTTGAGGATAGTGACACAATTTTTGTCGGGCCAGTCGTGCAACACGGTGCGCAGCACAAAGACAGATACATCTCTCTGAGGCTGCTTGTCGAAGAATTCATGGGCTGACTGGCGGTCAATGTCGCGACGATGAATCGCTCGACGAAATCATGCACCTTGAAAACTAACGCGGCCGCTGTCCAACGCCTTGGGAAACACCTCACGCCAGAACTAAAGAAAGACCGGCAATATATCTGGTGCGGAAGCAGGCGAATAACGCAAACACTCACTACTTTCCCCTGCTCTGTGACAGCTTCACGATCCTGTATAATGATTCGGACTTCCGCATTCGCCCTTGCTATCATCAAGGATGGCATACCATGGCCGCCACCAACATCGACGATCAGGTCGTTGGCGGTCAGTGAGCCCCAGTCGTATCCTGGATGACATGTGTTTAGCTGAAGATCTCTGAACATAGTCAGGTATTACCATTGATGATTGCTTTGGGATCGTTCCAAAAAGAGCTCGCTCTGATCGCAGCTCCGTATCTCTCAAACCGGCGTTGGTTGAACGGCTCCTCGAGCCAAGCGAAGAGCACTTTGTCGGTCTTGAAGCATGTTTGTAACGCTGCCTGGTTGGCTTTGAAGTTATGGCTCGTTTCGGGGGATGAGAGCGTCTCATACAGGTAGCACGCAGACTTGCAGCATTCGTCGGCCCTGTAATAACCATGAACACTAGACACTAGACACACGATCATAAAGCGTTACGCGTGATCAATAAATGCAGCCGCGCCATAGGTCCCCTTGTGTTTCTCCGCTTGGGGTCTACCGTGATTCGATAAGTAGGATCACAGAAAAACCAGCGATATACCATTGACACCGGCCACCACTCACTGGGTAGATAGCCACCTCGCGTCCTTGCCGCTGTCGAATACGGACGAAATACGATTATTGGCAAAGACGTTCGGCTGCACTTCGCGAAAGATGTGATGCGTCGCGAGCAAGCGGAACACGCGGGCTACAGCGGAACTCTAAGTATAAGTACTTGCCAGCGCTTCTGCAAGACTTGGCACGCGAGTTCCTACCTAACTTCGTCGGCTCCATGCCAGCGTAGAGTGCAATATCGTTTACGTGAAGGCCCTGAGCGCCGAAGTCGCGCAGCAGCTCTACTGCATTGATCTGCTCGGTTACTCTAAGACATGCAGTGATCAAGTACTGATCGCCGAAAGTCGCAGGGTGAGCGGAAGGATTCCCGGATACGACGTATAAACTCACGCTGGTCGCTGCGTCAAATATGGACATCATAGGCGGCCTCACAGTGCATAGTAGTTGGTAGGAGGCGGCAGTGATGTTCAGGATTGCTTGGGAGACCTTCGGGTCAGACCTCAAGCTTTCGGCTGCATCGGCGCTGTATTGTCCATCGAGGGACGGGAAATCTAATGATATATCCGTGTAGTACCTCTTTAGAGAGTCAATGGAGTCGTTGAGAACTGCCTGCAGGTTCTCCAGGTCTTCGATTGTCATACCGAGACCAGCAAGGGAGAGGAGAGCGAGGACGGCGGTGAGACAGTACTAGCTTGCCTCGGCTGCGGGATCTTATATCTGCGGTTTGAGTAGATAGCCTACGAGAGTCGTTAGCGCCATGAAAGCAGGGACTTGGTGATAACGATCAGGTGGACTGCACCGCTGTCCAGTCTTCCAAAGAATAGACCTCGTTCTGGAGCTGCGTCTATCATTGAAGAGAAGGAGGGGACAGCTCGGTGATACGGCAAGACGGACGATGATAATGTTAGAACGCTCCCAAATACCTATATTCGAGGGAGTGGCGCCCATCGAGTGCAGGTCAGTGGATGACGTGAAAGTAAGCTCGTCTCGCCTGAGCTGCCTTACGCAGAACGCTCGTACACTCTAAGTAGGAGTACCCATACGACGTAAGATTTTCAACCATCTTGGATGAGGATAAGAGCCATAACTCGAGGGCAGGATTATATGTGTCGATAAGGACCATAATTGGAACGTAGGTTATCAACCGGTGATATAGATGTCCCAAATAGCCGCAGTGCTCACTTGTACCGAAGGGTTCTCGGAAGCGACGGTCAATATCTGCATCCAGGCTGGTGCGGTGGTCGGCGGACCCGGTACAGGAATTTTTGAATCATATGGACCTTAGTCGCTACATATTAGGAGCCGGAAGTCAGACGCATGCAACGGCAGGATTTACTGCTCACTTTTTGGGGCTTGTGTACTTGCGATCGTCGCAGTGCCGAACGCAACTTGGTCGCTGGATACGTCGGACCGTTGACTATTTCTACTGAGGGGCTGCCAGTGTGCATATGTTCATTACCGTCGGCGCGCACAGACACCGGGAAATGCGTATGTGCACCCGTACCGGCTTACCTGTAGAACGATGTATGACCAACCTTTCCCAGTTCCGTTGATGATCAGCGACGTAATGAAGTCAAAAGACTGATAGCGGGAGGAAGATTCAACCCCTGCGTTACTTAGCACGGATGTCATTCTTTACCCTTCCTCACTTAAGACAACGTGTCGATGAAGGGTCGAGACCGTTTCTGAATTTTCAGCGTAAGGAAGTAAGGATATCAGGAAATACGCTTCCCCGTCGGAACTGACAGATTGTGACGCTTGAAGCTTGAAGATCCAACATGGTGCGACGACACGAGTTGAGCTGGTGGTGAGTTAAACAAGGATAAGGTCTTCGCACTCACGTCTCGCAAGGTTGTTGCACCTCTCGCCAGGAACAAGCTAGCAGGGGTAAATTGCAGATACTGAGCTCTATCAGATAGATTGTTGCTACCACGGATGTTAGGCGGGACGGACATATGACAGTCGCTGAGGCCTCTGAATTTCCGTGTCCTACCTGAGAGCTCCTGACAGCTCATGAGGATTTATTCCGTTCCTCTCTCTGGCAGGTGCTCTCAGATGCTCTCAGACGTCAGGTCCGTTTTCAAGTTGGCCTCAACCGTGAGGGTCCGCGAGGGTCCTCGGCGTACTCCTCGCGGCGAGATTGGTCAATCTGTAGTCTCACGATGGGTGTGGCTAACGCCATTTTCATGATTTTGTAGTCGTCCTGATGTTGTCGCGGTCCGTCGGGCCAGGCGTTTGCAAAAGTTCTGATCTGAGATTGGCTCCCCCCGTGTTTGTATGCGGAGAGTTGCGGGGATGCTGATATGCCGAGGGGTAGTAAGATAGCCGTAGGCCTAAAGCAATCGAACTCTTAGCGTGGAGCAGCGTACGCGGAAACCCAAGAACAAGGTACTGTCCACCACGGAACAAGGAAACGGCGTATGAAAACAGTTGTAATGAATACAGTTACTTTTTGTCCATGTCTAAAGGCCCCTCTCCCCTGCCAACAAACAAGTCCTGAGATTGGGCGCGTCTTGAGTGCCCCGTTTCATTCTCAATTGCACTGCTTGTCAAAATCAAATTATGCACATTGGCAGTCTTTTCAACTACTGTGCACGCTTGCTCCAGCTTCGGATCCGTTCACCATACTAAGTAGGGGTTTACAACATATGAGCGGCACGGGAATTATCCTGAACTTACTCGATAAAACACGAAAGGAACCGGAATAAACAGAATAGCGATCCCACCCAGTAGGGAGTTGCCTGGACCGACGCCGAGCCGCTTAAACATCGCTCGTGCCTATCGAACCACCCTGTGGGTTAGCTAGAAAGGGTAGAAGAGCACGGAAGTGCTTACGAAAAGTGGGAAAGCTGCACCGAGCGAGGCACGGAAGAGAGCAGCCCCTGCGAAGATGGAGGCGGCATATTTGGCATATACAATGCCGATGTATGTGTACACCGAGTTGAAAAGGGTGACGACGCCGACGGCAAAGAGGCCTGAGCCAATGATGGGTACGATCCAGTGTACGCTTTCTCGTGAGGTCCAACCGAACCAGAAGAGACAGATAGGAAGGGCGAAGCACCCAACGAACGTTGGGGGAAGAACCGCCTCGGGTTTGAAATTTGGCGAAGACATTTGGGGCACAAGTTTTTTGTTTACCCAGAGAAGGAATATGGGTACAGATATTACTGTGAAAACCAAGATGCCGAGGAAGACAAGTCCTTGCTGGCCTGAGTTAAAGCCATAGATGCTCCCGAACACGATCGGGAAGGACTCGAACCATATGAAGAGCACACCGTAGAGGAGGCCCGCGTATAAATCCATGAGCAGCACGATGGGTTCACTGAATGTAAGAGTAAACGCTCTCGCGAGGACTTCGAGGTCGTCTCTGGTGGTATGGTTGGCCGCGTCAATTTCGGTCCGGCTTCGCAGGCCCTCGTTCCCTGTAGCCTTGCGCAATCTCTTCGCTCGATTGTAGAGGATATTATCGGCACTTGTCTCTGGAAAGAAGAAGAACATGATAATGAGCACCAGGCTACACAGGCATGTGAAGACCCAGATGGTCCAGCGCCAGCCCATGGCCGATGCAAGGTACCCGCCAATGAGGGGCCCAAAGACTGGACCCAATACACCCGCCGACGACCAAATACACAAGGCGTACGGCACTGCTATGGGTGGGTAGATGTCATTGATGGTACCGCCGCCCGTAGCTAGGCAAGGGCTGCCACAGAACCCTGTCACCAATCGGAAAACGAGAAATACGGCGACGTTGGGGGCCAATCCGACGGGAAGTTGAAATAGGATAAATGCCAAGAGTGTCCAGAAGAAAATACCAGTTCGTCCCAGTTGTGGCATCTCCGACAATGGGGACCACAGCATAGGACCCAATCCATAACCGCTATTTGTTGATAATTAGTAGAAGATTCCCTAATGCGATTCATGTCGGCGACACAAGGCGGATGTCATGGCTTACAGGGTAAATAGCGAAAGACCCAACGTTGCGACAACCTCACCAACACCAAATTCTTCCATGAGGCCAGGCTCGCCCGGCACATAAATCGAGCTCGCGATGTAGACGGCAAAATTAAGGATGCACATCTGGAAAGTGATAAGGTGCTTCAACCTATTCGGCCAATTTTGGGGGTTCTAGAGCGTTGGGGTGTATCAAGTTAACAGGCATCCCCGCAAGACTTGACGAGAGATGTTCTTGCCTCTGGATCATCCGGCCCATACCAGCCCACGATGGTCACATCACATTTCTCGCGTTTTCTCGCCTGTTGTTGCTCATGCACCGCGCCATTCTGCGCCTCCTTGCCCGACGCGTTGACTAGATCAACGGTGGATGGCGAAGTCTGACGTGGCAGCTGCGTCGGATCTTCCTGGATCGCGTTCTTCCACGAGGAAGGATCAACCTCGTCGGGATACTGGAAGACCTTATTGCGCGAAACAAGGCGCATCAGCTTGCCGAAAATGGTGCTCTGAACATGAAGATCCACGGGCATAATGCAAGCTGAGCAAGAGGGAGCGGAGGACATGCAGCCAGTGTTGTCGATGACTGAGTACACACTGTGTAGATGCTGGGGGAGTGCCCAGTCCGCGGTCGTTATATATTAAAGTCTACCCTCAGCGTCTTTTGCCAGTCAGCCAGCCGTAAGTCGACCGTGACGTGGAGTCATTCTCTGACTTCGACCGTGACAACGCTGAAGATAGATGGAAGGCTGAAGCCTCGGATCCGAAAGCTTCCACCCCATCTTGCAAGTCACAATGCCGTCGCTGACGTGTACATAAGTAAGTCGGCAAGCGTAGAGGATCATGACTCGAACCTGCCCGATGTTGAGAAAAGAAGCGTCCAGTCACTGAGCGCTGCAGCAACGTGCCCGCATCCTCACAAGTGCGCAGGGACGATGCCGCCAGGCTGAAGGAGACAGGAAATATGGTTTGTGGCGCAGAGCACTTTAACCGGGGCGTGGACCCCGTCAAGCTGTGTACTATTCCAATCGTACTGCAATCCACAATGAGTTTCTCGCCAAGCTTCGTACCGTGTCGTCGACGACACTACTGCTGCAATCAACCCTGAATACGTGATGTCGGAGGTTCTGAACCGCAGGGCTAACCCTTACGACTTCGGCAAGTGCAGCGAGGCCCTCCTCAACGATACACGGGAATCCAGGACGGAGGTACCGAGAAATGAGTTTCACAATTGCCACAATGCGTACCGTTACTCTTCATCCATTTCCAAATCCCCTTCGACACCCGCTCCTTCCCCACCATCGTCCCATTCAATATAGTTGGTGTCTTGAATCCATGTTTCCGCCTCGTAAACCTCTGTCGTGATCTTCTCTTCAACTTGAAGAGCTGCGGGGTCCGCGGGATTGGGATCTGCACCGTTGCTCGACCCCTCAGCTGTAGAAGCAGGTAGGGCATTGGGGTCGAGCGATGCTCGCACATGCGACAGAACTTCTTCCATACGTTCACCCAATCGATCTTCTAGTTCCTCAACGATCTGCGGAGCACGTCAAATGTAGCCCATCAGAACTGAAGGTAGAGTGTACGGACTACGTAAAGCTCGACTGGTTCTGTGGGCGCTAGGTTCACGATCTGCAACTTCTCTGCTTTGGTAAAACCATATGGCTCGATATCTTTCACCAGCTTGGTTATACCAGCGTCAGATTGTGCTGCTATAGGCTGATACTCCGCCGTGAGGTACTGAAGTGCCTAGAAATGAGGCTGCAGTGAGTGTGTGAGTGTCTCAATTATGCGGCGCCCAGTTCCACACGTACCTCGACCTCAACGGTCCGCAAGTTTTCACAGATCTCTTCCTCTATCGCGGTAGCATTTGGTGTTGGCTTCCCCGACTGTTCCTCCTCTTTCTTAATACGCAAAGCCGTCTTTGTCTTCGCCAAGTGATCACTGTCCAGTTCCCGCAAAAGAGCTAGGACTTCGTAGTTGGACAACAGGGCAGATCGAGGATTTACGACCTAAACCAAGAAGCAGATATGAGAATACGTAGCATAGATCACCTAGGAACGCACAGACCTCCATTACACCTCACGTTACAGGGTTCGCAGCAGTGGTAGGGACTGTGTAGCTATAGCACGGACACGGAAATCGCGGGAACCGCCCGACGGAAAGGCTTTCCGCAGAAAATATTCCACTGAAAGTTATTCTCCCACGTGCTGTCACTAAATGTCGGCCTCTCATTGGCTGGGAGTTCAAACCCCGCTTTCCGGGAATAACCACGGGCGTTGGAGAAGAGGTTAACTCTCTTGAAGCTGGACGCCACAATTCCTTCAGCTATTGCCCGAGAAGGTAGCGGTGGCTGCAAACCGTCCGACTCATCAGTTTCCATCGAGAAGAATATTAATACTGACTGAGTGATGCATTTTTCATGTACGGGGAAGGGATTCAAAGAAACTGTAAAGCAAATATTCCCAACAATGACGAGCCCAGTCCGCTGAAGTTTCCCTCTCCCCCTCTCTCCACATTAAATCGCCTAGACACTACCACATCAATAATAACATATTCCTAGACCATCTACGCTGGACATAGCTCCACAAGCTTGCCTATATCGGTGTACGACACGGAGGTGAGTATAGCTATACTTCACCAGCACTAGCAGGCACCGAAGTCAATTCGATATCCACGGGCAGAGGCCACGGCCCTGCGTCGGGATTATAGTGTAGATACTGGCGGATGCCGTGCGGCTCATGTATCCCATGGCGCCTACGGAGCGATCAGTACACTCTAGTAATATGATGAATTTGAGATGCACTTACTCTGCCAAATGCTTGGGGACGTTGTGCCCGAACTCGAAGAGGCGAGTCCTGCAGAGGTTGCAGCACCACTGGAGAGGGTTACATTCCTCGTACATGGATGTCCACCGATACTCGGGGGAGAGGAACTTGATGGACCACAATTCTTCCGCCACAGATTTGCTCAGCTCTCTGGCCGCTGCCTCGTCCCTGCCGCATATGCGGAACCAGGATTTGCGCTCTTCCTCTCCTTCTAAGACCAGCTCTTGGACCTGTGGCCGAGTAAGCTTCAAAGAGATGGAAAACACATCTACCAGATACTCACCGCCGATTTCCAGGAGTAAACTGTATGCTTCTGAGTACGGAGACTGCGGCAGGATGCCCTTGAGTACCAAGCCTGAAGCTTGTCCATCTCCTTTCCTGTCGTCGTTCCCGGGCATCCCCCATTGAGCCTCACGATTTGCCACGCCGCATGAGATGCTCCTGGGCAGTATTTCAGCTTTTCGTCGTCCATATCCCAAGGCTCGCAACCCAATTTGTAGTACCGCTCCGCAGGCTCGTCAACCACCACCAGCGGCTCGTCGCGTATTCTGCAATAGTCCCGCCGGTTGAAATCCAATTTGAACATGCATTCGTGAAACATCACCCGGGGATAATCCAAAGCTCGCAGGCACTTGGTGCAGAAGAACCATGTCGTTGCTAGCTCGAGACGCTCCTCTTTGGGCCCAGCTGTAGGGTGGGTCTGGCAACACGACGTGTCTGGCAGCATAGCTACCAGCCGAGCGCGGACCTTGCTGCGCCACTCCTCACACAGACGTGGAAGGTTGGCGATCGCAGATTGGAAGCTTTCTGGGCCGACTTCTACATCACTGGGCTCCTCTATGATCTGCCTGAACTCGGTCATCTGGCACACGTCTGCTACGCGCGGCAAAGGAGTGTAGGGAGGTTGCCCTGCAGTCCACTGCGAGAACAGTAGCTTCACTATCGCTTCTCGGGATGTGATAATGTTCAGTCGTTCCCGGGCCAAACGTGCAGCCTTCTTTTCATGGAGGAATGCTATGATAGTAGCCTTCATGCTGTTCCATGCTGCCAGCAGACGCCGTCAGACAGTCGTTCTCCAACGGATGGCTCTTAAACATTACCGCGATCTGTGAGTTCTTTGGGCTGGGCTACTGCGGGGTGGTCGGCAAGGGCTCTAGAATCGAACTCTTCTAGCGCATCGACTTCTTCTCCATATCCGAGGCCACGCAGCTTATCTTTAATACTGAAGTGCAGGCGATGTTCAGCAACGAGGTAAAAGTCGTCAGGGGATGACATACGCAGACAGACGTCGGTCTTTTGTCCGCTTCCGTTCCAGCCAGATCCGAATCTTCTCCTCTTCTTGCCATTCGCAGCACAACTCGGCGTGCTTTCCGGACAGTATCAGATTATGCTTGGTACATGGATTTATTACACTTACGTCCTGAAGTGCTAAAAGATCGGCCGACTTGGCCATGAGAAGTTGAACAAGCGCTTCGCGATCCCCAATAGTGGCGGTCAAGTGAGCCATGAATTCATCCACGGCGGCCTTGGGATAATACACCTCCTCCGAACCTGTAAGACGTCTAAATATGGCAATGGAATAAATCGCGGTCGATGCGCACCACTTCGGACCAGAACTGCATGGGGAATGAGACATTGCAACTCCAACCCAATGGGATGTTTGTACTCTGAGATATAGCTTGCTGGGTATAAGTCCTAATTTCTCATTGGCCGCAGGTACAGGTTGCTCACCGCTGCTTCAAGCACTTATTGCAGCATCTTACGCGGCAAAGCCAAAAGATGTTGTGCACGTTCGGCGCACCGCAGTACTACAGAAAGTGAGAATTATTCAAAGATGCAAGAACAAGAGAACGCGCGTACCGAGCAGTGTGGGTAGAACGCTAGACGAGCCCACTGGGGCTCCGTCACTTCGTCCGGACACGCTGGCAGGCTTGCATTGCTGATAGCAGCAGTCCAAAGGAATCTAACTCTGCGGGTCGTGAGAGTAGCTCGCAAGGCCTTTGTTGTCCATGATAGCCGCAATAGGTCCAGAGGATACAAGTGACGGAAGATCTGCAGAAGTTACGCTTGAGCCAAGACCTTCAGGCATCCCGCATTCGTATCACGCACCTCGTACAAGATATCCAGAGGCATATCTACGAATCGACTCAGCTTCCCTTTCTTCCCTTTCCTCGTGATACCAGCATTTTGGACTGCTTTCTTAGTCTTCCTGCGTTTCGCGGGCGGACTCAGCTCTTCCGCTACAGCTTCTACATCAACCACTCCAGCCTCAGGGGCTGCAGTTAATCTTTGCGAGAGCCTTTGTGACCGCCTGGTAGCCATGTCTATAGCGCAGGAAGGGACGTGACCGGAGCGCAGACCCAAGGCGTATATATTAAACGGCGCTTAGCGGACTTCAAACGTAATTAATTAACGCGTCTTCGTCGCGGTCACGTGCAGCGCGCGTACGCGTCAATACCCAATAATATTATGATACATTTTGATAGATCTCTTCACCCGCTTCAGATCGCCTGGTCAGAGTAGCTCGTCAAAAAAGCGAGTAGTAATATTATATTGGCGATCCTTGTACGGTTACGCGGTCAAATCGCAAGCACCCGGCCTCAAAGCACACCACAACGGCTGCAGGGAAATAGCCTGTACGCCGCGCTGCCTAAACCTGAACGCGACATCGTGCAGACGCGGCAGGGCTGTCGTCACATTTGTGAGGGCCGGGCCAGTCCAGAAGAGCTCAGCAGAGGATGCGGCGCGAGGCCAGACTATGGGGTCAAGGTTCTCTGGCCCGGATTGCTCAGTCCAGAGCAGATGTTGACCTGCGCGTATGGTCAGACGTGCGAAGCGCTGGTCAAAGTGGAAGACTTACCTCCGAGAATAAGCTTACTCTCCTCGGCAGTGAGATTGGCGGTGGGGTCGAAGGTGTATGACTATGGGGATTTGTCAGAGACGATAGACTCCAGTGCGGGAGAATAACGCACCCTCTGCCATGTCTTGAAAGGGTCGCACCAGCTATTACTATTTGTAGAAATCAGTATCAGAGTCCTTATTGGCCGACTGCCGATTGATCTTACCCCGCAGGATTGGAACCAACCCAACCACCACCTCCGCAGTCCTGCGAAGAGTTAGCGGAGGACGTCGAGATTCATGTGAGACCACTCACCAGGTAGAAATAATCTGACGCAGCGTGCACGACCTTGTATCCCTTCTTCGCTACATCAACGACATTCTGGGAAGAAATCCAGACCCTGAAAAAGCAGTCAGGGCATGTGGGACGTGCAGATATGTAGGTCCATTTACAGGACAATGGTATCGTTTGAGAGAGTGACATTGTGATCCAGGACCATCTCTGCACGATTAATGAATGCCCTGCGGACCACGGATGTCGCAATTCGCTCACCTTCCCATACAATAGGCGTCTTACCAGCTTCTTTCAGGGCGCCATGCGTTGCCTGAGTGAAGGTATCTAACGCTTGCTCAAGCGTCTGCCCAGTCGCATTGAGAGTCGCCTGCGTCACCGGGTCTTGGTCGTAGCAGTTTACGTTCAGCTCGTCGCCGCCCGTACTGACAAACTTTGACGGGAACAATTTGCTGACAGCAGTGAACAAGTCCGAGGTGAAGTTTGTGACCGCGGGCTCCGTGAAGCGCAGCTGCCCAGCCGGCGGCTCATTTGCGAAGGACGCCCATGGGGTGGACTGTGCACACGCGACGTACTCGGGATGCGCGTTGGAGATAATGGCCGTGTGGCCGGGCGTGTCGATCTCGACGATAACATCGATACCGCGTGCAGCGGCGTACGACACGATGTGCGAGACATCGTCAGTCGTGTACACCGAGTCAGCAGAGTAGGCGCCCTTCTCGGCGAGGTCCTCGAAACCCGGAATTTCAAGGGGGAAGCTCTGGCTGTCTACGACATGCCAGTGGAAGTTATTGATCTGGGCTACTTTGAGTGATGAACAAGGGCGTGGACATCATGTCACTGACTTTTACCCAGCTCATGGCATCGAGAGTGCGCTCAAGGTCCTTGACCGGGAAATAATTCCGCGCCGTGTCAAGCATCAATCCGCGGTAAGGCTGATTTTATGTCGTTAACGCGATACAAAGAAATTCGGAATCGCGAACGTACGTATGCTGGCTTGTCAGTGATCTCAATAGGCGCTTCAATAGTGTAAACATTGTTCTTGTAGTAATAGAATAGCTGGCTGAAAGTAGTTAAGCCTCTGAAAAGACCGAGTGTCGAGTTGGCTTTCAGGAGAGCGCCTGAACCGCTGCCTGGGATGGTGAGGGTATACGACTCGTCCCTGGACTCCAGGGGGGCGACAGCTTCTTCGGAGATGCTGCGCACCTTCGCCCCATTCTCCAGCGAGATCGTCAAGCCGTTCAGTTGCCCCGCCTTGAAAACTGCGTCGGCGTCCACGCCGCCACGGCCTACCACAAGACGCTCCAGCTTGTCGTTCCACAGCTGCTGTTTGGTGCGCTTGACTGCGTTAACCAAGTCACCTGGGGCTCCATGCACGTCGATATGGATGTCAAACCAGGGCGCCAGGCGTAAAGCTGTAGAACCAGTCGTGAAACTAGTTGGCAAAGGCCATACCGCGTTCACAGGGGTGAAGGCCAGGAGAACCGCCGTGGCGGCGGCGAAGGCGAACTTCGGCACCATGCTGGGAGGAGACACGACGTTAGTTCCACAGGAATTTGGACACGGTAGGTTATATGTACTGTACCGTAACCCATCAAATGAACGTGATCTTGGCCCGCATGCTAGCTCGGTCACCAAGCTCGCATATGATCAACGGGTTTAGTTACCTGCGTTTCGGAAGGAGGCAACCGATATGGTCGGTGCCGGTATACAAGCTAATGCTTGTGCGCGTAATGCTTGCCGTATGTACTGGTGAGACTACCAAGGTCGTGCCTTCGTGGCAGAACGCGAAGTAGCTCGGAGCGAGCGAGGTGGAATGCAGTCTACGTCAACCGCCATGAGGAGGGAGAGATGCCGCACAGCGGCAGACTCCATCAATATATCTTACACGCAGACGAAAGCCTATCCGTTCCTGAAGGAGAAGCATATCAAGAAGCGGGCGGGTGGACAGAAAGCAGTGCCTGGCTCGGAAGATAGAATCCATACGCTCTCCAGCGCCACGCTAATAATATCTACAAAGATAAGAATCCCCTCGGACAAATCGGCTGTACAGTATAATGACCAGTACTAGAGCAACAAATCATCCAGCCCTCCACCAGTGCTGGCATTGTTAGAAGTCGTATTAGCAGAGGCACCCCCGAACGCACCGAACCCGCCCATACTGCCCTGGGTCGCGTGACCAGTTCCGCGCCCGGCTCCCCAGATCCCAGCCTGTGCCTTCTCCTTCTCGAGGTCCTTGATCGACTTCTTCACAGGCGCGCTGCTGTTCGCGGGTGTCCCAGAGCGCGACCCGCCCGCGGACCCAAGACCCATACTCCAGAGGTCATCGAAGGCACCGGCGCCAGAAGGCTTGGACGAGGCGGGGGTGGTTGGGCCACTACGTGCAGCGGCCGATACGGGCGATGCAAAGGACGATCGAGGGGGAGGAGACGCGGGCGTGAGAGGCTGGCTCGCCGGAGTGAGCGGCTGGCTCGCAGCGAAAAGGGAGTTGGGCTGGGTGACGGCAGACAGGGGGGGAGACGACATCGACAGCGAAGATCTGTTCCCTGTCTGCGTGGGCGACAAGACGTTGGCCGAATGACCGAATAAGCTAGGGTGTTGCGCGCCCATGGGTGTGGCCGCAGGCTTCTGAGCAACTAGGCTGCCGAGACCGGTCACAGCAGGAGCCGGAGGAGCGCTCGTCTGGACTGGCGGCGGGGATACTGGAGCGGTAGAGAAGTCTCCGAAATCGTCGTCCAACAGAGCGCTTGCCGCCGCTGGCTGTGTCGGTGCCGCAGGTGTAGCCTTCGACCAGAAGTTTGAGGACACTCGTAATTACACAGACCGACAAGAGAGACGTACCGCCACAGGGGTAGCACTCGGACCAGCAGTAAAGTCATCATCGAGGCCAAGAAGGTCCACCATCTTCTCGGACTCTTTCTCTTTCGCCGGCGGGGCCGGAGCAGGTTGTGTGGCTGCGCGACGAGGTGCGCTGCTAGAGCTGGCACCAGCTCGCTGCGACACGGAGTTTGACCGACGGGGCGTGGTCTCCTCGTCATCACCAGCATCGTACTCCTCAAAACCTCTTCTATCCGTCGCATCCCGGAAACCGCCACTGCCACCAGAGTAACCGCCATAGTCTATCCAAGTACAGTGACTATGGTGTGTGGGAGGTTTTTTGTGCAACGTGCTTACCTCGGTCATATCCCCCACTACTTCCTCCTCCATATGAACTGCTACCACCACCCGAGTATCCCAGGCTATCGCTGCCGAAACCGCCATAACGACCGCCACCGGACGTGAAACTCATGGGATCGTTACCGGTACCGATGTATTTACTTCGGTTGGCCTTGGCCTTCCGTCGCTCTGTCCGGATCTTTTCCACGTCGGAAAGCAGCTCGACGATTTCTTTGGCCCGGTTGCGGACTGAATGAACATATCCTCAGCTCAGGTCCAAATTGGGCTGTTGAGAGAGCCTACCATTGATACCCTGATCTTTGCCTTTATCGTCGATGTAATGGAAGCTTCTTAGCATCTTTATCGTAGAAATGTGCGAGCGCGCATCGTCCACGACACGTTCACTACCATTCTTGATGAGGTACTCGAGTAATTGGAGAGCCTAATGTAGGAGGTCGTCGGATAATGCACGCGATCGAGATGCCCTGGCGTACCTTGTATATTTCTCGCCACTGACGTGCCTCTTTCTCCATGAACTTCGAATATATACAGGGCATGATTTCGTTGAAGTTTTGGCTAGACACGAACGGTGTCATGGTGGAATCTTGGAAACAAGCATGAAGCTACAAACAAATTGAATGTCCTAATAAGACCTAGAATCAACAGCGGATCACTTAGTGTCCCTTTCACGTCACGTACCCTTGTGCAATGTCCTGCATTAATGTCGAACTCGCGCCCCTGGTCAAACATTACCTCCCCCATTTCTACCGATGTCCATAGGCGCGACACTCACCACGGCTCATCGTTCGTTGCTTCCCGCACTTTCGCCTCCATCTCACTCACGTTCAGTACCATGTTCTTCGCCTACGCCGCCCATCGTGGCGAATCAGTGTGCCGTGCTCTCATTTGCAAAACAGAGACATACCTGGTTGTACATGCTCTTTATATCGTACACTGTCACCTGCGACAGCGTATTTGCCAGACTTTCGATGCGATCCATGGCGGGCAAACGTTACAGACCTCACAATGGTCGGTCGACGAAGACGTGTACGATGGCCAAGGGCCGGCGGTAGTAATAAGTTACAGTACAAGATTCCCCTTAAGGTTACTATCTTCTCGTACGTAATATTTGCACGTGATATTAAATAATAACGCGTTTTACGCGTCCAGACGCGTCGGAATAATACAGCCTCTTAGCTTCCCACCATCATCATCCACAGGAGAGCGCCTGGAATTATATATGCGCTCTCATCGTTACAGGAGTAAAGTCCGAGGTTTAGAAGGTGATATTTAATATAGGAGCATACGTGCCTTGTCCGTACTCTCCGAGTCCCCCCAGGCGCGCAGGCTGAAATCGTGTCCCTTTTCTTGTTTCTCATTTCCGGAGAGGAGGGAACTGGCAGCGAAAGGTTGGCCGTCAATGTATATAATCTTTCGTGTTACTGATCCTCCAAACCAGTGGATGCAGCTTGCCAGCGATTACCATCGTTGAGTATCCATCACGAGACATCGATGGGAACCCCGAGACCGAGCTCTTGTATGCGCACATTGAGTAGCACAGAGTATCATGCCGACTGTGATTGTGCATGGAGGGCGCACAGTCATGGCACGCGGAGGGGACGCATATATGGTGGTGGCTCTGCTTCTTCTAGGCACGTGCCTTGATTGAGCTACACTGCATATATCCCTCGTTGCTACTAGGCAAACACAGCTCGATATTCCCATTCTTTGAAATTTCACAGACGAAGAGGAGGCTCAACCACTGAGCCAGAGGATCCAGATCTCTCCCTCTCCCTCGAACTCCTCTCAACCTAAGCGTATCCCCAGACGCTGCCCCCTATGTGGCCGTACTCTTGATTGGCAGTGATGCAGCAGGGATTCACTGAAAACGCGCCATTCCATCGCTGATTCCTCGACTGAGTACTCTCAGATTGTGGCTTCCCCCACGATTCCGAGGGTATCTCACCACGCAAGGATTTTGTGCGCTGAGTTGGCTTGCTCTCCGTGCTATGATTATTTAGCTTATACTGTGTCGGAAATCCGCGAAGTCCCTTGCACCGCCTTGCAAGGGTTCCCAGGGTTCCTATGCAGTGTGCCGGTTGCAATAAAGTACAAGCGTCTGCAACCAATTTGCAATGGCATTGCAACCGAGGTTATCCACGGGGCCAAGAATAGCACAAAAATGAATTTCTGAAGTGGCCATAGAACGCATTGAACTCATGACCTTCAAACATCTACATTATGTAATAGATACAAAGATGGGCAATGAAACCAGTACACCATGAGCACTTGATATACATAATGTACAATTATATATATACCATATGTAGCTCTGCTTCAGGAGATGTTCAAACAATACAACACATGGGCTAGCCCAAGATACACCTTTCTACGGTGTTCTGCAGCAATTTTCTATATTTACGGAAGCCCCACAGGATGCGAATCGAGCGGTGCGCAGTGAGCCGTGATTGCAATGGGCAGCTTACATGGCAAGCCGATTGCAATGGCATTGCACGACCGTGGGAATGGATGCCCATTGCAAGGCGGATTTTGAATTTCCGACATGGAGCATAAATCCGGTCAATTCTTACGTAACTTGATAGCCGTAATTAAATCGGGATGCGGAAGTGAATCCGAAGCTTGTCCCGAACAGGAGGCCTTTCCTTGCCAGGGACCCGACGATTGCAGATTCGACGAGCAGTCAGAGGCGTACTGGTGAGCATCACAGCGACTTTGGCAAGTAAATAGGCCTAATGAAAGTTGAAGCATCACGCGTGTTTACGACAGAAAAAGGAGCGAGACCAGCGGGGAGTTCTACACTTGGATTGACCGCGACGGAGATACTCTGGATGTCCAGGACTTGCAGGAACGGATCAAGGTGCGCAATACGCATGGGAGGGCACAAATGAAGTGAACTATTGACTACATGCAGCACCGAAAATGCCATCTCTTTTGGCGCGCCTCAGGGGCCGCCATTCACGTCGATCATCGTCCGACACGAACGCAATACCTCCTGCCCCCTTACCAGCAGCATCCCCAATCCAGCCTGCCAACCCGCTCGTCCAGCTCGAATCCCCTCCGAGGCGGAACCTGGTCGGACAGAAAATACACCCCGACCTCGACTCCCTTCTGGAGCGTTATTCGGCGGAGGCCGACGTCCCGCAGGGCCTCAAGCCACGGCGGCACTCGGTCGGCTCATATGCGTCCAGCGGAGCCGCGCACAGCGCCCCACCGAGCGCAGGGCTGCCGCCTCCCAGTGAAGAACACGAGCCGTCCATGCCTCAGCCGCGAGGCCACGAGCCCGCACCCGTATCGGCGGTCAAGCCTTCTGCACGCACATTGCCACAGCTGTCCCTATTCGGTCTCCAGAAGTCCACCTTTGGCCGTAGCAAGCCACCAAGTGACGGCAGTATTAGCCCGACCTCGTTACACACGCCCTCTGCCACTGAAGGACCCGTACCATCGCGGGGACGGACCCTAAGCAGCCCGCTCGGACGTGATAGAGGTAATAGCAGCACACCCGTCCGAAATTCTCTCAGTTACCCTGAGGCATCATCTCCGCTGACCCCGGTTCGCTCTCGGACCGTCGCACCGCGCAGAAGAACGAAAACTGCACCGGGGAGTTACAAGTTCGCCACATTATCAGCTTCAACAGCCGCCTCCACTCCCCATAGCACACCCTCCCGGAAACCCTCCGGGCGGAGATCGAGTACCCCCTCCACGCAGTCCGCGAAGTCTGGCAGGTCGCTCTTCCTCCGCTTGGGAACCCTCACCCCAGTGTCGCGCTTCCAGCGTGTGCAGGCCGCCGACTCACCCGGGACCTTCGGCTACCCCACTCCGTCGGAGAATATCGATGCTGGATACCCGTTCACCTTCACACCGAGTCCAGAAGCTCCGCCAATGCCGGCCCTAGACCATCCTGAACTTGTCGCAGCTATGGCATCACGATCGAACCTGGGCGATGGCCAGTCGCGGTCGCGGACGTCCTCACAATCGGGGATCTCGCCTAGCGTCACGAGCACCCTCTCTTCCCGCCCTTCGCGGTCTTTAGGAGGACAGCGGACCACAGGAGAATCGCTGTCATCCGCGGAGTTCAGAGTCACGAAGTCCCTTCGGCCATATGCAAGTCTTCCCAAGGTTCAGCAGATCTTTGGTCAGTCACAAAGTCAAGCGCGAATGGGACCAGGTTCCAGCAGACTGCGAAGCATGTCAGATGCTCAACCAAGACGACGCCGGAGCATGGCGATGCTCTTCAACGAAACAACGACAGGCATCGAAGGCAGCGGGAGCACAGAGGCTATAGCTGAAGACGAAGGTGCGCAATCGCCAGATACCCCGTTCCGTGTCGGCATCCCCGAAGATAGCCGATCAAGTACCGGTCAGCCGGCCGATCGCCGGACACGTGCGGACAACGTGCCAGCTGCGATACAAGGTCGCCCAACTTCCCCGCGTCCTTCATCTTTTCCTTTAGATATTCCTTCTTCAGCGCTGGGGTCGCCATTTCTTTTGCAAGGTACGTCGATAAGATGTGCATGGAGTATTTGATGAACAATTTATAGGGTCCGACGTGGATTGTAACTTATCGGGGGCGCCTAACGGTCGTTTGGGAGAGGGGACAGGCACGTCTATCCAGGGCAACGTTCCAGGTGCTCCTGCCAGCGAAGACATGGTGGCACCCTCTCGTTCATCTCCGGACAGGAAATCGAATGGTTCTGCTTCCCTTCCAAATACTCCTCAGATCGCATCGACATCTGCCAGCGCTTTTGCGGATGCCCCGTCTCTTCTTAGTCCTCCTGCGGTTTCCGTAACTGCGCCCACTCCAGAAGGATCTCCTGGGGGACACTCTCGACGATCGGCTAGCGAACTTCTGGGTCAAAAAACAACACAGGGAACGCCTGTGTCCTCTAAGAGTTTTGGGAAGAGGAAGGCAGAGGACGTTGAGGTCATGTCTGCAGTGCCAAAGCACGTTCAGCATGCATCGTTTGTGCTCCCTCCCAACCATAGTGAACGAAGTGAGTCCGCACATATTGAACGTTGTGTCAAACTCTGGCTGACATCAATGATTATCAGCCGCCTCGCGGCACTCCTCCGATGCCTCCCGTGCACCTTCATCATACCACACCCCGAAGCGTGCACGCTTATCCTCGCCCGGTGAAAGCCCCTCCCAATCCCTTCAGGGTTCCCTATCCCGAATACCAAAAGGATCGTGGTCGAGCCATACGAGCTCGAAGATCCAGGGCCTGTCACCCTCCCGCGCAGCGTCACGATCTGCATCCGTTCGTTCATCCCCTGCACGCCATCACACCGACATAGACCGCCGGCGCAGCCTGTCACAGGTTTCGATACCCATCAGCGCAATTGTAACCCCTCATGTACCATCCGTAACCAGGTCCTCCAACTTTCATATGCGTGATCCTCGGCGGCCGCCGAGAGTACATCCCACCCCATGGTCCTTAACTCTTAGATCGCAAGATGAAGACGGGTCGCCTTTGCATGCTTGGTTCTTTTTTATAGGGTTTGTGTTGTTTCCTCTATGGTGGGTTACGTCGTTTCTGCCGATACCCAGAACGCGGGAAGTAGGGGGTACGGATACCGAGAAGGCTGTTACGCTGGACGACCCACAAATTGAACATGGTACGGACGTACACTCACATCACCGCCTAGCTCCCCTGCTGAATCTTCGTCTTTCTTTTCCGTGTTAAGATGCAAGAACGTGGCGTTTTCGTTGTCGCATCATGGCTGTCGTCTCGCTCTTCACCTATGTGCCCTTTATCGTCCTCATCGCTGTGTTCGTCTCTCGCAGAACCTAGGTTATCCATAGCGTTATTGGTATCTCTTGCATCGTCTCCCCAGCCTGTTGTCACAATCTGAACACTGAACTGTTGTCCCCATCCTCACTGTCGCTCCTTTCGAACCGAACGCTGTCGCTACTTGGACTGCACACATACCAACATACCAATGTATTTATCATGAGCAGAGCATGTATTGCACGTCGTACATACTGTAGGCATACCGATAATTACCCCGTATATGTCCCTTTTCTTCGCTGGGGTGCAGTGTGTTATTTCGGAATCCGAATCAAGCTCTATGTGCCTCTAGGGTTAGGTTGTGCATTCTCGGTGACTATTGGGCCAATGAAGTTGCAAGGAAACTGTTCTCACTCTCGACGCCGCGACGAAGTGCTTCAGGCGAAAGAAATACAAATCGGTCACGAGCTCCAGGCGTTCATATGACCCACCTCGTATGGCTTACTCACTTCTCCTCATGGCAAAGTGGATAGTCTTCCCTGGTTACAAGATTGCCCTAGTCCTAGGGATAGCCCAAACACCGCCAGTGTCAAACGCGTGTCGCTTAGCACGTTTATGAGACGCGGGACGGCAACCTGCATAGCTGAAGTGGTGCTGAATGAAGATCATTGGATTCTACTATGGGTATTGAGCACTGCTGGGTGGTATACAATTACTAATAGATATCAATAATAACAGTCATGCTATGAATCTCTTCATCAAGAGTCACCGCGGACACGCCGCCGCCCTCCCCAGCGCCCCCTGCTCGATCAGATGCGAGTTATCCAAGCTCCGAACAATGTGAAGAACCCAATCGTGGCAATTGGACTCTGCGCGCCCCCGGGTCACGTTGTGTTCGTTCACCATCTGGGTGGCGGCGTCCGCGTACTCGGTCATCATCACCTTGACATCATCGCCAATTGTGCCCAGGAGGACGCGGTCCTCGTAGGTGCGATTGCTACGAGGGCCCTTGATCGCTACGCCATAGCGGACGTCGGTGGAGAACGTGCAGGCGTAGCTGCGTTTCTGGTCTGTGATACACTGCACGAAGAATAAACAGATTAGTCGGAGGCTCGGAGATACCGCTTCAGGTGGGGAACGTACGTGGTACAGCGTCCCGTACGCCTCAGGCTCCCTGGAGCCAACGATAAATAGTCCCCAGTGGCGGGGACCGCCGAACTGTGGAGAGTACCAGATCAGGTACAGGTAGTTCGGCATATCCTCGTCTCTGGGGGTGTAGGTGGTGCTTGCTCCCACCGACGACCCGGCGGAGAGTGCTTGAACTTTACCAAGAAGACAAACTCTGGGCTTAAGAGCACTGGACAAGCATTGCGGTGAGGAGTGCGAAAGAAAATGCGCGGGATGACGAGAGGACACAAAGCGTCAGAGGCCAAATGTCGGACGGTGGGTGAACTAGAGATGAATGGGGCTTTCAGCGAAAGCATGATCCGTAGAAGCCTTTGAACGGTGGCTTCAAAGGGAGGTAAACGCGAGTGTTGGAGCAAAGGACGCCACCAGACGGAGGCACTGTATTTGAAAGGGGAATGAAACGGCGATCCTCGCACGTCAGTGACCGTCATTGTTGATCGCAAAGTCCATAGACGATGTAGGTCCATATGTCTTCACCGCAAGTAGTCACCGGGCAGGTGTCTTCTAGCAAGTCCGGAGTAGATCCGGTCAAACATGAGGCTAAGCCTTGCTCGCATCTTCAGGTATCTGCAAGGCTGTGAGGGTGACGCGCACAACGCGAGGCTGAGGTAGGCGACGATAATCGTAATCACTGCAAATCACTTACAGTAAAGGAAGTTTACTCGAGGAACAGGATGCTGCGAGGTCGAGTGGCGCAGAATGCCCTCCGGGAATGCAAGTCCAGGATATTCCAACTCTACTACACTCTCGTCACCTAGCAGAATATTACACAGGTGGTACGCTGGGCGGAAAAAATGTTGTATGACTATTTACTTCCGGGACATAGGAGCGAGAGATACATACTGAGGCGACACTCTCGCTTCACAGGCAAGCGCAGCTTCGAACTGAGCTTTACGGAAGAGGGGCCATTAAGTCACTAAGCTTGACAAAGGCAGGTCTGTGGAGTAGAGGCCTTTATACCCATGGTAAGAATGCAATCCTGAGTGATTATATATCCTGAAAGAACAAGAAACTCTCCCGAGATCTACAGACATGTAACGAAGAGCTGAACGTCAAGTTGTTACCGATATAGAGTAAGAAGCTTGAACCATGGCAGCTCTCGAGCTCGCTGCATATCAAACATCAGCGCCTAATCCGATTCACGGTATATCTTTGAATCTTCCATGTCTCTGCAACCGTCATAGATAGGAAAGGCTCAAACATATACACCGAATCCGGTCCAATGCCTCCGTGGACCAGTCTGAGTCTCCAACGAAGGCTCGTGAGGGTGGCGTGCCGTCCTGTCACCTTAAGGTACTCAGGGCATGGAATTAACGGTGGCTATAGCAGACTGCAGCATTATACATTGTATACCTGACCACGAGGATGCATTTTTGCCAACGCAGTCGCCGAAGCCGTGTGCTGAGAGTTTTCTGGCTTATAATTAGTGCAAAACACCCTGAACGTGGATATAACCCGAGATTACCGGTGTAGTATCAGTGAACGCAGACCGCCGCCGGCGACAAGTCGGTGAGTAGATAATGAGCATCAGCCAGTACTTATAGGGGGAGGGTTGTAGGTATAGACTCGGGTATTGTTGCTTGACTTCAGTTTGAAACCACAGTCCGGACTTTGCCGGGTTCCGTCCCAAGCTTAAGCATGAGAGAGGCCGACTCTTTCTCCCTCTCTTTCCACCATCTCCAAACACATCTACGCCACAGCGTTTGGCATGACCCCGGTCATTCGACATTTCCCTCGGGGCTCGGCTTGTACTAGACTTCAAATGGCAAAAGGTAACATGAGGTGCCAGGGATCAGAGCAATGCCGACATCTTTAGGCAGGCCGACACCGATATTGGTACAGACCATATGTGCATCCTCGCCGATAAGGCAGCTGGTATTTATAGCTGTTCTTCCGAACGCACATATAACTTGGGCAGAAGACCAGGTTTAGTTCCCTGGCCTGCCCTTCGTTTTTGCCCAAGACTGCCGACGCCGCACCTTCAGCCATGGGCATCGTCGAAATGGCTGGAATACTCTTGCTGCTGGCTCTGGCAGTCTTTCCAGGCGCTGTACAAGGCTTGTGGCCGATGCCAAGGTCCATCACATCGGGGACGACTGCTTTGAAGCTTTCGCCGGGTTTCTACATCCAAGCTTCTGCGGTCAATCCGCCTCAGGCAGATCTGCTGGCTGCTGTTGCACAGACAGAACTCTATTTGCGGACCGATAACATGCAGCGTCTCGTTCTCGGAAGAGGAGCGTATGACATGAGTGTCGTGCAATCTGCGAGTACCCTGCCGTCCTTGACGTTGTCCTTGGAACCCGGAGCCACCGCTGAAAGTATCTCTACGGAGGCAGTCAAGGCACTCGGGTCCCGAAGTGAAGGATACTCGTTGACCGTACCTTCTGATGGATCCGCTGCCACTTTGACCGCGAACTCTACGCTTGGCCTGTTCCGTGGTTTGACTACCTTCAGCCAGATGTGGTATGAATATGATGGGCAGATATACACTATATCCGCGCCGTATGACATCGTAGACTCTCCTGCATACGTAGGTCTTCACAAAATGGTACCGAGATGGCCCGACCCTAACGCTTCCATCAGCCTTTTCGAGGATTTATGCTTGACACAGCCAGGAACTAGTGAGTATGACGCCCTCGGGGAAGCATCTTTGAATTATGCTAACACATCCTCAGCTTCCCGGTGTCAGATATCTACCGTACGCTCGATGCAATGAGCTGGGTCAAAGCAAGTCATATTGTACCTACCATTTGTGGATAGACGTGTTAATCCACGTCGTAGATCAACACGTTCCACTGGCATATCACGGATAGTCAGAGCTTCCCCCTCATAGTAGCCGAGTATCCCGAACTGGCACAGTATGGGGCGTACTCTTCATCTGACGTCTATACGCCCACGGATATCCAAAACATAGTGTCTTACGCTGCTGCAGTACGTTGTCGCGGTCTAGCTGTAGATCTGTCAGCTCATAAAGCGTATTTCAGCGTGGAATCGATGTGTTGCTGGTAAGCATTACAGCGTTCGGGAGGGATATCCAGGTATAATCATGCATCTTCCTAGGAAATTGACACGCCAGGTCATACTGCCTCAATCGCCGACTCGCACCCCGAGTACGTCGCCTGCAACCAGGCTACGCCTTGGGGTGACTTCGCCAACGAGCCCCCCGCGGGCCAATTGCGGTTCACCGACCCGGCAGTCCGCAACTTCACCACGTCACTTCTCTCGTCTGTCGCGAAGACCCTTCCGAGCACGATGTTCAGTACTGGCGGCGACGAGCTGAATATTAACTGCTATACCCAGGATAACCAGACGCAGGCGGAGCTGATCAGCACCGGGCTGACTCTCGAGGAGGCGCTGAGCGCGTTCACGCAGCAGACACATGGGAGCTTAATCGCTGAGGGGAAGACGCCTGTCGTCTGGGAAGGTGGGAACATAGTGAATCCTTGGGAAGTTTTGCCGCTCAGCACTCATCCTCAGAAATGGTCCTCGATCATAACGTCACCCTTGCTAACGACACGATTGTCATGTGCGTGTCTCAATTGTCAATATGTTCTGTCCGACTGACGTATTTCGATACCAGGGTCTGGATCTCGTCCGCCGACGCCGCGTCAGTCGCGGACAAAGGTTTCCGGCTGGTACAAGCACCTTCGGATTATTTCTACTTGGTATGTTACCTGTCTGTCATCTATTCGGCGCTTCAACTTCGATGTAGGATTGCGGCGGTGGCGGATGGGTCGGAGACAACCCAGCAGGGTGGGATCATTGCTGCTTACATCTCCAGGCAGAAGCTAATATGAGTGTATAAAACAGGAACAGCTGGTGTGATCCTTTCAAGACCTGGCAAAGGGTATGGTGGTGTCGTTAACTTACCCGAAGTCATACCGACCATGCTATGATATAGGCCTATACGTATGATCCACTCGCCAACCTTACGGCAGCGCAGATTCCTCTCGTATTAGGCGGTCTGTTACGCCCACTCCGCCGTCGTTCCATACGCTGATACGCGAATTAGGTGAACAATTGCTGTGGACGGAGCAATCCTCGCCGACGAATCTGGATCCCATCGTATGGCCACGCGCCGCTGCATCCGCGGAGGTCTTCTGGACCGCCACATCGCCCGGTGGAGGTGCTCTAAATGTAACGGAGGCGCTCCCCAGGCTGCACGACATACGGTTCAGGATGGTCCAGAGGGGCGTGAATGCGATTGTCCTTCAGCCTCTTTGGTGTGCCTTGAGGCCCGACGCTTGCGACATCAATGCGTAGTTAAGGACTGAGTATTACAAGGACTTTGTGTTGGGACTATTTTGGGACGCTGTCATCGCCGTACGCTATGTTGTAGCAGGCCCCTCTGTTGTATTCGACGTAACAGACGCCACCGGTCTTCGCACGTGGTCGCCACAATCTCAGCCACAATGCCATCCAGTGTCAGAGCGGTCACGGTAGCGTTGCCTAACCTCTCTCCGGTCTGTCCAACTTTCGCCATACTCTGTCTTGCATAACGATTCGTCTGGCCGTTTCTTCAGAATTTCGTGGTACCTCGCAATTGCACGACATATGCCCAATAAGGGCGGCGTGCACTCGCCAGACCTTGATTTAATCCAACCGTCCGTTAAAGGCAAAGCTGCTACGAGTAATAGGCTCGCGGCGTTAGATTCCCGTCTATCTGTGGGTTAGATAGGGGCGATCAAATTCGCCGGTCCTTGTCGTATGGATTAGAATTGAAGAATGCTGCGATGCCCGCTGAACCCGCTTCAACCTATTTATGATCCGGTTTACGCTTATAACGTCGCACGATAGGTATTTCGGCTGCAAACCCCACAACTCTTCCTAGTTCCTCAGCTGAGCTTGAGGCTGCGAGAGTCACTATGCTAGCCGTACTCGGGATACTGTCCTTGGCTGCTGTACGGACGACTGCATCACTATGGCCGATACCTAGGTCCATGCAGTCCGGGTCGACGTTCTTGAAGTTGCCCTCCCAGTTCAACGTCACGGTATCGGTACCGTCTCCGCCAGCAGACCTTCTGGATGCCGTGAAAGAGTTGAACTGGTACCTTGCTAACGATCAGTTGCAACGCCTAGTTGTCGGTCGTGGTGCCTACGACGCCCAAGACATCGAGTCGGCTCCCACCCTTACATCTCTAATGCTGTCCCTGGAGGACGGAGCGGAAGTCAACAGTATATCTGCTGAAGCTGTAAAGGCGATTGACATAAGGAGTGAAGGATATCAACTTGATATACCTGCCGACGGATCTACCGCCACACTGGTGGCCAACTCAACCCTTGGCCTGTACCGGGGATTGACTACGTTCAGCCAATTTTGGTATGAATATGCCGGACAAGTATACATGACCTCAGCCCCAATCTCGATTCAAGATTCCCCGGCTTATGTTCGTCGTCTCATTCTGTAGGATCTAAGTGTAACTGACTGAGAAATACCCCCAAGCCCTACAGAGGTTTCATGTTGGACACCGCCAGGCACTAGTGCGCTATTTCTTATTCGATTCCTAGCGGGATTCTATAAAAATCGAGACAGTTTCCCTACGACAGATATCATCCGCACGCTCGATGCTATGAGCTGGGTCAAGGTGGGACCCATTACTGGCGGGAATACACGTTCTGACACTTGAGCAGTTGAACATGTTCCATTGGCATATAACTGACAGCCAGAGCTTCCCGCTGTATGTGGCAGAGTTCCCAGAACTCGCCCAACAAGGAGCGTATTCGTCTGAGGATGTGTACACCCCTCAAGATATACAGGACATCATCACTTACGCCAACCAGGTACACTTCGGTTTCATAGCTATTTCAGTCATTGACTCAATACACGCTTCTCGCGTAGAAAGGGATAGACGTGATGCTGGTATGACATTGACAGCCCTAGCTGCGGCTGCGTGATAATCCAGGCACCTTGACAGGAAATTGATACGCCCGGCCATACTACTTCGATTGCAGCATCGCATCCCGAGTATGTGGCCTGCAACCAGGCTTCACCGTGGGCAACCTATGCCAACGAACCACCAGCAGGTCAACTACGCTTCACAGACCCGGCAGTAGTCAACTTCACTACTCAGCTGTTCGGTGCGGTGGCTAAGACCGTTCCTGGCACTTTGTTCAGCTCCGGAGGGGACGAATTGAATATTCCGTGCTACCGTGACGATAACCGGACGCAGGGCGAGTTGAATAGCACGGGCTTGACGCTGGAAGAGGCTTTGAGTAACTTCACCCAGTCTACTCACGCTGCCTTGATAGCAGAAGGGAAGACACCGGTGGTTTGGGAAGGTAAGAAAAGTCAAAGCAAGGAATACAACGAAGCCGGCCTGACGGACTTCACAACTTCCTCAGAAATGGTCCTCGATCATAATGTTACTCTTTCCAATGACACGATTGTCTTGTAGGTCGGTTGCGTACTTCCTTCGGCGGCGTAATTAACCTTGAAGTCCTAGGGTATGGATAAGCTCGGCAAATGCTGCAGCGGTAGCAGCCAAGAATTACAGGATTGTGCAGGCGCCTTCGGATTATTTCTATCTGGTAGGGACTTGGGACGTCGTCTCCTGGAAAGAACGTCTCAGATACCTTCAATCAGGATTGTGGAGCCAGCGAATGGATTGGTGATACACCGGAGGCGTCCGTGATGTTTGTTTCACTCCTGGAGGCTGCCGACTGACAATTATAATACTAGGACGAGCTGGTGCGACCCATTCAAGACTTGGCAGAAGGTATGCAGTTTATGCAGTACACCTCAGCTGGTGAAATCCACGAATGTTTGATGAAACAATACGTTACAGTCATACACGTTCGATCCTCTCGCTAATATGACCGACTCCCAGAAATCACTGGTGCTCGGAGGTAAATGACTCCTGCGTATTAGTCTCAAACGCTATTCATTCGGCCATTAACTTCCCTCATCCAGGCGAGCAGCTCCTGTGGACAGAACAGTCTTCGCCTACAAACCTTGACCCGATAGTATGGCCCCGTGCTGCTTCCTCGGCGGAAGTCTTCTGGACAGGTGCTACTGGACCGGACGGGGCACGGCTGAACGTCACCGAAGCTCTTCCTCGACTGCACGATCTAAGGTTCCGGATGGTACAGAGAGGCGTCGGTGCCATTGCTCTACAGCCGCTTTGGTGTGCTCTCAGACCACATGCTTGTGACATCAACTCGTGAAGTGATAGAGCCTGCAGCACGACTGCTGATTAACTGAGGATTTAATCATATCTCATCTGTTCCTGCATGGAAAACTATTCCAGCGTTACAAGGCGTGAAGCGTCATGAATTACAGAGCATTAAGCAAGAAAAAGTAACGGTAAATGTGATGGGGTCCCTGCCATCACTCCGTATATTACACCTCAGCTTCTGGCATCGGGCTCACTTCTGGAAGTAGCCAAATCTCAACAAGGCTGCAACAGCAGATGAACCTAGTGTCCGGTTGTCTCAGGCAGTCTTCTCGGAATTTGCGAGTACTAGAGCTTCTGCAGCGCGGGACCGTGGCTTGATAGAGCATTGGAATGGTTTCACAGTGCTGAGCGGTGACGATCAGCTGGAGAACAACACGCTGGTCGACGAATGGTCATTACCTAACAGTCTCACTCGTGAAATCTACTAGTGGTTCGATCACACGGCCGTTCTCATCCATAGCCTTCGATACGTCGAATGCCGCCAGCGACATCGCAACGGCGCACCAGACAGATACATCCGCTAGGTTGAGACCTAGAGGGGGGTGGCTTCGTAAGTACACGTGAGGGTGAAACTAGAGGCTCATTACCAGGGCATCGCCTGGATAATTGAAGTCAGCACCAGCCCATTCCAACCCTAACTTAGACGTACCGTCTTCCGAATCCGAAACACAACTCCCTAGGGTCGCGTTCCGGGTTCTCACCTAGGAACCTTTCTGGCCTGAACTCCATAGGATTTGAGTAGGTCTCTGGGTCGTGGAGGAGTTTCCTAGGCATAAATAAAACGTGACCAATTGAGGAGCGGCGCATTAAACAAGTTGTCCGAAACTGACGACGCACCAGATGTTAGCAATCACCATAGATCCTTTCGGGATGAAATGGCCGTCACAAATATCGTCTTGCGTTACGACGTGAGCAAGGTCTAGAATAGAATTACTTTTAATCACACATAATGAGAGCCAGGAACATCGCTTCTTACCAAGAGGCACGACTGGATGCCATCGGAATGCCTCCTTCACCAGAGCTTCGACATACGTGAGGAGCGGTCGATCACTCAATACAGGGAGCCTGTCAGGCCCTATGACTCTATCAATCTCTTCTTGGGCCTTCTTCTGAGCCTCAGGGAAAAGGGTCATTTCGAGGAAGTACGAATTAATGAGTGCGACGGTCTGATGAGACGTGAAGTTGTCAGGATAGCTGCTGTCAGCTTGTTGGGGAGCGTAATGCTTACAGTGTCCGCTCCAGCTGCATTGATTCCGATTACGCTTAGCCATTGCTGCGGTACTGGTAATAAGAGGCTTACCTGCGTACATGGACGCCGAGGTCCATTTGATATCTCGCAGCTTTGTCGGCGTGAGTTCTCCCGCGTCTTCCAGGCAACGTGACGCGAAAGAGGGTTTTGCGGTCCCATCGGCCTTGCCTGCAGTTAGCTAGAGTTGCACGGGAAGCGAAGCATCACACACCATTTGCATCCTAACCCATGCAAAGGGTATTTCCACAGTGTCGACGGAGCATTTGTACATCCAAGCGGCGGTTTTCTTGAAACCAGCTCCCGGGAACCACGACGGCACGTATTTCACTGTAGCGCGGTTTATCAGGTGTACACGATACCCTATAGACTGGACGCACAGATGGGCAGGGTGTCCACGAGAAAGGCGTTCGGACTAGTGATGAGCGCGAAATGAGACATCGATTCTTCGGCTAGCTCAACCAGGGGATCATGCTCTTCCTGAGGTTCATAACTATATGTGACTCGCAGTATGATGCCTCCAGCGTCCCTGACGGGAAGAATCGCAAGCGTTAGTGAGGAGTGCCATACATCCAGAGAGAGCAGAGCTAACTTTCTGATAGCATCGAACAATTCCTGCGGTTGAACCAGAATTCGCCTCAGGAAGCGGAATGATTCTTCTTCGACGACGGGATGCAGCTTCTCGGTAGCAGACTTGGTACCCATATACCACTGGAATAGTCTACGGCCTGCGCGATGGGATTCACCGAACTGGTGGAGTGCGAGAGTCCAGTTCCATTGAACGAGTTCACAGCCCATTGTAAAGTAAGGTCGATCGGAATATATAGCGCTCTTCTTTTCAAAAAGCGCCGATACTGCCTTGGTCGAGTTCAAGAATACAAAGTGTTGACCCAGAAGATTTACATAGACAACGTCACCTAGAGATATGTTACTCGCGAGTCACCACGGTACAGGCACACGGTTCATACCCCATTTATCAGCCCATTCGGAGACTGCAAGCCACTTATGTTCGGCAGGCATGTCAAAGAGGTTGCCGATAATGGGCCATCCCTTCGGACCTGGAGGGTATGGAGCGGGGGCTCGAGCGACGAGCCGTTTCAATATGATACATGCGATGAGTGCGAGGATAACATCGACGAGACTGACAGAGTAAGCCATAGCATATACAGGGTATCAGATGGACGGGAGAAGAGTGCGAAGCTCTTCGAGAATCGAGGGATGGGAATCCAGGGGGATCGACTGGCCACATGTGAGAGGGAGCCCGGCCTTTAAATCCGTCGCCCATCTGGATTCCCTCGGCCCTCGGGTGGTAGATCTGGCTTCATCTGGTGTAAAAGACAAAGCAACCACCATAAGAAGTGATGGTACGCCTCCGGGACGGCATAACCAGCCACTTGCGCATCTATGGGTTAGCATCGTGATTGACACCGAGTTAGCGGCGCGATATGATGAAATCCACGACTTCGGGAGGCACGAGCCATAGGAAACTGTACGAGAAGCCTCCGCTATTATGTCAACGGCGTTAACAAACCCGTTCCCGACGGTTGAGACTCCACGAAGGCCAATCGCCATAGTCGTTGATGTGATGTGATCCCGGAAGAGAAGCCGCACAGGGATGGGCACCTGGGCTCTCGGACGTTTCGAAAAACTTGGTTGAGCGACTGTCTCGTTGTCGGTCATGGAAACGCTCGATGAGATAACATCCGATTAACCGACATTGCCCAAAGCTGCAATGGGAAAGGCGTAGGTCCTGCAGAGACACGTTGCATCAAAACCAAGTCATGAGGTCTACTAGCAGTTCTCCTGTGGGTCCGTATTACCACTATTTTACGATAGATATCCTGGAGGCGACGATAGAAGCTTCATCCTCTTCTAAAAAACATAGGCATCTTCGTTTATCCTTTCTTGGGGTTGCTTCATTGGCTCGTATTTGCCATGGGAAAAGTCTTATCGCGGAGGTATTTCCATCGATATCAGCCGCGGAAAGTGAAGAGAAGCCTCACGTCCAACTGTATTGAGACAGTATGCCTGAGGGAATCGGTCAGCATACGAACTGTGTGCCATCTTTAAATGCATATCATCTGGTGAGCCCTGGTCCTCACTCTGACGTAGCAAACCTTAACCTGGAGTCTATTGAGGGATATGAAGAGTGGACACCGCTTCCGTGGTCACAGAGCAAACCAATGAAACTATCGAGAAGTAGATGACGTACCAGCACTGTAGGTCAGCATGTACATTAGGCTCGCGCGTTGCTGAACGTCCGAGACTCCGTCCTCAAGGCCTCTGAGGTGCTGGGGTGATCTGTATCCCGAGCCCGAAGGCAGATGGATTGCCCCAATACTTCTCGAAACCTGTCACGGACGCAATCGCCATCATGGATGAGCCTCGTGTCTAGTGAAGCTGTGCAAGAACCGTACCAGCGCGGCCAATCTTCTTGGGGCAGCCTTCTAGAGAAATCATCCAAAGGTATGTGCAATCGTAAAAACGACGCAAGCGCGCCGCAGCTGCATGCCTATCTCGGCGCGCTGGTACTGCTTTTGTTTAGTCCGCTAGCCGGCCGACGCTTCAGGGATTGAGCGGTCCACTTAGCCTGCACCATCCGATAGGGTCTGCTTTTCAGAAGCGGCGACAGGGTAAGCGCGAGTTTTGAGTCTACAGCCTTGTCATCAAGAGCAATTGCCGGTTCACCCGCAGGAGGGAGGGGAGGGCGGTTGGACTTCACGCACTTACTCAACGTAGTGAAGGATCGACAAGCAAAGCTGCTAGAAGACTTCTCGATTGGGTCCTTGGGATAACTACACAGGAGCTTTACCAGAGCGGAGTGTAGGCAGCTGTCCGAGGATATCCGAGGAGGAGTGCCCCATGAGCGCCGTTTCGCCGCTTGCCCGCTAGGCAAAGGGCAAGATTCGTTCGTCGATAACCAAACCATCGTGGTGAGCTGCTGCTCAGAGTACCGACGATATCAGGCACTTGAGCCCGACGCAGGGATGAACGTGCGCAAGCGCTTGGACCTTGCCCGGACAGTTCACTGGTCTAAGGAACGGTGGAGACTTTTTTTCCAGACTTCTCGAGTAAGTCCCATCCGAGACTGCCTAGGGTTTTCTGCAGAGCGAAACAGAAGCAGCTTTCCGCCGAGCCATTCCAAGGACAGGTGTCTTGTGAACGTAGTACAAGTCCGGCGGACGATTCGATTGATCCATGCCGCGCAGCCGCAGGGCCCTGCTGATCGAAATATCGACGCTATCAAGCTGTTCAGCGCAACGAAAGGAATAATGAGGGCAGCCGCTTGGAGATCTCGAGCTGTTCACCGTTATGAGTGATGCATCAGCAATGAACAGAGTTGTCTGCAGACTTCTCGAGCAGATGACTTGAGTTGTTGTCCCAGGGGCTCCAGCAATATATGCAGCGGCACTCATTACCAAACGTCGTATTGACGAAACCCATGGTTCTACCCACAGGCCTGCAGTCTCTTCGGAACAAAGCATAGCAACATACCAATGATGTTGGACATGAGCAGTGTCCATGTCCCCGTTCAAGAGGTGGACATAGTGTATTATCCGACCTTCAGTTCACCAGCGTGTCTCTGGATGAGACGGGTTGGCAGAAAGTATGCAGAGTCGTGATACTGTCCTACTTTGGAGGCGTAGACAGCGTCTCTTCAATTATGCGAGGAACGCAGTGCTGTACGATTGGACAGCGGTGTATCGACGTCCAATGCTTGACTTGGTTATTGCGCGAAATATGGCCACAAGCAACGACGCCCGACCTCCTCGCTTCACCCAGGCATTAATGAAATCCAATCGAAGAATCAACTCAACGACGACAGCTACCCTCGGAACGTCCAAAGGAGGATGCACCTTCGTCGCCACAGCCTGGGGGTACAGTTGGATCCCTTGTTCCCGAGCGCGTGTCGCTTGCTTGCAAGGGTTAAACACCGAAACCAATCTCCTAGAGGGTGGTCTCTCGACATGCGTAACGCGACTACAGTCGTAGACAAGAGTCGCAAACGCGGCAGGAAACAACGTCTTGACCGAGACTCAGAGAGGACCGAAAACGTCGCTTTCGGCAAGCATATCCATATGTAGCCAAATATTATGTAATCTCCGGCCCCAAATTGGCTGTGGCCGGCCGGTCCCCGTGTCCCTTAGGCGTCGTAGCCTGAGTGCAAGTCGACAATTACACTGACACAGCTGCGTCTACCAGTTCTCTGAGCTCTAAATCTTGTATGTTCCTGTGGCTTTACATCCGGATATGCGTTTGATGCACGCCTTTTTAGTTGTGAATTAAGCGTCCTACGTGGGTACAGGCGGTTTCGCGGAGAGGCCAAAGAAGCGTCAACTGTGCGCTGCAGCAAACGAGTAATACCTGGTTCGGCTTGTTTCTGGTGAGCTGGTACCACGGCTATACGCGCTTTGCGGAGGAAAGTCTAACAAAATTCCCTGGAAGTATCTTTTCGGAGCTTTACTCTTGAGTAGGCGGCACGCAATGAATCGAGGTAACCGCTGGACTTCGGCGCAGAGTAGACAAGCGTTATTCACCGTGCGTCCAGGTCAACCACAACCACCCCAGCGGCCACCGAGTCTAGCGCCCACTCCGGGCCTAGCTGGCCACTTCCGCGGCCCATATCCTCCCTCATTCGGCCTCCCACCAAGGAACGTCATGCAGGGCTACCCAAACCTACCAAACCACCGCACGCCACAGAGCATGGTCTCGCAGCCATCACCGAACTTCATCCAGCAGCGCGCGCAGAGCACATTCCCGTTCGGCAGCGCGCTGCAGCAGCAGCAGACACAGCAGCAGCCACAAACCCACCAGCACCAACAGACGAGCATGCCACACACCCAGCAGACGACAACACAACCGTCGAACAATACGAGCACGAGTTTACCCCCGCACCTGGCGCCTCAGACCGCACCTTCAACCCTAGGCACGGCACCCTCGGTGTCGTCAGCGAGCGAAGTCGGCCTGGATCCGAACGACTTCCCAGCACTCGGTTCGACTACCACTGGGTCGGCGGCCACATCGAATAGCACGGCAACCGGCGCGACAGGAGGTGCTAGCTACGCGAGTCAGGCAGGGACGGGGGTGGCCTTGGGTGGGGTGGGCGGACAGGGTTCATCGAGCACGTCAGGAGGGAACCAGAACCGCGACTTTACGCCGGACGACTTCCCCGCGCTAAGTGGGCAACCCCAGACATCACAAACGCAACAATCGGCACACCCGAGTCAACCGAATCAAGAAGGTCACCCACCAGGGCTTAACGGGTTCGGTCAGCAAAATAGCGATCAGCAGCGGCAGACATTGTTGGGTTCGCTAGGTGGCGTGGCTTCTACGCCATCGCAGGCAGGGCAGCAGCAACCAGGGCTATTAAATCTGGGTGCGTCTCGAAACTTACATTCCGGGTTCCAGTCGGAAGCAGAAAAGCAACGGGTACGCTATGTTTCCCGTATGGATGGAGTAGGCTGGATAATTGATTCGTTCTGCTTCTCGCACGCCACGCTTGCTCCTTGTTACTGCAGAACTACGCAATGAAGCTGAACCAGTCAAATCACCCAGCATGGAACTCCCCTAACCCGAACGGTGGCTCCCAAACACCAGCTGCAGCGGGCGCGGGCTCGTATCCGACACAGTCATTGCAGCAAAACGGCGGCGGTCACAATTCAGCGCCAAACCACCTACCACAGCAGCCCTCTCAGCAGCATCTAAACGCACCGCCGGGCGTGCCTCCCCCAACCTCCTATGTCCAGCAGCCAATCGCGGGCCACCACCCAGCGCCAGGCGCAGGCCAGCAGGCACAGCAGACGCCCTATCTAGGGAACGGGACACCAGCTGCTGATGCTGCACATGCGCAGGGAGGCGTGCCACAGACCCCTGCGCAACAAGTGCTAATGTCTCCGGCGGACCGGTGGGGGCTATTAGGGCTAATAGCCATGATAAAGAATGCGGATCTGGACCAGAGCATGCTAACGGTGGGTACAGATTTAGGGACGATGGGGATGGATATGACGAATACTGGGTATGTCTTGACATCTCGTGCGCTTTGTGTGATCTGATCGGTGGATAGAAATCTGTACTCGACGTTCATCACGCCCTGGGCGGATTCATCAGCGGCGCATACGGTAGAGCCCGACTTCCATTTACCAGCCTGCTATAGCGTACACCCTCCGCCACCGGGGCCTGCCAAGGCTCAGGCATTCAGTGACGAGACGTTATTTTTCATGTTCTACTCGTCTCCGCGGGATGCCATGCAGGAGGTTGCCGCGCAGGAATTGTGGGTCACCCTTTCCTGACCGACCGTTTTCATCGCACTCACGGCGGTCTTTTTGCATTGACAGGTATAACCGCAATTGGCGGTACCACAAGGAGCTGCGGCTATGGCTCACGAAGGAGGCGGGCCAGCAGAACTCTGTGAAGGTCAACGGCGGGGAGTCCGGGACGTACACCTACTGGGATCCGGAGAACTGGGAAAAGGGCCGCAAGGACATGATGGTCATGTACGCGGATCTGGAGGAGAAGGCGCACCCCGCGTTCGCGCCTGGCCTGACCCTCCAGATGCCAACGCAGTCCCAGCCGCAGCAGCTACCGCAAACGAGGGCTAACCTTCCGGCGATCGTCACGTCGATGTGAGGGGCGCTGCCGATGCTGTTTAATGGGGATAACCGCGGCGCTATCGTAATGTTGTGTGTCTGCACGCTCTGCTCTTTCTCTGTCAGGCGCGCTCACTCGTTTTCCACTCGAACAATTGTATCTGTATTACACCCGCCCTTTTTACATAACGTATTTGCCTATCCGCTTTCTGGTGCTACTATCACAACGCGACGATCTTTCTTGACCCACTGCTGTTTAGGCTCTGAGCCGCTGTGCCACACATAGTCGGCTCGGACGCATTCATAAAGGCCTGCATGCAATGTTCTGTCCGATCCGCTTACTCTGATGAGAATCTTATTGTGCAAACGTATCCTACGACCAGTCGTGTTTGCTGGGCGCTCGATGCGTAGAGCGTCTTCTTAGCTGTCGATCCGATGTGCGGGATCGTACAACGAGGATACTGCCACGACTTGCGAGGTATATCATCATGAATCTAAACGGTCCTCTTGCGAGACATATTTCTACCTGTTACCATCCCGCTCTCAGTCTTGTATCACGTAGCGACGTGATACTTGCAGACGAAGACGATGGCGGAATCCCCGGAGCCCTTGCCCAAATTATCTCGCAACGCACATGCATTGCATTGCATACGATGTCTGTCGGGATTGCCGTCCTCGCAGACGGAGATGGATTCGTCTCGGTAGGCCCCAGTTTTTCCAATGTGTGAAACGCACTCTGAATCGATGTGCAAATCAAGTTTGGCGTTGGTGTTCTATTGCCTTGGGTCCCTTGACCTGCTTGGAGTACTGGAGTCAAAGAGCACTGATGCGGATCGAGAAAGCTGGAAGGAATGGATATGGCAACAGCATGCCAGTCCGTTGTGCTATTCCAAAGTGCTAACTAATGCTGACCGTTCTATAATCGCAGGCGGGAAGTACGGTGCAGGCTTTCGACCAAGCCCCTTCATGACAGGGGCAGGTTCCCAGAGCGTACGTTCACTCCCTACGGAATAGCCAAGCTATTGATAGGGTACTTAGGCAGAATACTCCGAATATGACACGCCACACCTGATAATGACTTACACTGCGCTGCTTTCGCTCTCTATCCTGAGGGACGACTTCGCCCGCCTCCACCGGCAGGGTCTGCTGACGTTCCTCCGGAGCTGCCAGCGCGAAGACGGCAGCTTCTGCAGTTACCCTAATAGCACGGAATCCGACTTGAGATCGGTGTACTGCGCATTCGCCATCAGCAGCATGTTGGACGACTGGTCGGGCATAGACGTCCCCCGCGCATTGTCGTTCATCAGCAAATGCCGGGTAGGTTACTATCATCCCCTCCGGAACACGTTTCTGACTCTTCTTCAGACATACGAGGGCGGGTACGGTCAGGAGCCGTATGCCGAAGCACAAGGTGGGTACGTCTGAGTTATGGTCCGGAAGATCGTCCTGACGCCCGATCCAGGAGGGACAACCTACTGCGCTCTCGCAGCCATACACCTAGCCCTCAGCGCTCCCCATTCAACTTCTCTATCCCTTAGCGGACTCACACAGGCCCAACGGCGGCAGACAATCCGATGGCTCGTCCACAACCAAGAGTCATTGGGCGGATTCCGTGGGCGCACGGAAAAGGATCCGGACGCGTGTTATTGTTTCTGGTGTGGCGCCTCTCTCCAGGTAACCCCGATCTGCTGCTACAAGTGTTGAACCTCACTGAGTTGGCCGTACCCCTTTGCAGATATTAGACGTGAAAGGCCTGGTGGATACTGGTCCTCTGGCTTCGTTCTTGGCGAAGTGCCAGTTCAAATTCGGGGGGATTGCCAAAGCCCCTGGCGAACATTCTGGTATGCGCACCGTTATGGCTGCCAGGCGTGATCCTCAACATCTTGATGAACTGTAGATCCATTTCATACGTACCTCTCCCTCGCTGCCTTGGGAATATACCTCCCAGAGGACCCGGAAGAGTCCTGGAAGTTCGAGGCATTGGATCCCTCATTGAATGCAAGACTAGAGACGGCCCAATGGGCCCGGGAGAAGATACCCTCAAGGTCTCTCGGACACTGAACACGAGCCTGTGGATGATTTTGTCGATCTTGTCTGAATTGTTGCACTGGGTATAGCGATTGAATCTTTCCAACTGTCGCAATTCTTCCAACTGATGTCCTCTCAGTGTACACAAAAGCCGGAACAAGATATCGAAACAGATATGAGTCCTATATTGATCTACTACATAAGCCTAGATGCGTGTATTATATGTGAACAGGGATTACAAGATATTATTTATGTACACAGTGGATCTGCTGCTACAGCCCTTCATCATACAACTTCCTCGAAAGAGCGACATAAAATCGTTCTAGGTCCTCCTTCGTCTCGAGCTCGTTTTTGACCGACGGTTTCTTGCTTTTCTTGCTCTGCTCCCGCGCACTCTTCTCGTCGGGCGACGCAGACGCGCCGCGAGACGATGAGGCAAGTGGACTGACACCAGCCCTGGCAGGTGTAGGTACCTGCTCGACAAGCCAGTCGAACACCGCGGACAATTTATCCGTCGAGGACTTGAGGAAATCATCGTCATGGTCATCCGCCTCTCGCGCTCGTCTCTCCTTCTCCTTCTGACTGGCTTCCACCGCCTTCGACAGCGTCTCCTCTCTTTCCTTTTTCTCGATTTTCTTCACCTTACCATTCTCTTTCTTCTTCTCGGTCTCCTTTTTCTTCTCCTCCTTCCGCCATGCTGTCACGAACCGGGTCCAATCCGACAAACTCCATCCCTCGCCAAAGCTGTTCCCAATCCCAAACGACACGTTCGGTATATCGATATCGAGCTCCAATCCCCGCGCGCCGCGGATATGCCAATGATCGCAGCCTTCCATGATCCCTAGGAACTCACCCCACCGCGCACTCTGAACAGTCACGAGCCCGTCATTTCCCCACTCGTCCTCGCGTTCCCATATTGGCGGGCGCCCCTCCATCCGCACGTAGTCCTCCCTCGTCCATCCGCGCTGCCTCAGCATCTCCTCTCCCTCCTTCCGCAGCTGCTGGCGCTCCCTTTGCTCTACACCGTCCAGCACCATTTTAGGTAGCCAAAACGGGTGCCAAATGGCCACGTTCTGGATCCGCGCCGCGACGCTAAAGTATTTGACCCGCGGATCATCTGGGGTGGTAGGATTGAATATCTCGTTGAGATAGGTGGAGGTCAGGTTCGCGTAAGCCGGCGAGTCGAGGATGGACATGAGAAAGGTGGTGAAGGAGGAAGGGAATAAAGAAATGGAGAGGGGAGATGGGGAGCGTGGGGGTGGCGTGTGCTTTTCTGCAGCAGAGGAGGCATCAAGCGGATCCAGTTCCGACTGGGCAGTCGATTCCTCAGCCTTTAATCGTTGTTGCTCCTGGCGCTTGAGTTTACCGATACCAATGCGCTCCTGGGTGACGGACTATTTAGGCATGCCGGTGAGGAAACATTACACCGAACTAACCGCACACCAATCCATGAACGGACTTCCGCGATGGGGTGTCGCTACAGTCGTAAGTGACACGGGCGTGTAATCCCTAGGCTTGATGTGCGAAATCAAATGCCGACAGTCAAGCCCCCCCATGGAATGCGCCATGAAATTGATCCCTTTGCCTCGTGCTCGGTCCTTGAGGGCTCTGTCAAGGTTCTCTGCGCGTGAAGCTATGGAGCCTGTTCTAGAAACTCAGTCAGCAATCAGCCGAATTATTTATATTCAACGGAAACGACGCACGCAGGGACGGAGGTAACGATCACCTCGGCTCCGACCTTTTTCTTGAGAATCTGTAGAACGTTCGACCAGTAGTGCATTTGCAAGCTGGGGAACGAGGATGGGCCTCGGACATCGAATCCATAGAGTCCTGTGGAGCGCCACATGAAAACGCGTCTTCGGACGTCATAAGAGATCACTCACCATGGCACAGTGCTATGGGATGGCGGGGCGTCCGTATGGGATCGTACAGGACTGGATTCTGTAACAGCTGATGGATTGTATCAAGCCGCTTTGTATCCTCACTCGGACGTCCTGGTTCTGGTGTTGGGTCCGGTGACCTGTCTCTCGATTCATTGTTCTCATGATGATTCGTTACATTGCCGTCAGTAGACGGAGAAACGTCCTTGGACGATGACAATGTCGCAGGACCATCTGCTCATAAGCGATATGAGTGACGCTGAGAGGTGCCATACGTCTTCGATGTGTATAAAACCTTCCTCCAACGTGAACGCGCTCTTACCTGGTATGCCCCCTGCGGTATTGAACGCTTTCTCCTTGTTTACTTGGATATTCAGAACGCCGGTGTCCACTTTCCCTTTGCCACTCTGCAGCAAGACATACTGGTTGGAGATTGAGAGAGCTGAAAGAACATGCACGACACGTCGAATGAAGAGATATACAGGTGCAGACAGGCATAGAACGGAGTTCATGGCACATTCAAGTGCATGTCCAAGTCCGAGGAAGACCGATGATGATCGAAGTGGGTAAGGATCCAAGACCCCCGATACCTCGGGTGATAGTATCACAAGACCTCAACTTGTGCGACCATGAGTTTTGTGAATTTCGTCCAAACAAGCCGGATAGTAGAGAGAGCACTAAGTGAGGATAGTATGATGTATCGTTTACCAAAGAAACGCGGGCTCAACAAGCGTGCAGGCGAGCAAACGGCATCGATTCAGAAGTGGAAGGAGACAAAGAGCATATGACCTCCCATCGGAGGGAAAGGCTTATTATATTCGGTCGGGCGTGAAGGAGAAGTCTTTGGTTGACAAAAGTCGAGCGTGAAAACGAGAAGAACATATCCGTGATCCTACCATAATAGGTAGTATGCCTTCCGAATTTAGCCTCTGAGGACTGCAGAATGTCGTCATCCACCGGAATATATGTAATCACGTGACCGCGACGCGCATATACTCGAGAGCGCATATATTCACGGGTTATGCCAGGTTTAGGGTATACACTTGCGCGTTCTGCTCTCGACCACCATCACCATGGTAGAAACTCGCAAATCTTTGCGGCGCACGGCGAAGGACAAGGACACTGTCGGCGAAGAGAATACTGGTACCGTCAAGGGCAAAAGGCAGAACGCGGCCGGTGACCACGGAGACAAGCAAACCGACAAAAATAGCAAGAGGAAGAAAGGAAAACTCAGGCTGCTCCTGGAGATGCCCCTGGATGTTCTGTACGAGGTACGCGTATCAGGCAAGCCATATAGGGCTTGCAGGCGTCATCTCGCAATGTTTGCAGATACTCGGGAAGTTGCATCCTCTCGACTTACTTCGCTTGTCATGGACGGCGAAGGAGCTCCGACGTACCGTGATGCACCGCTCTGCGCGTGCGGCATGGATCCCAGAACGTTGAAGGTCTGCCTGATCGTCCGGAGGACTTGACTGAGCCCCAGTGGGCGTACCTCGCGTTCTATCCCCACTGCCACGTCGTTATTGAACTAGGGTGTCTTGGGCTGGTCCTGATATTGTATTATACTCCAGTACTGCGGGGCCGTAAACTGCCAGACTGTTGTCTGGACATGTCGTATCAGATCATGCAATAAATGCCTCAAGGAACAGTACGTGATGTTGTGCTTCACTCGTGGTATTCTCGTCTAACGTATGTGCGCCTAGGTTTGTCGAGTCGGATACCTACATATTCTATCGGTTACCTGCAGGTCTCCGGCAGGACCTCTCTTCATTCATGCGCAGCCATTATATCGATTCAAAAGGCGGGTGGATCTATCCATCCATCCATAAATTGCCCCCTTACATTTTTTTTCGGTAGATAGACTGCTGTTTCTTAGGAGCGACGCGGGGGAGATTATGCGGTTGCTGCAGTCAGAACGGACCCCAGACGAACTCGGCGACATTCTTGATGAAAGGTCAGAGAAAATTCAATCATTGATGGAGGTATGTATTATGGATTTGTTTCGGTCTAAGATTGATGTATCTCGAAGCACGCGGACCAATGCGAGGCATGGCTGCAATCCGAGAAGAGAAAACGGAGTATGGAGTTAGAGAGGCTACGCGATGCTCGCCGTGAAGCGTAAGTCGTACATGCTATCTCAATCACCAACAGGTGGACGATTTAGCCTTAATTTCACAAGATTCTCCACAAACTCTTTGGCATGGGTCTGGCGCCGGAGGTTCAAGCTATCAGCGAGTACGATGTCTCTTCCTTAACGGAGCACCCGCTCGTTTCGCAGCCCAAAGAACTCACTGAGCGTAGTAAGTGCCCTGGAGGCTATACTGCCAGACCTGCAGCGACGCTCACGATCTCTGCTTTAGTTTGGAACAACATCAAGGACGAGGTCATAGAATTTGTACAAGAGAAGTCACTCGAAGTGGCGGAGGCAATACGCAAGAACACTATGCTCGCTCACGACGCCATAGTATCCGCCCTATACCAGGAATGGCTGGAGTTGCAGTCCCCAGTGGACCCATTCCCCTCTGTTGCGGACGTCTGCTTGATGAAGGAGTTCAGCGAGATTCTTTCCCGGCGATTAAATGTTGAAGTCAGCGAGGAGGACTTTGTCCCGGCTATAGAGTCCCTACCTCGGCTAGTGGAGGAGTGGAGAACCGAAATCAAGCTCAAGCTCTGCAAACTGATGCCTCACGAGGAAGACGAGGAAGAACAGGTCTGGAAGGACCCCCGTCACTTGGAATTGGCTACAACCATATTCCGATGCAAGATGTGCACTGAGCTCATACACTACCCTCGGGCGCTCTTCCACGCGTGCACAACGAAGCTGAGTTATCTCGGCCAGGACCTTCTCAGTGGGGGACAAAGTGACATGAGATTCAGATGGGTGGCGCTGCGCTGCGCGCCGTGGAATTGCGACAGCCACAGACTGCAGTTCGACGAGGGTGCTTCGGAGGTCGCGAGACGGTTGGTCGTTGCATGCAGCCTCGACCCGGGGGTGACAACGAAGAACGAGATGGACGACCGCAGTGATAGGTTTGCGTGCGAGGGGTCCGAGCGTGAGCAAACAATTGTGACGTGGAATGTAGCAGTACGTCCTACCCTTACCCTGAGTGATCTCACTCAAGCTCACTACGGGTCTCAAGGTGCGGCTCGGTGTGCATCAGTATGAAAGCAGGGGGAAACTCAGAGGATTCGTTCGCCTGTCTCCTCGAGACTCGATAGATCTGCAACTTGCCTTATGCCGCCGTTGGCCTTTCCCTTGGTTGTCCGACAGACCCGGACGGCTCCCGCAAGACTGGCATTGCATCGTTTGTCGCAAGTTGATGTGCCCCCCCTTTTTACGTAACGACGCTGAGGTGGTTCTGGCACACATGCACCGGTGAGTAGCTCCCTTACCTCGCGTGGTTCTGACCGTCTCACACCGTTGTTCTTCAGTCACGGAGTCAGTGTGGATGCGGATGTGAAAGACTACGCTTATCATGATCCTGATTCGAATGCGTGTTCGTGGCCACCGAGTGTCGAGATGAAGATGAAGGATCCACCTGTTGCCGCTGCCGTTTGAAATGCACGATTTCCGAGACGAAAACGCATTATGGCCGAGTGTGTGACGGGGCCTGGCGGCGATATGCTCCGTAGCGGCTCATACCGGGCTCGTGTCGCATATGAGAGATGTATACCTCTCTGAAATCAGAGGCCCTGTCTGGTTTGCGGCCCAGGGAGCATATACCACGCATGAAGGGGACTGAGATGCCACTGGCACCCTTCAGTAACATATGAGGCGTATGACAAAAGCATACTCTCCTTTTGCAATATGGCAGTATCATTATTACACTTCTGAAACAGTGGACTAATACACATATGCAACGTGCACCAGCGAGGGTCTTGCCCGATCTCGTCTATGTTCATAATGTTGGCACTGGCGTCTCTTTCACCTTCATTTTAATTGGGACAGGACACCAATATGCAGGCGCATCCGGGTGGTTGTAGAGGTACTGCCTCATATCGGCATCTGCACCGACTCCATGGCTGGGGAGCATGTTTACTCAATGAGAATGGACGGACTTTCCGAGATGCGCACTCACCCTTGCATATGGGCGACAAGCCCCGCCTGTCGAGTCTCGAGAATGTTCTCTCGACAAAAGGTGCAGTGCCAGTACATGGGGTGTATCCCAGGTCTGTTGTCCATCCATTCGAAAGGTACGAAACCTCGTGGTCGTTCTAGCTCTCTAGCATGCCTGGCATCTTGAGGAGTAAGATGAACGAAGCCCTTGAAGTCCTCCAGTTCGGCGTGGTCTCTTAATCTATGTTCAACCTGAACGTCCCGGAAGAAAATATGTTAGATCGAGTAAAACAGATAAAACGCGGAGTAGAGACGGCGTACCGCGGTATTCCAGGACATGACGGTATGCGGGCGACTCCCTCCCGTCACACAAGTCATGCACGCAAATCTATCGTTCCTCTCGTTCATCTCCTCCCTTGTCGTTGTGTCCGGGTCAAGTCCACAGGACTCAACCAACTGTTTCACCAGGTCAGAAGCCTTATCGGCGAAGAGCAGGCCGTTGCCGTCATAGTTCCACGGCTCATGTTCCAGAGTCCCCCATCGAAGCATAAGGTCGCTCTGCTTTTCACCAGCCTCCTTCGCGCAATAGCCTCTCTTGGGATTCGCATATCGAGGGCGCGTCAAGCACTTGTGGGAGAGGGCCCGTGGATAGTTTATGAAATCCCGGCATGACGTGCATCGAAATATGGTAGTAGCCAATTCCAAACGACGAGGGACATTCAGGGCTTCTTCGTCCTGCCCTTCTTCGCGGGACATCAGCTCGCAAAGCTTCAGTCCCGTTTTCTCTCTCCATTCTTCGACCAGGCGAGGCAGAGCGCCCATAGCAGGAGCGAAGTCTGCGGCTGTGACGTCAATATCGGCGGGCTGCAGAATGATGTCGTTGAACTCCTTCATGAGAAGGACGTCCGCAATGGAAGGATACGCCTCCACTGGCGACTGCGTCCTCAGCCATTCCTCGTAAAGGTCGGCCGCCATGGCGTCCCGCATCAACATTGCCTCAATGCGATCGTGCTCTAGTCGCTGGAGCTTCTTCTCTTCCATCCATTTTATCAGCGGTCCCTGGATGTTGTTCCAAACTAGAGCGAAGAGAGCGAATATTACGGATATCAGAGATTGAGACAGGTCTCAGACTACTTACTTCGTTCGGTGAGCTCTTTAGGCTGGGAGACCAGTGGGTGGTCCATGAACGAATCTATATCGTAGTTCATGAGAGCAGTCAGCTCCTCTCCGTAGCCTGCTTCGTATAATTTCGCGACAACCCTGATGAAGGGAAATCATTCATCTAATCTGTCCATGGCAGCGCGGGGGATGACTCACGCTTGACGACGGGCGCTGCGTACTTCATCCAACTCAAGAGCTCGCTTCTCCTTTTCTTCTTCGAACCATTCATCGCATTCTTCTGCGTGCTTTTGGACGGCTTTAAGTCCTGCAGGACCTACGATGCACCATACATACCTCGTACAGAGGTATCACTATCTCTTCCCTCTCTTTCAGAATCGCTTTTAGTGCGCCCCAGGAGGGTCTGGGATGTACCCTTCGCACGAAGGCCTCCGCTTCGCTCTTCAGGTACACGTGCTTCTCTGTATGCGCCGGTCAGACCATAGATAAAGGAAGGATATTGCGGTATATGCACCTTTGCTGAAAATGTAATGGCTCGGTATCCATGTGTGGAGGTGGTCTCTCCATACCTGGATTAGCGGTTTGAAAATCGGGTGCTTGGAGTCGACAAAGCTACGTAGACATGAGTAATGTTCCCCAATGGATAGTCTATCTAAGTTCGACGTACTATTCCTTCATGCATTTATTGCAACACCGCACACGGCAGGACCAGACTACGGTTTGGCAGTTCATAGCGCCGCAGTACTGTAGTTATGAGTTTTAAGTGAGTACCCGCCTCTCACATGATTGGACATGTTAATTATAATACCGACATGACAGGAAGGATAGAATGCAAGGCGCGCCCATTGCGGCTCCGTAACGTCTTCCGGACATTCGGGCATACCTTCCACGCTCTTGAGGGATCGTATCCATACTGTCCTCGCAGAGCGGTTCATTAGGACACGCCGGAACTCCCTCGATGTCCATGACAGACGGAGGAGGTCGAGGGGATGCAAGCTCCCAAATATCTGCCCTCGTTGGATCAGCAAGGCCATTAACCTACTACATTCAAAGCCACTCACCTCATACAACACATCCAACGGCATTTCAAGAAGTACTCTCAGCTTTCCAGTGCTCTTGCGCTTGCCTTTACCAGCTTTCTGACCGTCATCGGCTGCTTTCTTGCGCGCACGCTTATGAGGCGGCCCTGTAGCCGTAGATACGTTCTCCTTATCCGCAGCCGCAGCCTGGCTGTTCTTGGTCCGCAGGCGTGACGACTTACGCGGTTCTGCCATGATTGGGGATGGTGGTGGTTGAGAGGAGAGGCGTATCGACAGTGCGGAGTCTGAACGCCTCGCTTAATTGGCGGACGCTATAGGCGCGTCACGGCCACGTGACCGCGTATCGTCAGGGTGGCGTACGCCAGGGGGCGGGACGACCACTGTACGTACTATATACGTTGGTTGCTCTGTTGCGCGAGTCTAGATGCCAGTTCTCAGTCCTCGCGAGGATGGTACAAAAGGTAAGAGAGACTCTGAGAGAGTAAGTGCAGAGGGCTTACCGTCTCGCGGTCGGTGGACGCGACGAGCACTCACATCCATTCATCATCTACCCCGCAAAGGTCTCTTCCTTGAGTCTCTGGTTCTGGGCTCGAGAGAGATTAGGTTGAATGTGTGAGCGGGCTGTCCTCAGTGAAACGGACACTGGCGTCTGCGCGTATGGCGCCAGGAACGACGTGCTCAGTGCAATTCCTCGGCGTCTTCAGGCTTGGACGAGCTCGGGCATCCATCCCAAGCGCGCGCAAAGCAGGCGTAGGATGCGCCCGAGGGACAAGAATGCGCCTCGACCGCGCTCGCCGTTGAGCGATACTGCTGAAGAAGCCTCCCTCCCGTCTTCGTAGGTGTTTTTCAAGGAATGGACGTGAATTTATTACTGATCCATGTGAATCTATCACTGATTCCACAGGAGATCTTCACCCTCGGCGGCCCCCCCTATGAAGACAAGATACCACGCGAACGTGGTGTTACCGGATCATGAGTGTACGGCTACCTGGAGAACGAATTGTCACTACTGCGTTCAGAGGAAACTCATCTGCGACCTGCACTGGGAAATTGTGCGGGTCTCGACCAAGCCTCTCCCGGCGGATGACGAATGCATCCAGAAGACTATGAATCGCTTGTGGGAGCTGAGTGTTCGGCTCGAGCGTATCCTGGATATGTTGGACCTTCCAGCATATAGCATTGGATTGGAAAAGATCTCGGCATCGTTGCCCCTCCCCCCAACTGACGAGGAGGGTCTCTGATCTTTAGTCGTATACATCGGATACATTCTGTCTCCCAAGGCTGCACATCTACTGCTCATCGCGGTTTTTCGTGTGTATGGTACCTCGATGTGGAGCATTTATTACTGGCTGCTCTAACTGGCATATTCTTTCTCTGTTTCTGCTTCTGAACCTTCTCGCATCTGGGGGCCGGACCGCGCGAACGGAAGACGTGACCAGATGCCAGGGTGTGTGGCAATATGCATGCTTAGCGCTTAGCACTTACCCGTCAAGTTTTGAGTTATGCTGCCAGTGGACGGCATATCTGTGCGGAGCGATCGCAACACGAGGAACTCCATCGAACTGCGACCTCGAACTGAAACGTCCTTCTCAATTTGCTACGAATGGAACTACGCTGATTATGCATACAAGAATCGTGTCTGACAGAACTGCATCCTACGCCGTACCCTGCGGTACATCGGTTACCTAGTATGCTTGTACAAGGTAGGTACATGTATATCATGGGAACAGTGCGGCATGATATACATTCCGAGTGTTGCAAACAGAAGTGATAGCCTTGGAAGAGGTGACATGAGTGAGTGCCAGCATTTGATATCACACGTGAAGGACATTACCTCCACCAGTTCATGGATACGATTCGCATCCCAAGCAGGCACGTCGAAAGCTGGTGCGTTGATAGGCACCATATGAGCGGCCTGAATTCTGAGTGTTTGCAAGAGCGCCTGCTTAGCGATACAAGCAGTTTCTCCCAACCATAACGTAGGCGACGAGGAAGTGAGCAGGCGATACACAACTTGCAGCTTTTCCACCGCGAGCGGCTCAGCCAGAAGGACGTCGACGCACGCTTTCACCTCGCTGTGCGTAAACATACCTTCCGTATTGAGGTCGCCTACGAAGGATCCTAGGCACATTGCTGCGGAGACGTGCTGGGGCAACAACAGGCCTGCATTGTGTGAGTGATGCTAGAGCAAATTAGCTTGATGCCTGGACCATTGGCCGTGGACCCTTACGTTGCCGCACAAGTAATTGAAGAACTCGCAAGCGCTATCCTGCAGGTGGCGCAGAAGCGCTCGAGCCATCCATTCATTCGAAGCTGCGCGAAGTCGGACATACACCGCTCGGGTGAACTTGGCCACTGCGCCGGGTGCGTCCGTTAGTGGCTCTGCGGCGCAACAGCAAAGTTCCCTAGCAAGTATTACTATGCATTCGATATTCCAGGGCTGACTGTCAACCAAAGTAGCCGCAGCAATTCTCTGCGCCTCGGGAGAGGAGGAGCTTACGCCGAACAGAAATGCAGGATACCACGGTATACCTGAGGATGCGGATATTTCGTGATCAAAGCTAGAACTGTCCGAGATATTAGGGTGTCTCAGATTCGCAGGGACAAAGGGGGCAGCATCAGGCTTGAGTTGTGATGGGCCATACAAAGTTGGAGCTGACTTCGGCAGGCCGTGTTTTTCCATCCATTTAGCCCTAGCCTCAAGGGCCTTTGAATGCGCATGAGCAACCCAACCTTCTTTCTTAGATCCTAGCGCGAGTTCATTAGTCATTTAAACGAAGCGTTCAAATCGCAGGCATACCATCTTCCTTCGTTTCGTGCGTGTTTTCTACGAGGGTGACTTCACTAGTTGACGAGGCGATACGGAGTGACTTGAGGTTGGGCAATGTTTCCCATATATTCACTCCGACATCTGCCTCGCCCAGCGGGGCTTGACATACTTCCAGTCGGTAAGGAAATACTGCGTGCGGGAAGAGGGTCTCGCTAGACATCTTGAAGAGAGTTCTTTGTGACAGACGGTGAACCGCGGGGGCTCAAGGCTTATATGCACGAGCTTCTGGGGCCCATGCGGATATTATGGGCCATAGCTCGCTCACGGCAGTGGCATCTACAAAGTCAGTATTACCATCATGCTTGGACAATAGGGCAATGAATCCTCTAGGCGCGCTTCTTGTCTTGCGAAGTTGTTGGCGAAGAATAGCGCTTAGAACCCGGGCCCTATCGGTGCGCGGGCCACCTCTGTCACGACAAAGATCAACAAAGAGCTGCTTTACGCAAGTGATATCAACGGAAAGACGCCATAGGATTCAACGTTGATCCAACGCTTGAGATACAGTACAGTAACATGCGGAATGAGATTATTAGCAACGCATTAGTTTTGTTTTCCTTGGAGTTACCACTACATGAATAATATTCCCATCTCTTACTCCAGATATGGCGTATGTTTTTCGGCTGATTCCCCGAACGTCATACTTGGCGCATAGCCACGCTGCGCTGTAAATTATAATACAGGCATGCCCCCTTCCTGTCAAAGGCCTGTCAAGCCCGACGGTGGCAATCACGACGCCAAAACCCTAGCGACAGGGAGGCTATCAATTAGCCGAGTCTTACAGTTTTGTGCTCCTCACCATCATGGCCGGCGTGGCAAGGAACGAGCCTCCCAAGCAAGAGGAGATTCCTTTGCCAGATATCGTGCGTCCAAAGGAGCACGACTTTGCACCTAGGTCTGACGACAATTCGCCATCGCCGGAGACTCACTCTGCGTCCAAAAATCGGGCAGAGGTGCGTCTCAACGACGAGGACGATCATGGCTTGACGGCGGACTCCGCAAGCGACACGACTGCTACGAACTCTTCGGATGAATTTGACTGGGATGAGCAGGACGAGGAGGAAAAGGAGAAAGCGGCCGAGAAGACGAAGGCGAGGCGAGGGCGGGCAATCTGGCTGGCGTTCATGAAGTTGTCGAGATTCGTCAGGGTGCTGTTGATCGGTGCATTGGGTGCTGGCGTTCTCATCGCTCCTCTGCTCGTGGTTGAGCTACGGTTCAAGAGCAGCGTTGCCCGCCCGCACGCCCACATGTGGTCGCTCTGGCTGTCTATCGTCTGGGCTGCTAGTTGTGCTACGTACTTGATCGTCGACTATGTTCCCAAGCTGTTCATGGGGCTTATCGTGCTCTTCGGCGGATCCGTGGAACGGCTCCGGACCCAGATAGAGGTGCGCGGATTGGTACCATGACTGTCTTCTTGACATGCTCAACCTGGCCCAGCTCACTTTGGCTGTAGCGGCGTGGCTCAAGCTAGCACTCGACATAACTTGGGCTTGGATTGCCCTGTCTGTTCTTCGTGCCACTTACCATCCGCCTGGCGGCTATTGGGTCATCATCAATCGCGTGATGCAAGCCCTTTTCGCTGCTGGGCTTATTCTCCTGGCAGAGAAGATATTCTTACGTTTTGTTGCCATCAACTTTCATCAAAAGGCTCTAGCCGACCGCCTGAGTGAGAATCGCCTCGGCCTCAAAGCTCTCGACCGGCTCTCCAACGCACAACCCGCCGTGTACAGACGATCAAATTACCGCCAGAAGGGCCACAAGAGTCCCGGCTCTGTCCCGACCTCCCAGCCGCCGACACGCCGCAACTCACTCGATTTGCTGGGCCTACACACCAAGTTTGGAAAACATCCGAGTCCTGGGGATGCTGCACCCAGCTCAGCAAGTGGGTCGCCCATTCATGAGAAAGGGCACAGCTCGCACGACGGGCATGCGGACAAGGCAAAGGGCCACCACAGCCATGTCGAGAAGAAGGTCAAGTCGGCGGACGCGAAGATGCGACGGAAGAAGGCCATTGCATCTGTGGTCGTGGACCAAGTCAGCGGCGCCATAGGCCAGGTGGCGCTCAAGAACTCTAAGCTGAACAGGGACGTTGGCGGGTTATATTCCGCGCGGAAGTTGGCGAGGAAATTATTCAGCGCGCTCAGTTATGCTGATCCGCCGAGAGATTATCTCCTTGTTGAAGGTAGGCTTAGACGTGCTGCAGTGTGTGAAGTGTCTTCTAACGTGTCTCGCTGCACAGATTTCTACCCGTATTTCCCGAACACCGCTGAAGCAGTAAGTATGAAGACGCTGACAGCAAAGGCAAGTAGCTAACTTGCTCTTCGATATAGCATGCAGCGTTTGCTGTCTTCGACAAAGATGGTAATGGCGATATCACTAAGAAAGAGATGCGTGAAGCGGTACAAAGAATTTACCGTGAACGCAAAGCGTTGGTCGCTAGCTTGAAGGTATTGTTTCGATGGCGGTGGCCTCCCCCGCTGGGTAACTCATAACATGTTGCTAGGACGTCGGCTCCATTGTGGCCAAGCTCGATGCCGTTTTAATATGCATCGCACTGCTAGTCATTTTCTTTATTTGCTTGCTTATCTTCAACCGGAAGGACACGCTCTCGTCTTTGGTCCCTCTGGCAACCATCATCCTGGGTTTCTCGTTCATTTTCGGCCATTCGGCCCAGTTACTGTTTGAGTCGGTGAGAGTTATTCGTCATGGGTCATTCCCTCCAATTCATTCGCTGATACGATTTTTACCAAGTTGATCTTCATATTTTCCACGCATGTCTTCGATGTCGGAGACCTTGTTATGATTGATGATCAAGTAAGTGTAAGAAAGGTTCCGTCCAGAGCTGGGTCGATAACCCGTATCTGTAGCCTCTATTTGTCCGCGAGTTTGGTCTCTTCTCGACGACGTTCCGTCGGGTCGACGGGCAGGAGATCATTGCTCCGAATGCTCTCCTAGCTAGCGCCAAGCTTGTGCATAACATGCGCAGGAGTAACTCAATGTGAGTTGGAGGCTGATGCTGTGCATGCTCTCGCTGACTCCGCTTCAGGTGGGAGACGACGAACCTGATGATCTCGTACAATACGCCTCTCGAGTTGATTGAGCAGCTCCGACAGCGCATCAATAACTATGTCTCGCAACATAACAGGGAGTGGTCGGGTTGTGGCGTTCACATCGACAAGATGGAATTCCAGAACGCCATTCACTTGATCATTGCGATGGAACGTACGTATCGTTCTGCATAGTATGATTATCTGAATGCTGACGTCGCGTTTATCCCGTAGATCGCCCCAACTGGCAAGATTGGGGAGGGCGATGGGCACGCCGCACCGAGTTCATGCGATACCTAAAGACAGCGCTGGAGGAGCTCGACCTGAGATATACTATGCCCGTCCAGCCGGTATTGCTGCCCCGTGGCCCGCCCTTTGGGGCGAATGGTACGCCGAATCTGAACTTGCCCCCTCGATCCCCTCCTGGTCGTATGGGTAGCCGGGACACCCTGGGCAACGCGGGGTCGTTCCAGGGAAGCGATTTTATGCTCCGGGCACCGAGCCGGAGTATCAATAGTGATACGAATGTGTTCCGGAGGGTTGAAGGTTTGTAGGGTAAGGAGGCTAGTGTGATATCCCGCTACATCAGACTTCTAAATGCTATTCCAATTTACTGTATCCTTTCGGTTGGTATGCTTACCAGCAGCCTAAAAGGCGGACGAGTCCATTATACTAATGTAAGTGCGGACTGCATTCGAAAATGGGAGCGCCCGATTTTTTCCGAATTTCCTGTAAAAGGTTCCGACGTGCCCCGGATTATGTCAGCGCTTTGCAACAGAGCGGAGCCGGCTAACGTTTCTGACGACGACGACGATAACTGCAAAAACCATAGACACGCCAATGACACAGGCGTACTTTTCAGCTACTGGGCGAACGGTGTCGTCCCCGTTGCCGATGATGGAGACGCCCTCAACAGACTCTGCGTCGCAGGAGAAGCATCTTAACGCGGAAGATGTACAGGAAGCGTATATTACCCAGAAGGACAGGTGAGTAGTATAGCAGAGGCGTAGGTGACGGTAACTGAAGCTTTCGACAGTCTAGTTGAAGCTCTCGACTCTACAAAGTCGATACTGGGAGACCTTCGCGCTTTCAACAAGGAATCGTGGGTCGTACGGTACCCACAGTTCCACGAGGAGAAACAGAATGGAGAGGTGAAAAAGCGTCGGGGTGGGATGCGGCGGTCGTTGTCATTCGCTGACGAGCCCGCACTGGAGACAGAGGTCGTCTTGGGAAAGAGAGGGGAGTTGAAGCGGGCTGCTACCATCGCAGAGGAAGTGCAGGATGCGACTGAGGAACCTTCGGCCGACCCTACGACGGACTCCGAGTTCCATGTCCTTCGTCTCGACCTCAAGCTGGGCCCGCACGGCTCATCGAGCTCACCGGCGTCCCTGGTCTCGCAGCTCGAAAAGTCATCGATCGCCAACTTGCTTGACGAGCGTATCTTATCCTCCCTCGCTCACATCGACAAGCTCCAGCTTCGTGTCCAGGACACATCGTCGAAAGTCCTCGTGACGGGTGACCTGAACGCGGGCAAGTCGACGTTCGTGAACGCTCTGCTGCGCAGGGAGGTCATGCCTGTTGACCAACAGCCGTGCACGACGGCCTTCTGCGAGGTGCATGACGCGTCGGAGAACGGCGGAAAGGAGGAGGTGCATGTTTTGAAAGAGGGTGCGCACTATGATCCGAAGGATGAGAGCACGTTCACTCGTGTCAGCTTGGATGGGCTTGAGGGGATCGTGTCGGAGAACGAGAACTCGCAGCAGGTCCTCAAGATGTATCTCGCTGACTCGCGGCAACCCGACAACTCATTACTGAACAACGGCGTTGTCGACATTTCTCTCATAGACGCGCCGGGCTTGAACCGAGACAGTTTGAAGACGACTGCGCTCTTCTCCCGCCAAGAGGAGATTGACGTCGTCGTCTTCGTCGTATCGGCAGAGAACCACTTCACGCTGTCGGCGAAGGAGTTCTTGTGGAATGCGAGCAACGAAAAGGCGTACGTCTTCATTGTCGTCAACAAGTTTGAGGGCATCAAGAACAAGGACAAGTGCCGACGGCTCGTGCTTGAGCAGATCAAGCAGCTTTCCCCGAGGACTTACGAAGACGCTGAGGACTTAGTGCATTTTGTGGACTCTGCTGCTGCTTTGGATGGTACTTCGGAGCAGCCTTCCTTCGAGAACCTCGAGTCGTCTCTGCGATCCTTTGTTCTCGTCAAGCGAGCAAAGTCCAAGTTGGCGCCGGTTTCGAACTACTTGTTGAACCTCCTCAAGGATGTCTCTTTGCTAGTCGGCTCCAACGCTATCGTCGCCGAGTCAGAGTTGGAGCGTGCCAAGGCTGACCTCGACCGCACCCGCCCTGTGTGGGAGAAGATGAAGAACAGCCGTGAGGTTTTGGAAGATACCTTGGAGCACGTTGAAGAAGAAGGCGCCTCCAAGGCGAACACGACGACCAGGCAGATGCTTTCGACTGCACTGGATCGTGTCGGAGAGGGTTTGCCGGGGGTTGAGAGGCCTATGGTCGAAATGCCCTCGTACCCCGGTCTGCTTGGTATTTGGGACTACGCCAAGGATGTAAGAAGGGCGCTCCTCGCTAGCTTGGACCTTGCCGTCAAGTTGGCCGAGGATGAGGCTCGGGTTATCACTAGTGCGGGCGTGAAGAAGGTCTCTGACCTTGGCGACGAGCATTTACCAGAGGGTGTTGAGAGGTCTCGCAGGGTGTTCATCCCCGAGGCGATGTTCTCCGCTCGTCGGTCGACGAAGAAGGGTCGGAGGTCCAGCGGTGTTGTCGTTGCTGGCGGCACTCAAGGTCTTGGCCTCGGTCTTGCTCAGCGCCCTGAGCTTCTCGAGACCTCGTTCCTCGACCTCTTCGACGTCTACCACCAGTTCTCGGTGCACTTCGGTGAAGGCAAGGAGGGCAAGGAAGAGGAAGAGATGAGCCCCACTGCTCTGAGCGTTGTATCTGTCGGCGTCGGTGCTTTGACCGTCGTCGGCGGCAAGACCCTCGGGGTACGCAGTCTCATTGAGGGTATCGCCCGCGTCTCAGACGTGCTATCGAACGAGACAGCGCGCAAGTGGGCCGCACCCGTCATTGGTGCCGTTGCCATTGGTGCTACAGCCTACTTCATCCTTGAGTTGCCGAGCACCATCCCGCGCACCGTCGGTCGGCGGATCCGGTCCTCGCTAGTCAAGCAGGAAGGCTCCCAGGATGACATGTTCGTTGATGCCCACGCCACCAGGATTAGCCGCGAGACGAGGAAGGTCCTTAGACTGGCCTCGTGGGACCTCAGGGAGAGGTTCAGAACTGCGATGGATGAGCGCGGCAAGGAGGTGAAGGGCGCTGAGGAGATGGAGAAGCAGGCCAGGAAGGCCCTCGAGTATTTCCTGGAGCTCAACCAGCGAACTGGTGAAGTAAAGGAGAAGGTGCAATCCACGGTAGTTCTCTAAGCCTTAGCGCTCATAACGATCAATGTACGATTTCTAATTGCCTCGTTTCTCGTTTATTCCCTGTATGACTTCACTTAATCTTTCAGGTACATTCACTGTCGTCTATCATTGACGCCATTAGTTCGATTTCGATTCTGCACCAGTACGCGTTCTCTAGACATACTGCCTGCCTCACGCTCCTTAGTATCCCTTTGGAATCATGTCACGTATATATATGAACTACACGGAATGTACTTTTGTGCAGTAAAACTTATATCATCAGTCGCTGGTCCATGTAGACCGATTATCAGCCATTCTCGCCATGCTTCTTGTTATGACATTGCTTCCCTTCGGGAAGGTATATCAGCTTCGGGCGGACGCAGTTCAAGTTGACACTGCAGATGGGGATCCGGGACTTGTGCCTGTTCAACGTTCAGGACCAGAATGGTGTGTATTGGTTATGTATTCCTTCGACTTCCCCCGCTCACCATCGAAGCTTACCAGCCTGATCCACCGGCGGGTCGCAGCGAGAGTGGCACAGTGATATCTTGGTCTGAAATAGCTGTTATCTCAGGACGGCTGTAGTCTGCAGAAAAGAATCCTCGGGAACCGCAGCCACCCGATTCGCTGCAGTTCGACTGACTCGGATAACCTTACTGTAAGTAGCCATGCTTTAGGTATGCATGCTACCCGAAAATGAACCCAAGCCAAGATGTCAAGTCACGGTATGTTCTAGGCGGTAGCAGTTCGGATTCTTACTGACTACATGGGCATCATGATCGCAGACCGCGTGGAGTCCCTGACAAGTGAAGCTTCATGGATGAGGATCGCACGAAATCCACCGCCGTGATCGGCTGTGGATGCTTGTCTCGCTTCCGTTCCAGGAAGTAAAAAAAAGACATTTCGAACAGTACGTCTGTCAGGCATATTCTTGTCTGAGAGTGTTCACTGATGTCCGACTCGCACACTTCCCCGGATAGGCTCGCTGAAGAAATCGCGTTTGTGGTAACCTTGGACATTGTTGCGATTCTCACTCTCAGCGGTGCAGTGTTCCATGATGTCGAAGTACGTAAGGTGCTGATTTGCTGTGTATGCTCCAGTGGTCAGTTACATCCAAATACCGAGTTCGAATGGGTACCGCTGCGCGTTGACAAGACGCCTCTATCGCCTTCCCATTTCCAGAACATCTCCGTTTATGACCAGCTGTATTCACATAGGGTCACGCCCGGCTGACCCTAGCCGACCAACATGGACGTGACGTTAGAATACCATTCTTATCTGACGGCTTCGCTACTTTTCCCTCGGGGTGGTAAAACCTGTCCCACTGGCATAACACTATCCAGGCAAGAACTCGGGCATCATTGTCTTCCGCTCTCGTGGGATCGCCTGAGTCTTGCATTTAATCAGACGGTCGTTTGCCCACCCTGCCCCCGATCTCGCTGTACCTTGCAATGGCTTACCCACTCACGATGCTGGACGCATTACTCGCGCTCATGGGGTTGTTTCTCCTTAGACGAGTAATGCGCAGGCAAAGACCGGCACCATACCCCCCTGGACCAAATGGGCTTCCACTCATAGGAAATGTACTCGACATGTCGTCGAAGCACATGTGGGAGACCGTGGCTGAGTGGGGCCGTGAATACGGTAACTGGCCGCCTGACCGTTCCCGATGTCACGTCGCTGACCATAATTGTTAAGGTGATATAATATACGTCAACATTTTGGGTCAGCCACTCGTATTCCTCAACTCACCGAAGGCAGCCTCAGATATGCTGGAGAAGAAGAGCCTCATCTACTCTGACCGACCTTCTCTCACTATGGCTTGCGAACTCGTCGGATGGGAGTGGACTCTTGGATTGAAGCGCTTTGGTGAAGAGTTCCGGGCTATGAGGAAACTGTTCCATACGTACATGGGAACCCGAGCGAGTGTGCAACAATTTGCCCCTATCGAAGAGGAGGAGACCAAGGCCTTTCTGAAGCGTGTTCTTGAGCATCCGGAGGACCTTGCGGAAGCTATTCGAAGGTCAGACGGCCATTATTCTTGTCTTTCTGTCGCTTACCGCACGACGGCTCTTCCAGGACTGCGGGAGCCGTCATTTTGCGTGTCACATACGACTATGAGCCGAAAGATCACGGCGACTCGTTAGTGCAGCTCGTTGACAGGACGATGGAGCAGTTCGCAATTTTGACGAGCCCGAACGCGTTCTTGGTAGATGTATTACCCATACGTCAATGTTTCTTCCCTATCCAATTTGTAATTTTGGGCTGACGTACACACCTTTCTTATAGTAAAGTACATTCCCGCATGGTTCCCAGGCGCGAATTTCAAACGAATTGTACCTGAATGGGCGCAGTGCACCAGGGATGTTGTAGAAGTACCCTTGGGATATGTGAAGGAGCAAATGGTGTTTGCTGCCGCTTGTCCATTCGAGCGGGAAAGCACTGATGCTTTTTCTGCAGGCCAAAGGAGTTGCCGCACCCTCGTTTGCTTCTAGATTCCTGGATGACCAGGACCTGCGTGAGGAAGACGAGCGTATCATCAAGTGGGCAGCAGGATCAATGTACGGAGGTGAAGTCATCATAGGAAGAGTAAACTACTGTCCGTGTACTGATGTCGGTTGACATCGATTCCCAGGTGGTGCTGATACAGTAAGCAAGACCTGCCACGGATCACCCCCATTGAATAACATAATCCTCCACTTGCACAGACTGTCTCTTCCATCAAGACATTTTTCTTGACGATGACGCTTTACCCCGAGGCTCAGAAGAAAGCTCAGGCCGAGATCGATGCGGTTATCGGGAACGACAGGCTACCAAGTCTGGCGGACCAGGGTCAACTGCCCTATGTTGATGCGCTGGTCAAAGAAGTGTTTCGGTGGCATCCGGTTGTACCCCTCGGTAAGCCTGGGCTATTTCCTGCGTAGTTTTCATTGGTTGACGCCACTATGGCAGATTTACCACACCGCCTCATGCAAGATGATATTCATGAGGGGTACTTTATTCCTGAGGGAACTGTCGTCGTAGCCAACATATGGTACGATGCCACGACCATCATCTCGAGATGACGTTGACACGACGATTGACCGTAATGATCACAGGAAAATGTTGCATGACCCTAAGACTTATGCTAATCCCATGGTATTCAATCCAAGCAGGTTCCTCGGCGAGAAACCTGAACTGGACCCTCGAGAATATTGCTTTGGGTTCGGAAGAAGGTAGAAATATATTATGCCCATTGTAATCTCTGTACTAATGCATCCGCATATGTAGGGTATGTCCAGGTGAGCCGGTATCTCTACATGGTCAATAATGATCGGTGACGCGACACTGGATACAGGGCGCAATCTAGCTGAGGCATCCGTGTGGTTGTCCTGCGCAATGTCGCTTGCTGTTTTCAATATTATGAAAGCTAAGGATCAGGCAGGCCGTGCCATAGAACCCGAGATAGATTTCTCGAGCGCGACTATCAGGTTTGTCATATTCGCTAGCCTTTGGCGCAGGCCCTGACGTCTGAAAACTTGAAGCCATCCTGCCCCTTTCAAGTGTTCCATCACGCCTCGGTCGGACGCAGCGCGGGCGCTCATTCTTGCGGAGAATGAAGCTAAATAGGACTGCCATTCGCTGCACCGGTCATTGTCACATTTGTACTTCGGGCATCATGCCACATCGGTTGTCATGGCTTGGACTACCGACTTACTACTATACACTGTGTTTGCTTAGTTTAACATACTATACACACCTTGCCGCCCAGAAATAAGGATGATCATACGAGACTAATTTGACAATGCCGCCGATGCGGATACTTGAGCTCGTGATTCGATTTCGGAGGCCAGAAATAACTTGTAAGACCACGGAGAAAGACGCTCGGGAGGGCGCGAATATATCAGAGTTTGGATTTCCTGATCATGGCCAGTATCAGCACGTGGAGAATATGAGGAAGTGAAGAGCATACATCGATCAGTAGTGGGATCTGGAGTGCCTCATGCAGAATGTTCGTGTTCTTCGCGACTGTGGCAGGGATAACTCTCAAGATGTTCACGAAGAAACGCATGTCGGCTCTTCCTCGTGCGCCAACCCTAAGTTGTCGAATCGAGTGTTTCAGCATAGAACGAAGACCGTGAAGGTGCTCAACAGTGTTGGTATTGCAAAGCAGCTTCTCAATCGTGCCCCACATGCAGCCCCGGGTAATGACGCCTTCGCGATACAGAGCGCCCATAAATTCAAACAGGAGCAAGGACACCATAGGCTGGGCTGGGGATGCAGTGGCGGCAGTGCCCTCTCGGATTCGGTTGGACTGCACCTGATGGGAACAAAGGCCGAAGTAAGGACGACTGCGCTTCTTTCGCTTTCGAATAAACTTACCAGATCCCACCACAGACAGAACTGATGCTGGAATGCAGCTTCGAACCACCGTGTGAATTCTATCGCGTCGAGTGCCCCAGGATGATTCCTATTTTCGAGTGCGGTATGCAATGCGCCCGCAAATTTCGCAAGGTTCAGCATTTCGCTCTGCGACCCAAGGACTAGAATCTTCTCTATGAGCATTCCAATAAGCTCCTTCAGGGTCTTGTCAAACCATTTGCATGAGCTGGCTACTCTGCAGGCCGCTGTGACCGATACGACAGGGTTATCAGTGCAGCAGGCTTCATGTATAGCTTGCTGCCAACTCCACTTGGCCGGGAGAAGGAACATGTCCTTCTGAAGATCCCAAGGACACGGCGCTTCGTGAGGGAGGGTGGGAGGTATGGTCACAGCATGTGGCACTGGAACATCAGTATAGATGAGGTCTGGCCGCATCGCCGTCTTTCCATGGTGTACCGAAATTGCAGATGATGAGCCGATGTGGACATTGGCCGTATGAAAAGCAGCTCGCGGACGAGTGGCTCTTTGAGATAACCAATCATTCCTTGCTAATCTCGCCTTCTCATGAGCGTGTAGAAAAAAGTCGATGCCTAAGGCACCCTCTTGCCCGAGACTTGCTTTTCGTTTTTCTCGCATTTCCCAAACTTTCTCCGCTTCGACAACAGCATTGAAGGCATCCCTGGCATCAATCCAGCTGAACCACGGATGAACCACCTTAGAAAAAACCTTCAAAGGCTTGTCAATGGAGCTCGAAGGATGTGGCTGGGCGACCTTTCCGACGATGCACGATTGTGGCGGATGTTCCAGCGGTGCTGTCATGGGACAGGCTAAAAGAGACATAGGACACGAGGAGGAGTCCTGAGACATAGCAACAGGATGTCGAATGTATCACTAGTCAGACTTTGTGGCTTGAAGGAAGGAGTTGCTTATCTGAGAAGTCCAGACCGGTGCGTTTTATCCACAGAAGACAGGCTAGCCCGCAATCATCCCACGGAAGGGTCGTGTCGTATCAGGGGCTCGTTACATAAAAACAAGGCAGAGTTATCTGGTGTGGCTGAGGTTGATACTTCCGAGTCTGTCCACATGGCTTAATGTAGCAAGGGTTCGAAATTACTGGCCCGTCCACCCACCGCTTTCTTCAAGGTTTCAGTGCAAGCCATAATAACTTGAGGTTCTAGAGTAAACTCGGTATCGAATAAGAATATACCCTTGGGATGCATACGGTACTGGTGTACTAGTAAGCTGCGGTTACTTTTGTGGCCGTGGTTGAACAAGGCTAGATTGAGTTCCCACGGAGAAGCCTCGAGTTCAATGCCCACCGTACGCCGCGGCACTTGGTACATTACCGGGAAACAGAAACCATTCGCTCTTAGTTACATGGCCAAGCCGCCTGCCGCCTTCCCTAGTGCTATTGACTTTGGGATTTTCAGGACTAGGACTCCAGGTTCCATTTCAGTATACTCGTATTTTCTGGAGCTAATCAAAACAGACTCTGTTGGCCCCAATTAAAACATTTGGACGCCAATGATCAGTAACGTTCCGGGACATCGTACGTATCGTGTATCATCAGTGAGACCTGCGTCGCCACCAGTGCAAGTTCTCTTTATGTTCGAATATGATGGACAAAGCTCCTCGAAAGTATGTCTGCTTACTAGGTCGCTCCTTTCCATGATACCGTCCGATATATGACAGTGAAGCAGGCAAGGTCGGAGACTGCCATTGTTCTTGGTGTTATATCGGTACCCTGCGTTCGCCTCTTCGCAGAGGTGGAAGGCCCCAATAAGGGTATCCCAGCTCTCTACGTTTCCTGTCTGTCTTCACAGTGGAACAAGGGAGACGGCATACCTGGGATACTGCGACAGGTAGAGCACTACTTGCGTCTGGTACCATGTTCTGCCATCAGGCCTAGATTTTTCCTAGTCCTGTTGTCCATCTTTCGGATGTGATTCACACCCAAACACCAAGCAGATGGATTGCGATGTAAACCGTCTGCTTGGTTTCCCCATAAGAGGTGCAGTCTCTCCCTAGAATATTCGGCCCGTGTCATCACTGGGCGCCGTATTTATTCTTTTCTCAGGACTGGAAGTGCCTCAGCGTGCATCATGAGAGTACCCCATGATCTACCGCTCTCGTCATCCGCTGGTTCCAAGCAAGGCTTATACCTTTCTCGCTGGTCTGACCCCGTAACGTTGTATCCTGCTGCGTCTTTCGATGTTGCGTAAAGGTATTGCTGAGTCGTAGTAAACCATTGCGCAATGAAGGCTCGATTCCCATCTTCCTCTTCTCTTCCATCTGCCACATTCCAGGAATGGCAACTGTTCTCACGGATACGTCACTTGTAGTCTATCGGAGGCAATCCCCCTATAAGAGAGCCCTCACGCAAGCGCACACCGTATTTCTGACTTCTCAGTTTGCCTTAACGACAGAACTTTCATTATGCCCTCACGAGGACCGTCTCCGCTGCGACCTGCGTTCACGACAGGATTGGGGGCAGCGTCGTTCCGCGTTGACGCGCCCATGTCGCCCGTCGCGGACGAGCTGCACCCAGTCTTCCACTCTGGGCGCGTCGCGGTGATCACGGGCGCTGCGAGCGGAATCGGGCGGGCGGCTGCGCTGGAGCTGGCAAGGTGGGCACTGGCAAGCGCTGTTCGATCAAGATCGGAACCGTAATGCGTTTCGTAGATTGCAGATGAGGGTCGCGCTCGCGGATGTGGACGAGCTCAAGTTGGCTGAGACTGGGAAGGAGGTTCTCGCGATCGCCGGCGAGGGCAACGTGCTGGTCATTCCTACCGACGTGAGCAAGCTCGACGATGTCGTCAGGCTGAAGGAGAAGGTGTACGAGACCTGGGGGGAAGTCGGTGTCTTAATGAACAATGCCGCGATCGGGCCCAAAGGTACGTCGTGGGAGGGGCTGGACAACTGGAGGAAGACGTTCGATGTGAATGTGTTTGGGTGAGCCTGTGTTTTACTCCCCGATCGTGGATGTCCAACTCTAATGTTGCGACAGCGTGCTTAACGTCCAGCACACCTTCGTTCCGGTGAGTCAGACTAAGCCAGATTAGGACGCCGACGGCCTTATCCATTCACGCTGCCCAGCCTATGATCCACCAGGAGAACCAGTCTGTAATCATCAACACTGGCTCCAAGCAAGGTATCACTAACCCCCCGTACGTCTGCTCTAGTAAGTCCAGAGCGATATGCTGACCCATACTCGTTCAGTGGCAACGCATCCTACAATGCGTCCAAAGCCGCCGTGAAGAGCTTAACCGAAGGGCTCGCCTGGGAACTGCGTGAACGGCCCGCGACCAACTTAACCGCGCACCTCTTCATGTAAGTATCCCGTCTCTCCTCTGTGACCCCTGATGCACCTACAGCCGCGGTCCCTAGCCCCGGCTGGACCTACACCGCCCTGGGCGGCGCCTCCCCTGACAAGGAGAAGCCTGCAGGCGCGTGGACTCCCGAGGAGACTGTCCTGTACATGCTCGACAAGGTCCGCAACGGCGACTTCTACATCCTCTGTCCGGATAACGAGACGAGGAGGGAGGTCGACCAGCTGAGGATTATGTGGGGCGCGGGCGACATTGCCGAGGGGCGCCCTGCGCTGAGTAGGTGGCACCCGAAGTATAAGAGCTTGTTCGAGGAATATGTGAGGGAAGGGTTGGCGTCTATGCAGGATTGAGTCTGGGATCGTGTGGATGGATCTTTTTGATGGATAGAATTGGAGGACAACGAGGAAGAAGTTAATAGCTGTATTGCTAGTATTACGGGATCTGTGTATGTCATACATTGCTATGATGTTTCAGGGTGAAGTTGGGAGCAAATATTGGTATATTATGTACTAGTCCGTATAAGGTCCATGGAAAGTGCGAAGGCCGTGCTCCAAGATTGCGTGGATACATGAAGGGGTAACTTCTAAGCGTCCGTGAATAAGTTATCGATACAGTTCTAGTGGAGCTGGCAGTGTATAGCAAAAAATCCAGCTCGAAAAGCGATGGCCGAAGCCACCCCATCGCAAGGGAGTCAAGCAGACCCGTCCGGGCAGCGAACATGTCATAGGTCCTCGAGGTATACCGCCTATCAAGATCGCGTCTCCTCTCGTCACTTCCTCACCAGGAAGCTACCCCGAGCAGGGCGGCAGCCGCAGCTATGCCCGCCACAGACGCCGTGCTGGGTCGCGATATCGACGCGGGCGCCGCGGAGATGGTCGTGTTCTTCCCGTTCGCGCCGTACACGCGGACGTACTGCACCTCGAAGTACGCGTTGTCGTACGTCGAGCCCTTGCCGACGACGTAGTCGGGGTAGCAGGAGCCCGAGCACGTTTGGGAGAAAGTCGCGGCGTTGCCAGCTGTGGGAACGCATGGATTTAGTCACCGTTGGATCGGGACCATGAGGAAGTGAAGTGGGAGCTTACCGAAGTCACCGCAGAGCGTGATGTCGAAGATAAGGCTCTGGGGCTGGAAGAACTTGTTGATGTTGCAGCCGCCGTTGGGCCAGTTCGCTACTGGTTGGCCAAGGGTGGAGGTATCCACGGAGCTGGCGTTTCCCTGCAGTGAATTCGGGATGCTTGCACGCTGGTAGGAAGGTAAGAAACTGATTATTAATTTAATAACAGACGGCGACTGACAGGGAAGAACCATATTCTGTAGGTTGACGCATGAGTAAGGATCTACAAAGCTCGGTGGAAATACTCACGAGATACCCGTGGACGCGAACTCGGTGACAAACATGCCTCCACCGGCTTGCGCAAAGGCTTCCCCATACGACTGGGTGGTCGGGTTTGTCACGACGCATCCCTGGTTGCTATTCGCTTCGAATGAGCAATCCGTCGAGTTGACCAGGGGGCTAGATTGCACGGGGCTAACTTGTGTGCAGCCCTACAAATTACAACAATGAGTCCGTCACTTGTCAGTTGTAATAAGAGACCGGTATAACATACAGGTTCTGTGTGGAGCGCCATTTGGTTCATGGTAACCTGGTTAACGCCTTCGAAAGTGTCGATCTCCCCGCCATCTGGCCACTTGGGAGCCTGCGACCACCAAGCGGGCCATACCGAACACTGCGAAGAGTCTCAGCGAGGTGCATCATACACGGTGATGTCAATACCGACCCCGAATGGTACATGCAGCATATCCGTGATCCACACGCTGCCGACATCGTACCGGTCCTTGGTATTAATACGAATGGTGTTCCGCTTCTGGTTAAATGCCACAGTCGATATGTTGTCCACCTTCATGATGGCATTTCCGGCGTCGTTCACGTACGCCAGCTTCAGGCTCTCCGCCTGGTCCGCGGACACGAAGCTGCGAATTCAAGCTCGATCACCCAATCATCCTTCGCGGATCGACGCATCGGACTAACATGGCATCACCATTGGTGAGATTGTCAACTATCAAGATTCTATGAGTTCTTTCGTGTCCTTCGACGATACGAACCGAATAGCGTACAGGATCCGTAGAAGTCCCAACCGTCGAAGAAGCTCTGCCCGGCGTATTCCATAATTTGCGAGTACGATGTCGCCCAGGCGCCTGGCAGCATCAAACCCAGAATTACAGACAATTTCGACGAGATCATGATATCCAGCGGTCCTCAGGATGGTCGTGAAAGATGGGAATAAGGACGAATGCCGCAGAAAAATACGCAGGCACTCTTATAACAATGACGAAGTCCAAGGTACCAGCCAAGCACTAAGTCGTGTAAATAGAAAGAGGAGGGGGCGTTACAAATGAAGGTGATCTCACCGCAGTTTATAAACGGGACGCGACACCGAGATATTACCCGACTCCACAGCGCTTACTGCCACAAGGCGTATCCCGGTGTCCCCCGTCGTGAAGGACAATGGAAGTTCGCGACAGAGACCATATCATTCTTGCAACAACGGTGAACATCAACGGTGGAGAAAGAACTGCAAAATTGGGTCCCCTAAACGTTGACGTGACTTCCTATTTAGATTTAGACTGACACACAAATAACAGCCAGGGATTGCAAGTAGGAGTTGAAAAAAGAGACAAGAAAGAGGTATCCATATTTCAGATTAATCGTAAATACATGAGAGGAAATCGAGAGGTCAACACCGGACCAGGGCACGATGCCAATTAGTGGAAAAGGTACGTACGCTGAATCTGCATCGACAGAGTCATTATGTATCCGTCCGATAGCCATAACCATAATGGAAAGAAAAGAAATATCCGTACAGCTCCTTGGGCCGTATTCATAATTTGTTGCCAAGTTTGCGGCAATTTACTGCGAGGCCATCCATTTATGCAGCCCCAGCGCCGCCTTCGACGGGCGAGTCAATGCCCATCTTCTTGCGGACAACCTCGAATGTCTTGAGCATCTTCCTCCTGGCCCCCAGGGCTGCGACGCCTTGCTTTTCTAAATCCGCCTCGGTCATCACGACCATCTGCCGCCAGTTCATGCCCTCAAAGTTGGGCGTGTACTTGTGCAGCCTCAGCGAGCGCAGCCAGGCTGGGACGTCCTCCAGGACCTTCGGGTCCACATCCTCCTCGTCCTTCTTCTCTCTTCCGCTCGCGGACTTGTTGCCGCTAGGACGTCCCCCGGGAGCGCGGTTATTGTTGTTACGGTTGTTCATCTGCTGTTGCTGCTGCAGACCCATGAACGGATTCAACCCAGGCTGGCCGAAACCTCCGGCGGCCGCCATCTGGGCTGCAAGCAACTGCGACTCGGGCGACATGCCCAGCGCGCCCAAGTTCGCCATGTTAAGCATATTCATGTTCATCAATGGGTTCAGCTGGCCCATGCCAGCCAAGCCGGGCATGCCAAGTCCTCCAGCACCCGGCAGACCCATACCCAATCCGGGACTGCCCAGTCCCATCCCAAAGCCTCCCATTCCAAGGCCGGCCATGCTGCCGTCGTCGCTGCCGCCGAATCTGTTCGAAGATGTATTGGAGAGCGCCGGGCTCTTGGCCCCAGACCAGCCGGCCTGGCCGGCAAATCCGTTCCCGCCGTTGCGCTGCTGCTGCCCGCCGGGCTGATGGCCCGGAGCCAAGAGACCGTTGTTGTTGAAGGCACTGTTTTGATTGTCGTTACTCTGCTTGGATCCACGACGCATGCCAGGCTTGGGTGGGTCGGACATCAACGGGACGCGAGCGTTGCTGGACCAGTCCGTCAATTTCGCTGCGGCGGCATCGAGGTTGGCGTTAGAGTCACGGTTGTTCTTAAACATCGGCATCAATGGAGTGTTGACCTGGCTAGCCCAACTGTCGCCGACCATGGGCGACAAAGCAACGTTGTCGAGCTCATTTCCATTGCCCCTCGGGGACTGGAATGCCTTGGTCAAGCCAGAGAAGTCTGTACTCTTGGGCCTAGCAGAAGATGTGTTCGGCGCAGGAATGGTAAGTTCCTGCGCCGGCGAAGGCGAACGCTCCTCGACCTGTCCCAGCTGGTTCGAGTTCTGTCCCCACATGGTCCTGCCATCGCCACCACCGGAGGCGAGAGGAGGCGCGGAGATACGATGCGCCGCATTCCTGGCGTTCAACTTAGCCCTCTGCTGCGCCAGTGTTGATGCCGGATCGCCGGGGTTGGGAGAGGCCAAGTTGGCAGACTCGGGAGACAGGAAGTGCGACGAGCTATCCAACGCGAGCGATTGACGATTAGCGCTAAAGTTGCGAGCGGACGGCGAGGCCGGAAGGGGGGACTTAAGCCCCGGCGACTTGAGATTCATGCTCGCCAACTTCGCCTCCATCTGAGCCTGCATGGAGCCACCAACGGCAGGGCTGAGCAGCGCGGTCATAGGATCGGCCCTTGCCATCTGCTGCAAAACTGTAATGAAGAACCTAATCTGTACTTGTGTCGAATGTTGTAAAAGACTGTAAAGAGCGGCTGTGCGCTCAGCTTCAGAAAGAACCTTGAACCCTGTGGCAGATAATTTAGAACGTGAGGCAAGCTGTTAACATGACAACGCACATTGCTCGATGGCGCTCAGTTCTTCCTTGAAATTTACATCCAGCGAGGCTGCAGCCATATCCTCGAGCATCTCCTCGTAGTTCTGGAGGTTCTCAAACCATTGGTCGATAGCCTCAGCTATGCAGAGTACGGTGTCAACACAACCCACGCTGGACGACACTGATAATCACCTTCCGGCGTCTGAAACATGCCCGAGCCACCAAGCAATTCACTTGTGGGCCTGCCTGCACCTGAGATGGCGCCAGGACGAGGTGATACAGGCGGAGCACCTGGGTTATTTCCCGCTGGGCGCGAAGAGGGTCCCATGGACGCGCGCACATTCGGTGACCGGCCGTTTTCGTTGCCACCTGGTGCCGGCGAGTGACTAGGACTCGCCGGAGGCTGAAGAGTTGTCGTTGACATGAGAGAATATAGCAATGAAAGGTGTTTACAGCTCCTTTAGCAAAGGGTTGGTGTTGCAAAGAAGTGTCGACGTCGAGCCGGAAATGAACGAGCTAGAATCAAGGCCGCAAGGTTGGATATGCGACGTTGTGTCTAGACAAGACCAGCGGAGCCTGCCGGTCTAGGAAACGACCAATACGATCAGCAGAACGTCGACGACGTTGGGCCAGCGAACAGCGCAGAAATGGCAGGAGGAAAGGGTAATTGTGTTTGATATGTCGCGCCACAGCCTTTCTGGCAACCACGTCCGGAAGATGCCGAGTAGGAACGTGTGCGATTCAAGAGCGGTCGACATTCCAACAAAAGATGGTAAGTACGAAATGCTCCTGGATCATCACGTCTTGACAGGTTAATGATGGATATTAGATCGATGGTCTTTCATAGCAGCTTATAGGTGGCCGATCTGCAAAGCATGATGCTTTGAGCAGTCTCTTGAGGGTCAACGGTGTGGCGCGAGACCTTCAAGTTGATGTTGACTCGAGATTGAGAATGAACCCCTCAGCGGGAAGGTAGGATATAGCCGGGTCGACGTAATCAGCGACATTTCTGAACAAGAAATCCCCGATTTTAGGTGTTTCGCAAGCATTAGCACTCATCAGTTCTTCCTCGAGGCAGGTTTCCTGATGTCTGTCTGCCGGATATGATGAGTCACAGTCCTCCGCAACGGCCCACAAGAGGGCCCGCCGAAGCTGATAAAATATCTGGGTTCGACAGTTGAGTCTGTCGGAGCCTCCGGTGGTCGTTCGCAGTATAATTACCTTACGCTGATAGCTGGCCCATTCGCTCGCTAAGTGCAGCACATCTGATACAAGCGGATATTAATAACGCATCTATGATCTATTCAGAGATCCCGACTAACAGACACATCTGTATGGTTACTACGTCTCTTTATGGTGCTCTTTCTCTCCGGGGTTTCGAAAGGTAGTCTCAGGTGGCACAGATTTTTATCTGAGCACAAAGTCGACAGCCAATGGGATCGCACTCGGTAGGAAAAGCTCTAGCTGAATTTGCGATTTATCTGACCGATATGCGCGGCGCAGTGCTTGCTGGAAATATCGGCGGAAATAAGCAGGAGAGCCGAATTCTGGCATCATAGGCGACAGAGGCCGATGTGCCCGATGCTGTTGTGCTAAACGTCGAATACGGGACCGACAGGACAGCGACAGCTGCTCCTCAATAACCCCCCACTCTCAATCGCGCCCTGACATGTCTGCCTTTGGAAGGTTCTCTGCCCTCCCATCCGGACATGCGCCGACAACAAAGCTGCCTCTTGAAATCTCTTGCACTCTGCCATCTGGAGGCGAGTCCTCCTCTCAAGTGGGCCTATTGGCATCTCTATCAGGCACGGTGTCAGAGCATAGGATGTTCAGACTAGAGGCTATTCAACCCCCCCCCAGAGGTCCCCACGCCATAGAATTAGTAGCGGCTCACCGTCGTCCGTGGGGAGAGGCCGTCGGGACCTCCGACAACTCCTGTACTGGGCGTATAGCAACGGACACGGATGGCAGTTTTTTAACGAGGTGGCGAGCACGTTCAGGCCGAGCTGCTCGCAGAGGAGGATTGGGCGTGCCGTACCTCTCGACCAATGGGAACGCAGATTTTATTGCTCGTAAGGAGGGGTGGACCACGGGAGTTCTCCATACAACTTGGTTGCCAGTAACCAGCTGGCCAAATACTCATGGCAGCAGGATGGCAGCAGTATCGGGCAACGGCTGCTCGATAATCGGGGGCATAACTTCGAGCACAGGCCTCGCAGCAATAGATAGGCCGAAGTACATGGGTGCAGTGAAAAAGAGGAAACAGTATTACGCCGGTATCTTCGGTATTTTGGACGTACAGTATTCATGGCAGACGTGACAATGACTAAGTAAATCCTTGATTTTGGAGAAATCAGCAATCATCAGAGCTGGCACGCGAGACGGCTAGGACACACCTAACGGACCCAGCACCCAGGGCCTTGATTCGCCCGGTCGAGCCACAGTCTTTTGGCTTCCGCGAAATCATATTCGTCCATGTCCCTCTGGGGTGCGAGCACGGTGATCTTGCACCCGCCTATTTCATCTCCCAAAGCCACAAAATGGCCTTGGACAAGCTCGTACGGGAGGACTCCCGGACTGGATATCCGGAAGTCACAAGACGGCTGGGGACCCATCTGCACGATAATTTCCTGCAGAGTGGCAGGAAATCTAGCTAGGTCGTGTGCTTCCTCTGAGGTGAAGGAGGAATGACCGGGTGGACGTAAGGCGTCCCTCAGCTCGTATGGGTCACGCCTGCTCTGCTCCAACCCCGAAATGCGGACATGTGTGAGGGAGGTTGCGAGCTGAGGTAAAAACCTCAACACATGGTCAAGGTGGTCTACGTAAGGACCTGCGAGGTGAAGCCGCTTCAGATTGGGAAATAGTTCAACGGGTGTAGTGATGGTGAGCGGACATAGAACGCTCGCGTCCGGAAGCGTGATTTCCTCGAGGAAAGGCAGGCGGACACCAATATGGGTCAGCTCGATCTGGGATTCCCTTGGGAGGAAAAGGCACAGGACGCGAACGGTGGGGGCGATGGCGTTAACAACACGGGCAACGATAAGGGAGGCTGCCTTGCCCTCCTCCTGTAATTGATCCTTCCAGGCCCGGATTGCGCGGAGACGTGTCTGTCTATCCAGATTATCCATATTGGGCGCATCAGGATTGGTGGGTCCGGTGAGCAGGAGATGATGAACCCGCCGATGACGAGGAGGAAGGTTCTCGACCATGACGCAGAATTTTTGCATTTGTTGGTAGGTTTGTAGAGCGACTGACTGCAGGCGTACGCGACGCGAGGCATCGCGCACGTATCTAGAGACCAGAGACAAGGAGCAGCCTGTAGTACCATCGTCGGTACACGCGAAAGAGAACATCCTCTCGCAGATTTCAAGAGGAATTTTGTTCATGCTTCTTGCCCCTGGGCAGACAATGGGATGAAGTTATTGTCCAAGCTGACCTTTGCAACGGCTCTATCAGAGGGTATTTAATTCAACAGCTGCGATCAGTGCTGCAGCCTGGACGGCGGAAGATTCGTTGTGGAATGACCTACGCAACTGCTATAACCAGAATTGACGAGGTAAAGGACCAACAGCAGTCAAGCACGCTCCCTTTGCCATCACGACGAACCAAACCTACCTAGTCCTTATTGGAGCAAAGTAACATGGCAGCATAAACTCAAAAGCTCCGGAACAGTCGGCGTTATGGACCCTGGGACGGAACCCCGGGAAGGCAACGCGTGCCTGTCGCGGAAAACCGCGCAAATAAGCAGACCCGAAAGGTGTGGTGACCTCGATGTTTGCTTCGTGGCATACTAGTCGTCGCAGCAAGTGCGTGAAAAGCACTGTGAGCCCCAAGGACGGGTAATTTCACCATGTAACCGGGTGAAATTCGTGAATCACCCAGAAAGTGGGTGACAAGTGGGTACTGGTGATTGCACGGTTGAAATTTACCTATTCCAGTTCACCCAGAAAGCGGGTGAATTTACACGGGCATAAAATGCGGGCTTGACAGTACCCAAGCAATTGGTGAATATCACCATGCGAAACAAAGGCCATTGTTATTCCCTCATACATTGCATTTAATTTATATCTTTGACATGTAATACATTGAACTCTGTAAATACTGCTTATACGGTATTTGAAGTGAGATGGTCCTCAACGTCGACAGTACACGTACGAGTGCTCTCTGTGATTTGCGTAGTGGTGGTATCGTGAGAAACCGCCGAACCGCCAGCGCCACTTATGACGCGCGCGTCGCTAAGTCCGACTTCAACTGTGACCACCACCACTGACCCTTCCACTCTTCGAGTTCTCCTCTCTATATGTCTTGGGCTCGCGGCCATACACCTCCTACGCAGGATACGACCGACGATGACAACCTGACGGTGCGCTAGGTGCTCTGGCGCGCTCGGTTTGGTCTCAGGGCGTAGAGTTCGGGGTTGCAGACGTCGAGTCAAGAAGGTATGCTACATTTCATCATGGTCCAGCATGAAGTTGCTACTGACTATGCGCTACAGAATAGTAGGGGAATATATCTGATACGAGGAATCTGGGCCAAATAACTAGTGTGGACAACCAGGTTGGTAAATCCCCAATAACCTGTTCTAGGTGTCCAAGCAGGTATGACCTGTGAACTTACATACTCTTGGCGTAGCTGATGTTGTCCTAGGTGTGGTGCGATGAAGGCCAGTAGTCTCGAGGCAGACGGAGACCGCATAGGTAGCTAGGTGAGCTCGAATGTATCCGTGTACGGCACCATAATGCTAATGTACATATCCTCCTTCAACTGAGTTCAGCGGCGTGGTGGGCGCATCCCCGTGGCGGGGCTGCTGGTGATGACGACGAGGTAAGTGTTCAGCGTATGGCAGGTCATCCGGGCGTGCGGGATAGTGCCATCGGCTGTAACGCTGTAGGTCGTTGGCTGCGTGCCGGTTGTGGCATCCATTGAAATGGCTGTAAGGTAGTTCAAGTAATCCCTGTAATACATATGTGGTAGTAGTGCAATATTATGACTATTAATTTGTGATGAATATGTGAATTATATGATAATATGATGATGGGTTGGAATCACCAGGAATTATGGTGAAATAGGTTCAATGAGGATTCACCTCAATTCTGGGTGAATTTCACTCGCACAACTACACAATACTGACATGGTGAAACCGGCCATATAAAGGTGGATTTTCACCCGTTGCAATCTACCCGCGTACTTGGTGAAAAGTACCACCTACCAGTGAAAATCACCATTTGACCTGGTGAAAGAGACTCAGTTTCTGGGTTGCAAACATGGTGAATTTACCCCTCTCTGGGGTCCACAGTGAAGAGTCAGCGAGCAATCACGAGCGGCAAATCTCTACACGACCCTGTCAATTATTCAGGACACTTTCGAATGCATGTCTCCCAAGGCGTGGGGCGGCAGATGTAGTCCGTGAAGCGATGGAAACCGGACGACGCGTTCTTCGGACGACGCGCATGCGCACAAGCCATAAAGCACAAAATGCTGTAGCACTTAAAATAGCCGTGGTAGACCTTGAGATCCATTATCCTCGTACGGTACAAGTAATTGCGTCTATAGCTGCAGAGTCGGGAAGGGAAAGGCCCGAATAATTTAGTTTGTATGATTGCCGCCCCCGCTTCAATGCGAGAGATCCCGTGCGAAGTGGAAGAAGTCCACGCTCGAAGCGTTAACGCCGTACTTATAAATCTGTCAAGGACCATGAGTCGCAGCATTAATATGCGAGCACAACGTGCTTACAAAGTGTGAGGCCACCCAGCTCGAGAACATGGCACGCTGGTAGAACTCAGGCAAGCGCTTGAGCAACTCGTCCAAGCCTACCTGGTCGACCAGGGTCTTGGGAACGGCACGCCGCATAACGCCCCTCTTACTGGGCTCATCATCAAACAAGTCGGAACTCTCCAGTTCGGCCTGCAGGTTATTCAAAGTACTCGACAATTCGTCCGAGATGGTCGTGCGCGCTTTTGCACCCTGAAGACGCGCATGTTCGCGCCAGATGCACTGGAACTCCGCAGCCGCATTTTCGGTGATCTTTTCTTGGATGTCGCGGACGTAACTTTGGTAGAACGCTGAAGGTTTGCCATCCTTGAAGATCATCAAGTCTGTGTACTCCTGAGTGGACAGAGCAAGACCCGCAAGGACTTCTAACGACGAGCTGGTCACTCCGCCTGGTAATCGTGTGTCAGAAATAACCAACAGGGCTAGAGCGGCGTAATTACCTTTATTTGTGCTCGAATCTTTGAATAGGACGACCTTGCGCTTCTCCAGGAGTAGACGCGCGGGTTGAGCAATGAACAGATTGGCGCCCTCCACAATGTACTTGTAATGAGGTTTGCCTTCCGCATCGAACAAAGCAGCGACGTTGGAAATGTTGACGGCTTCAGGTCTATCCACCAGAACGTGTCAATTACTATCCTTCGCTCCGTTCGCACGAACAACTCACCGTCCGCCACAGGGCACGAACAGATCGGCCTTGAAACGAAGGTGGGCGGTATTGCGGTAGTCCGTGCCATCGATGATGATTTCCCCAGCTGTCGCATGTTCGAAGTCAATTACCCCACCCATAATCCTGGAAAGATAAGATGGCCTTACAGGGCAATTTCACATCCTGGTCTTCCACCTTTACGAGGTACCCATCTTTCGACAGCTTCGACGTGTCGAAGAAGGACACCGGCTTCCGTAACTTAGCCAGGCGGACCAGTTCCTCCCTGTTGAGTCCGACTGGATCGGCAAGTACGCCACTACCGTCAATGATAGCGACCGTCTTGTCCGAGCTGAGCAGAATTTCGTCTAGCGATTTTCATGTGAATTCCTGCTACCGCTGTGGTCATTGAAGTACTTACTGGAACCAAGATCACCATCTTGACGACAGGTCAGAAGAGATATGGAATGTGATATGCACCCGGCGTACCTGGTCCTCCGGTTTGGACCTTGGTAATGTCTTTCTCACGAAGGCCCAGCTGCTTGTATATACCAAGAACATACTGCCGGATGGATAGCGACGTCATGCCATACGTATCATGGGGCACACCGCCGAGATGTTCGGCGCTCTTTCCAGTCGTGAAGGACTTCCACCAAGTTTCAGCACCACGGTCGCGAGCATGCACTAAACCCATATAAAAATGATCAATTCACAAGTTGAGGTAAGCGTTTCCTTACTTGCGGCCCAGTCCATCATATCGGCGGTACCCTCTGTAAGTGAAACGTTTTTGTGAGTCCGCACATTACAGCAAATACGGGGTACCCACCATCGGGGCCGAAGAATAGCATCTCCGGTCGGCTGTAAAGGTCCACTAGAGGCTCCTTGATACCCGGCGTCCTGCCCGGTATGAGCAGGTCGATGATGGCCTTGGTGGAGTCAGTCAGCCGTGATAGGCCCAAATCCCCAGGTGTCAAACTTACATCGACATATTTCTCGAAGCATAACCTGGGGCTCGCGCCTAGCGAGGGCAAAATCGTTCCCTTTGCACCACCCTCGGGGATATCTTTGTTCTTCAAGGACTGCGTCGATGCCAGGCCATAGTTCTCGTCGAACAGCTGCCTCTGATTAATAGAGTACGTTCTGCGAAAGAGTATGTCACAAAATTGAAAAAGAAGGCTACTTCTGTCTTACTCTCTGTTTCGAGACATGACGATCCGAATACCGCCCCGTGCGACATCTCGGAAGCGGATATGGAATCCACGGAATTCATTGCCTGCCTATTGCTGAGTAACCTCACATCCCATGTTGACAACATTGCTCACCAATTACGAAGAACATCCCGAAGGGCTTCTTTGGATATTCCACCTCAGGCAAGAAATCGGGCTTGAGGCGGAAGGAGAGCGCGACCTTCGTAGGCTGATAGAAATTCGTCTTGAGAACATGCTTGTTGAAGATCAAAAAGCTCTCAAGGATCTGCAGGTCGTGCTTGTTCGGCACGGACCGCCGTATCTTATCGTAGAGCTCCTGGTCTGAGAGCGGCTGCTGTGTCTGCAAGCGCTGGTACGATAACGTCGGCCTGTGCCACAGGACGAGATAAGTAATTGCCCAGAGCTTTGTAAGACGATACGTACATTAGACGAGACGCTTCGTTGTTGGGATAATGAATCATGGCAAAGTTCACATACAAAAGCCGGATCTGCAGGGGTACCAGTAAAATTGCGAATCCAGGTTCGTAATCGCCGAGGATACTCACCAAGTCTGGATGCGCGTGGATGACCTGAGCTATACTCTCCCGAGTGAAAGTTTCCTCCCTGAACCTCCTCTTGATGTCATTGAGGACAGCCATATGTGCTGCATTATTCTCATCCAGCACGTTCTTCAGCGCCAGATACGCCGGGCCAAGGCGGTTACAGAAGTGCTGCGCAAAGATCCAGCCGCAGTCTGAGAACCGAAATGTGTGAGAACAGACAGGTTTGAAGAGAGCACATGAATGCGAATGGTAGTATCGGACGTACATGCATAAGTAGCTTCTTGCACGGCATGACCTGGCCCATCGCTCACAACGAAGAAGGGGTTGTCGGGGAGACAGTACAAAAGAGACACTTCCTTCATGATCTGGAAGATGGAGTGTTCGATCGGAGGTGCGTTGGTGCTGGGAAGAGGGTTGAGGTACAACGAGATTATGGTGATCCCGTTGGAGAATTGCTCTACCAGGAGTCACGTCAAACGTCAACATAGGCTTCTCCAGGTGAGCTAATTCTGAGAACTCACCGACGTATTTACGAGCAGAGTACAATGAATAGAAATGATACAAATTCGACAAGGCGCTGAAGAAGCGACTGGTGCCCCCCATCTTGTACCCAATCACCATCCTCCTCTCCCTACTACCCTCTACCTCAAGTACTTCGATGACGGGTCCGTACCTGCTCTCGACCTGCCACATCACCTCCTGATATATCTTCAACGTGTGCTCACTGGCCTTCTCCAGGAACGCGCGATCAGACACCTTCCGGATGTCAGTTTTGCCATCTGGCGAGGATGCCTTGGGCGCGTCGGGAGCAAAGTTGCATTTGTTCACGAAGTAGCAGCGGAGCTGCTGCGATGCGGTAGCTGAGATAGACCCGGTCGAACGGAAGGTCTCCAGACGGTAGCAGTTATCCGGCGTCGCCTTGTCCAGGTAAAGTTCGTCGATTCTTCGTCAAAAAGTCAATATATGCGCGATAGAAAGTAGGGTTTTTTTCGCTCACCTGGTCTCACAAGTGGCCCCAGGGCCGTCCGTGGAAGTCTTACCGGGCGCACTGGTGTGGATGAAGGTCGCGCCGTTCTCATCTGTCTTTTCGAGATCGATGACGAGTTTGCTGGGGTCGTGCTTGGTGTACGCGAGGACTTTGGCGCCGAAGAGCGCGATAATGTGGTCTGAGATCACTTCTACTGTCTCGTTTGAGAAGTATGTGTCGTCGATGCCCAGATGGTCATAGAACCAGTTCACTTCGTTAGCAACAAGTTCGCGAGGGATGAATCCCTATGTAATTGGTTAGAAGACGCGCATACATCCGCCAAACGCTCATCCGGGCTGATCGAAGTCAGGTTCTCTTTACACCATTGCTGCATCTCATGCTATTCACGCATATGTGCCAGACGACACAGTACTTGCTCGACCTCCCTATTGCATTGGGTCACGATACACTCACCTTTCCAAGTACATTCGCCTGCACTTGAGCGCGCTGCTCATCCTTTTCTTTGAAAACAGGTGTAGAGTACCCGGGAATGTTCTTGACGCGATGTACCGACGGATCGCTGCCCGGAACTCGCAGATGGGCCTTGCCTGGGTCCGCCAACACCGACGGCGTCGACGCGTCGCTGTCGGGCGTGCTTATGCTCGGGCTGGACATCCTCCGACTGCTGAATGACGCGACGAATAACGATGAAGAGAAGACGGAAATCGATGGCTTGCATGGTGTAAAGCTTCCCCGCTTTTATATGTGCTAGAACTGAACGTCACGCCCGTGCCCATGGATCGAGCCGAACTGAGGGGTGACAGGGGGTGTCTCATCGCCGAAGCGCTGCAGTACGCCCGGGACCGGTACCGCTATGATACAACTTTCTGCTACCGCCTTCAGCACCGGTGTCGGTCTATTCGGTTTGAAGACGTTATACGAGGCGACAATGGCGATGACTTGCCAAAAGGTCTTTGCGGTCGTCAGTCGCAGCGTGACCGAAGACTTGCACCAATTTCTCTTGTGACTTCACGGATTTTCTGGGGTACGGCGCCTTCTCCTGCCCAGCGCGCGTGCGTCCCTCGGAGGGGCGCACGCGCGCTGGGCAGGACTCCCTCCGACGTGCGTTGGGTATGTTCCGGCACTCGGAAAAGATCCATGAAATGACAGGTGATGCTGCACCTGACGACTTTCTTACATTAACCCGTCACCGGGCGTTTCAAACGTCTAATGGTTGCTTGCCTGGCGAATGTCCGATGCGGTCAATATAGTTTCATCCGCAAAAAAGGTATGTAAAGGAATCCCTGGCTTTGCTTCTCAGGTCTGGACCGGATCCCTTCGATTTGAGAAATTCACTAGGCTGGGGCAGTCCTCGGCGCAGATCTCAATATCTGCAGTTGCGAACCCCACTCGTTGCGATTCTTGTAACTGCGGTTATGGAGTCTGTTCTGGGCCCTGCCGGAAGCAAATCTGAAGGACTCTTTTCTTTCTTTTTGGCGGAGTATTGGCGCCCTAGACTAATACGGTCAGGCGGTGGTTTCCTGGGTATCAGGACGACCAGGAATTGATTAGGGTAGGGCCTATAAGATGTGGTATGTGACGAGGGCAATGAGCGCATGCACTTCCTTCCCTGATTTCGTCGGGGAATGGAGGGACGAACGTTAAAGGCCTCTTCAACCCCGCGTTTGGCATTTCGGAGCATCACCCCAGTATTAATACGTACGTGATCTCAAAATTTGTCTATATGTTGCCACAGTTTCCCTTCACCGTCGACATGCAACCTTACGCATGATAATATCGCCAAGATCACGCTATACTGGCCAGCCCAGCCAAGTAGTTCAAGCTCGCGTGCCAACAAGCAGGCAGTTAATCAAAGTTATTTTTGGGTCCAATCTTCGCACCTGCCTCCATCTGAATCTTTCCTTCAGCACGACGCAGAACACAAGTAGACTAAGCTCACGACTTACATAGGCTCTGATCCATAGCCCGAATGGTCTGCCCGAAATTTCTCCACTAACACTTGCCTGATAATCGCGAGGGAAATACCACTCCCAGCGGAAGAGCACCATTGAGCTATAATCGTGGATGCAATGCCCACGGCTGGTCAGCTTCTCCGAAAGGAAGTCATCTATGGTCTTCCCATTCAGACATCCTACAAGGTCTCCGCAATGTCATCGGAAGGCCTTGACCGCTCATCGCTGTTCTCAGTCAAAGGGTTGGTGGCGGTAGTCACAGGTGGAGGGACTGGTAAAGCATGCATTACTTTTGTGACAATACCACCCTCTGATAGAACCTCGCGACATAGGAATTGGCCGGATGATAGCCACGGCCCTGGAGAACAACGGCGCCATCGTATACATCGTGGGCCGTAGACTACAAGTCCTAGAATCAACTGCAAAAGAGGCCAACGTGAGCGACTCATGAAGGATTCGACGGTCCGTTGTCCCTGACAGCCATTCATCTTCAGAAATACGGAAAGATATTCCCCCTCCAAGGCGACGTGACCAGTCGTGAGTCCCTGCTGGACATGGCCGCGACTCTAGAAGCGAAACACGGTTACATCAACTTGCTCGTCAACAATTCCGGAATATCATACCACGACCTCAAGCCGCCCGTCATTCGTCCGGGGGCGACGAAAGAAAACATTACGGACTTGCAGGCACGGCTCTGGGCTGCAGGAACGCCTGAAGACTGGGCGAAGACGTTCGAACTGAACTGTACGGCAGTGTACTGCTGCACCGTTGCCTTCCTGGGACTCCTAGACGCGGGAAATAGGCAGGGAGGCATCGAAGGCGTCACGAGCCAAGTCATATCTGTCTCGAGTGTTTCTGGGCTGAGAAGAGACCCATCGGCTTTCAGCGTCTCGTACAGTATGAGCAAGGCTGCCGTGAATCACCTGGGGAAAATGATGGCGAATATTCTGCGCGATCAGAAGATACGAAGCAATATCATCGCGCCTGGTCTATATCCCTCCGGTGGCGTGGATGTTTCCGAGTGATGCTGAACGAACTGCTGATGTACCGTTTCAACAGAAATGACAGCGCAACTTGTGTCAGAGGACTTTATACAAAACGGCATCCCTCTACAGCGGGCGGGAGATATTAAGGATATGGGGGGCTTAGCCCTGTTTCTCGCTAGTAGGGCCGGAGCATACGTGAATGGGACTATTCACATAACCGATGGTGGCAGGCTCGGTCTCTTCTCCTCTACTTACTGAGACGTTACGCGTGGCTGATGGACCCAGAATATCATTTGCTGTGCGCATATGTTTCCTCCAATCTCGACTTGACGTAGTCACCTGCGGTAACGACTTCGTATTTGGGAGGGTTGTCCTCGGAGACACATCCCGGGATTGGCTGTAAACAACGTGATTGAGTTCTTACCTTTTAGGTGACAGACGGGACGGCTACGTACCTGTAACTGCACGTCATAGTCACTGCCAAAGAATAGCGGGATAGAGTACCGCTCCACCCCCGACCGATTGACTGCTCGATGCACGGTCGACTTGAACACATCATCTGTAGGATTGAAGAGCATCAGAAGACATCTGTCCGACTCAAGGTATATAATATACACACTAGTCCATCGAGCGAATTGATCACCCAAGCTGCAGACCCGACGTCAGTTCCCCACCGTAGTCCGATATAGAAGACGTACTTCACTACCAAGGTCCCCGGGATGGGGACGGCGTCTATCCATTTGCCATCGGCATTCAGCACTTGGAGTGCTTGAACTTGGTCTTGCCACAAGATTGTGAAGCATTCATAGCTGGCGATACTCAGGTCTTCTAGCCCAGTAAAAATTAGGATCAATGCCTACTCCGTGTGCGCTCCGATGCCTATAACGCGGTCGTCTATCACGCCAGTTTGCGGCGGGTAGTAGAGCAGCCTCATGATGGCCGCTGGCTTGGTTGTCTGGAGCATGTGCATCGGCTTGAATTCGACCGCTTCAGCACCAGGTCTATGCTATTGCATTACCTTATCATCGAAGAAATTCTCTGGGACGTCGAGTGCCATGGCAAATAGAGGGAACAGTAGCTTCCCCAACTTAACTCCTGCGTGGCTGCATGGATGGTCAGTGGAGTAGAGCGCCTTGTCGCTGGGTGGACGAACTAATATGACAGTACGGCCTCCCTGAAACCGGGAAGATCAGATGGCCAGACATTACCACCAGCCATCGCGCCGTCGCCTCCCCTCAGAGCGTTGCCGGCTTCCTCCAGTTCTTCCCAGCCGATGTCGAATCCTTCGTGCATGTCTCCTCTGTTCTCAGAGTTCGTGTTTTCTCCAAGCAGACCAGTGTATCCCTTGAAGTTGGGACTCTTGTGTATGTCGAGCTGCCAATTTAGTATGAGTCTAGCAAAACCTGCACGGGAGGAACTTGAAGGCGGAAGCAGACTGACGCTCATCTTGGTCTCGAGAGGTAACTTGAAGAAGGTCCTGGCTGCGTTCACCGCATTATCTATGACCACTTCCGGAATACCGTGATTCTTCACTAACAGTGATGGTTCAAAATAAAATTATTGAAACATAAGCTGCGCTTAAGGGCGCTCACCATAAACAAATCCGACGTTGATGCAGGCGTCTCTGATCTTGTCCGCGAGCGCCCTCCTCGCCATGGGATCAGCGCTAGTTGCGTCGCTCAAATCGCTGTCATAAAGTGAGCCTTGATCCAGATACAGATGTATAATTTCGGTTTTAGACAACTTACTTACATTACGGGAATCTCTTCGAAGGTGCTGTCCGTACGGACATTCGTAGCAAGGAATGGTGGACTCTGACCACTACACTCAGTAGCTGTAGACTCTGGCATAATACCTGATTTCGTGGTCTCAGCGGTTGTAGCACCGGTTATTGTAACAGCCGCTTATCTTCGACTTGAATGTATGATGTGTGGCGGCTTCCACAACAGTTCAGTCACGGGGTCACAGCTGACCTTTGTAGCGTCGGATCGGACGAGTTCGTTTCGAACTTGGAGCTTGCCCTGGACTTCGTACCTGGACTTGAGCTTGACCTGTTATTTCGTCGTGCTTCGCTGCTTGTGCCACTGATGATCGTCTTTAGGAGGGTCAAGCTTATTGGTTTCTACTGCGATACTCTATTCATGTCTTCGGCAGGCAGAAGGTGAATGTCCGAGCCTGAGGTTCAATAAGACGGCCTGGGAACGGTCAACTGAATAATTCCAGGCAGTAGACATGCTGTCTCGCAGCTGCTTTCATTCACTGATACAACTGCGCTCTATTTTCTGGCTTCGATACGGTCTGGATGGGTCAGTTACTCTAGAGGGACCTGGCTGACTCGCTGGTGGGAACGGGGATAATCGCGTCATAGTCACGAGAACTATCGGCAGGCTTGCATGACTAGATGTTCTTCCCAATTATAAATGAACTCGAAGTCTGGTTTGTCAGCTCTTATTTACCACCTTGTTTGTTGCTAGAGACCTCGCGGGGGATCTACAATGGCAACCAACTTCACGAGTGTACCGATACTCGACTATTCTCAGGTGTCTTCACCGGAATCGCGTTCTGCGTTCGTTAAGGAACTACGATATGCACTCATTAATGTCGGATTCCTTTACCTGTCCAACCCGCCTGTCGCAGGAGAAGACATTCAGGCACTGATCGACTATGTTCCGCGTCTGTTTGCGCTACCTCAGGAGGAGAAGGACAAAATCCGCATGGCCAACTCGCAGCATTTCCTCGGATACTCTGCTCTTGGACGCGAGCTAACCAAGGGGAAAACTGATCAGCGAGAGCAATTCGACTTTGCTACTGAGCACGAGAATCGATGGAAACCAGGCGATCCGGAATATCTAAAGCTATGGGGTCCTTCGCAGGTAGGGTAGGCCCTGATACGTCCCGGCGTAGCGTCTCATTACCGTCCTAGTGGCCAGATGAAACTTTATTGCCCGGGTTCAAGGCCACGATGCTCCGGTACTTGAATCAAGTCGAGCAGCTCAGCTATGACTTCATCACTTTGTTATCTGAAGCTTTTGGGCTTTCCTCGGACGCACTGGACGTGTTCTTTGATAAGAGCCCGGGTGCGATGCAACACCGTGGCAAGGTGATACAAGTGCCATATGCTGGTCCTGCATTCAGCCTGACACTTCCCCGCAGGTTGTGAAGTATCCAGCACTTGACAGTGTAAATTCGAATCAAGGGGTCGGCCCACATTACGATGCCGGGTTCTTGACATTCGTGCGTGTACCCTTGTTGCGACTTCACGTGCCGTCTGTTCAACGTCTCCGATGCCTGGCCAGCTTCTGCAAGTGTCACCACACCCAGGATTGCAAGTTCAGAACCTCTCAGGCGAATGGATTGACGCTCCTCCGATCCCGGGAACCTTTGTCGTGAACATCGGGAAAGGTCTGAAGTCGTATCACTCTTCCACTCCGATGTCAAGCACTCACTCTGTACTCTCTAGCTCTGGAGACCGTCACCCAAGGTCTTGCTCGTGCCACCTCCCATAGAGTCTTGTCTCCCCCAAGGGGGTCGACTCCTCGATATTCGATCCCGTTCTTCCAGAATATCAGACAAGATATAAAGCTGAGTGATGTTCGCCTGGAGTGTAAGTGTCCCTCAACGTATATGAGTACTGATACTGACGCCACAATGCAGTCCCAGCTGACGTGCTCAAGCTAAAGGAAGCCCGAGGCACCACCGGCGAGACGGATTGTAAGCGGCCATGTTATGCGAGGCAATTGTTGAGATCAACGTCGCTTTATCTTCTAGCTGTTAATTTCTCGGAGTATGACCGGTTGCCATCTGGCGAGGTCAATCTCATCGGGCGGATAAAGTAAGTTCTCGGTAGTGTCTCAATAGTGCGACCTTCCTGATTTCACTCAACCACTTTCTCCAAAGGAGTCACCCGGATGTTGCACAGAGGCATTACCCTGAACTCTTCAAGCACTTCTTCCCACAAGGTCTGCCCGAGTACGGGTCAGCATATTGAAAAGACGCGGTGCGATGGTTACCAGAAACCTTAAGCTCCAACATGCGAGTGGGCGTATTTGAGGAATGTAATTACTGGGCATGGATGGTATTGTTTGATCAGGATGGAGTCTCTAAGATGGAAGCCGGTTTATCAACACGTTCCGTTGCTTCCCATCCGAACTTACAGAAGAAGACTCGATAAGCTTGCGGAACAAGATGTTCCCAGCTCAGGGCACTTCATCCGTGTCATTGTTATGTGCGTGTCGGACGCGCCCGTGGTTTGGTTGGCGGCTGAGGGTTGTCTTGAAGGCATCCTCTGGAAGGACAGCCCTCGAGTAATCCTACGCAGCCAACGTTCTACGCCGGCGTACCCGAGCCTTTGGGTGATCGCTGGATTGATGCCTCCGTTGAGTGCATGAATATCTTCACCGCGGTATTGTTGAGCCCAGCAATGGATGGATGGAGGACCCTCCATAGCTATAGGATATTCCGATTACTCACATTCTTCAGCTGACGCTGCCGTCTGAGCCCCTCTCATCCTCGGTCAGATTGCAGTCCGCCGCAGTCCCCTACTTGTCAGGGACCATCTGGGAGGGTGATGAGATCATGTTGGCGCACATGCCTAACCATTTTGTTGTCTTGCCCACGTCCCCTGACACACCTGCCTTTTCTGCGACGGGCCCATGTTATGGCAGGCTCGGTTCCCATAGTGCTCGACACGATGCATTCTTGTCTACCCAGTATGACCGGATGTATTCCACAATGCCGTATTGGAATGCAAGAAATCTCTGTATTTTGCTGCCTGAAATACAAATTTGAGAGTATAATTCCCTTCCTAGTAATCGTGTCCGATTAGAGTGAGATCAATCTTACATCAAACCCTCGCGTTCCGCCGGTTCGGGTAAGTTCAATTTGCACGTGGAGGTATAGCCTTTTCGAAGGGCGATATAAAGACCGTTGTTGTTCCACCGTACCGCCTTACCCCTCCTTTCTTTCTTCCGTCTCACTTTCTGCCAGCTTTTACCGACTGTGTCGGCAGCCACTCATCTTTTGCCCTACGCCGGACGTGCTTGAAGCCCGACACCTACCACTCTTTTAGTATCGACTACTAACGTTTTAACATCCGCAAAAATGAAGTTCACGACTGTTCTCGTTCCCGCCGCCGCTATGCTTATCGCGTCTGTGACGTCCGCTCCTTACAAGAGAGATGTGGATCCCAACTTGGTTCCCGATCTCGGCTGGCAGTCCGGTGTCAACCCCACTGGTAAGATCAGGGGCGTTAGTTTTCCCCGAGATGCCTCAGCTGACGGGTCGTGGAAGGTACGGGTGACTGTGACGGTGCCGTAAACGGCGCGGATGGCAAGCCTATTAAGATCCCCTGCGCTTGCCCTCCTGCCAGGGATACGTTGATCCAGGTGAGTGGACAATGAAAATCTTGCCATCCATCCGATCCTGATTGCTATCCATCTATAGTCCCTGAACGCCAATGTTAACGCCGGCCACGCCGTCAACAACCCTTCTGTGGCCGTGACCTTCCCGACTGACGGTTCCCAGCAGTCGCAGATTACCCGCATCAACGCCGTGCTGGTGACGATCCAGAACTTGAACGGCCCTGGTAAGGGCTGCCCCGCCTCATCGACCACGCTGCTTGCACAGCAGAAGGCGATCGCGGCTGGTGGATCAGCTGCCCCCGCCCCCGCTCCATCCCCCGCTCCTGCGGCCGCGCCTGCTGCTTCCCCCGCCGCAAGCGGCGGTGCTACAGACGTCGCATCCCTTGCCCCAGCTTTGGGCTTCCAGAGCGGCGTCAACCCCACCGGTACCGGCGATTGCGACGGCGCCGTGAACGGAGCCGATGGCAAGCCCATCAAGGTTCCGTGCGCGTGCCCACCTGCCCAGGACGAGTACATTAGTGTATGTCCTTCCTTACGCGTATCTCCAGCTTGATTACTCACGTTCCGATGCCATACAGCAACTCCAAGCTAATGTGAACGCTGGCCACGCAGTTAACAACCCGTCGGTTGCTGTCACTTTCCCGACGGACAGCTCCCCCGCCTCGCAAGCAGCTCGCATCAACGCAGCCCTCGTCACCATCCAGAACCTGAACGGGCCTGGCAAGGGCTGCCCGGCTGCTTCCACCACTCTCCTTGCTCAGCTCAAGGCGGCGCAGGCTCAACAGTAAACGATACCACAGTCACATTGAATACCAACCCGCTTTCGACGCTTCATTTTGCTCTCGCTTTCTTGCGGATGTTTTCTCGGTTTAGGGTTATCATGATGAATGAATATGGGCGCTAGACGCCCACTTCCTGGCTGGCTGGCTTAACATTCCTGTGTGCTTGAGTGAAACATCAAAACGGGTTACGGATACGAGACGCGATGTTGTCAGCGGCATAGTGCGGTATATATGAATATCGCGCTGGAGCACGGAGAGCTTACAGCTAACTTCCGAAACCGAGGCTTTCAATCGCTAGGCTCTTGCGAGGCTTGATGGAAACGCGTGTATTCGCCACGTGCTGGAGCATTCAATGTTGTGCGTAGCAGTGTTGTGCCAGTTCCGAACTAGTTGACGAAAGTTCGGAGAACCGTCAACTCGTCAACTAGTTCCGTTTACTTTTTGATAACTTTCCGGCGGAACTGTGGCGCGAGCCTTGCCCGCCAGCAGCCCAGCCAGCAGTCCTCCTCAGTTCCCGTCGAGATGTTGAGTTCCCCGTCCGTTCTGACTGCAGGGATGATGGGTTGCTCTCTATAGTCTTGAACTCATGCGCTTAGCTAAGGTTTTTCACCGTATATGGTAGTGAGTGGGAAAGTTGACCTCTATGGGTTCCTAAACTTTGTAGAACTATGGTGCGGGACACCTAGTCACCACTACTTTGGTACAACAGTTATGGAGGGTCCAATTTTCCCTCATTTTCTTATCCATCTTGGGAAAACGCTGCATTTGATGAAAGAATCAGCTTCTCAAGACGGATTGTTGAAATACTTAAAATTGAAGGAGTTATAATTTTGGCCCAAACCTATTTTGCCAAATTACCCGATATGAATAGGCGCTTATTATGTAATCACTATGCAAGGTCGAGAAATCCTTGGCTACCTGCTTGTGTATAACACTGTGAGTCCTTATATAGCTACAGAGTACCATTAAATAGCTCTGCCCACTGCGAAGTCCTCGTTTTCGTGACCTCAGAATTAAAATTTTTCTCCAGCACTGATTTTGCCGCTGTCCAAAAGTAGCGGTGACTAGGTGTCCCGCACCATAGTTGCTTAGTTGACGAAACAACTAAACTAACTGGCGTCAACCGGCCCAACACTGGTGCGTAGGCCCTTCAAGTTGAAGTTGAACTTCAAGCGTTTAAATTCGGGGAGGCCATCAGAGGCTTTCAGCCACCGGTTAATTGTGTGTGATTGGTATCACGGTGGCTGAACGCGTATTATAGGTCGGTAGGGCGAATTCGGTCATGACCGCACCTACATCTTCCGCGTCGCTCACTTCGAAGATTTCTACATGAGTCTGAAAATATCGATTGTGTGGGTAGTTGTCAAGACTGTCGCGCTTCCGGTATACACGCTCGTCCTCGTGATCGAATGCCAGGGAGCGGAATGACCGCCGCCGGCCCGCCCACTCCTCCTGACTAGCCTCGAAGGCCCTCAGCAGTGGTGTGGATAAAACGTTTTAAACGATAAACATGCAGAAATCGGCGAGCTCCTAGCCCCCGAACGTTGTAATGGCTTTGCATTGGCTATATGGCGTCCTCGCGCTTTGCTGTGTAAACGGCGTGTTCGGGCTCTCACCCATCTACCTGGGTTGCCAGTTGCAGAAGCCTAGCTCTTGGTCGCAATTGCTTGGCTGTTCTTCAGGCACTCTGTACGTGAGCCCAACGGACCCAGAAGCGAACTTCACCAGCGTACAAGCAGCAGTAGACTCGTTGTGAGTCTCTCGCAGTGCTAACGAAATAGCTAAGGCATAAACATTCGACTCTGGGACTAGGTCAGAAGGAGAACCAGTGACAATATTGATCGGGGAAGGTGTATATCATGAGACCGTCAATGTGTCCAGGCAGGCGCCCCTAACCCTCTTGGTATGGCATCACCTTCATTACCGACGTCTCTTGAATCAGTTCCTCGGTGTAGGGGCAGTTGAATGGAGCAACTGCATTCGATCCGGCTGGAAACGCTTCCACTCGGAATCTGGTGCAGATATGGAATAATGGATGGGTTGTAACCCAGGGTGTTGAGGATGATGCGCAATCCGCCGTACTCGTTGTCTCACCGTCTTTCAACGCATCCTTGATCGGAGCAGGCCCTACTGGGGCCCCACTCCAGCCGCTCTTTGGCAACGTCGATTTCAAGGCGTATAACATTGACTTCCAAAACCTTGCGGTGCGCTCCAGTGGAGTATAAATTCCCGTAATGCTCCAACCTACTCTTGACTGTAGGCGAATTATTCCATCTCCCAGGCATTGGTCACGGATATATCTTACGCCAACGCGTCCTTCTATGGGTGTACATTCGCGAGCTACCAAGATACTTGGTACACCGGAAGGAATGCTAGTACTTACGTTGTCGACAGTATTATCTATGGCATGACTGATTGTGCGTCATATCTGACTCCCCAGCACTTTGCTAACGCGTACCCAGACTTATTCGGATTTGGAACTGCGTGAGTAGCATGGACTACCTAGGTTCCAGTGCTTGCACTGACTGGCAGTCTTCAGGTGGTTCCAGAATGTCACTCTGGCTAACCGTGGGTGCGGCGGAGGCCTGGTCGCTTGGAAAGGCACGAACCTCACGGACGCACCTGGCAATCGGTATGGTGCTTACATCTCTAACTCAAAAATCATCCGAGTGAGTAGGAATGTGCCGCCTTCTCTGTCTTAACTTGCCTGATTACACCTTTCAGTCTCCGGACGCCAATGCCACCACTGTCACGGACGGGAAATGCTACTTAGGTAGGAACTCTCACTTAAGGTCTTGCGAGAGGGACATGTCTTCGAATGCTTACACTCTCTAGGACGTCCCTGGAACAGTCTTGCTACCACTGTATACCTCAATACGTACATGGACCAGAGTATAGCACCTGTGGGATGGATACAATTCGATAGCACGCGGTTAGCAATTCCCCACCTTTATGAGCGTGTGCTCACCATTACCACCAACAGCACGCTGAATATATCTACGACGTATTATGCGGAGTATAACTCATACGGTGAGGGCCAGTCCATGAGCTACTTACTGCCCAGGGGGTGGAAGTTGATTCGCTATCCAGGTCCTGGGGGAAATTATTCCGGAAGAGAGCCTTATGAACATTTCTTGACAGACACAGAAGCTAGGAACTTCACCGTAGACAAGGTGTTCCTAGAACATCCCAAATGGATCGATTACACCTACATATATTGATGTGGCCACCGTAACAAAGTCGAGAATCGTTCCAAGTTCCAACAGAATCTCCAATCAATATGTGATCAACCCCAAACAATTATGGCAGCGGATGGTCTCCTGTACTTTGCCGGAGGATATATGTCGAGCCTACGTACGGTTGACCCGAAGATTCGATTCGTCGGCGCAAGATGTTGTAACATGAGCAGATTCACTCGCACTGCTGTATAAACGAGTCTCTGAATGGATCATTCATTGTGTCTGTGAACGACGGAAGGGAAACACTACGGCAAGGGAACGAGGTTGAACAAAGGATTTACTGTGGTAGAAGTGGTAGCCATTGACAGACAAGATTTACTCGGTAAGGAATAATTGGATACATAGAGATGACGGAAGAGGGGTTCCTCGTTTGCGTGCTCAGGACAGTAATATTGCTGCACGCTCGTCGTCAGCGTTGGTCTGCTGCCTCTTCAACCACTCCCTCCACCATTCGTCGTACTTGTGTTCAGCATGCTTCCCCAAGTCATAGATCCGGGGCTTCGTCTGCACTTTGTGCGGTGCGCCGGACTCATCCTGCGGGGTAGAGTGACTCGCTGTAAGAATGGCATCCCTGAAGAAGTCACGCTCCTCAACCGTGATTTTCCGCTCCGTCAAGGGAGGAAATCTATATTTCCGCTGCTGTATCCTTGAGTTTCCGCTCCATGTTTCTACAGCGATACTCATTCGGGCCGGGTCGCGAAACTTCAGCTGTGGTACAGCATCGATCATGTAGTCCAATGGGACTTGTGCGTCCCTACCAGGGGGGAAGTCCAAGCCCAGCATGCGAGCCAGATACGCTCCAGCGCCCGCGGCACCCAACTTGATTTCGGAAATTCGGAGGTGCGACACCCGAGGCATCTTGCACAACGCTGCAAGGAACAGCACCTCGTCTGTCACTGTGTATTCGGGCTGCGTACCGTTCTCTTCCCAGGCCTTCTCAATGTGCATCAGAGATCGCGCAGTTGCAAAGTGGATTCGTCGCAACTCCGGAAGACGCGGCGTCGGTACATTAAGCGTTGCACCTAGCCCCGGCATCTTCTCAGGTGTGCGCAAAGACAGATCAGTCAAGTTGAACAAACGAGAATTCCTGAAAGATACTCCAGACTACGTCATCCGTAGCAGGATTGAAGAATATCAAGCTGAGTGTCTGCAGCGAACGATTCGTGCCCTTCGCGCTCAACTTCAGGATCACTGCAACTAGCTTCTTTGCAAATTCGGAAGCGTCAGCCTCATGTCGCTCTCGCACGACGTCGTATCGCCTTTCCAAGATCCTCTTGTGTGCAGGTAAGACCGGATGGCGGGGGCCAAGCGGATATTGGCACCTGTCCCCAGCCATACTCCGCTGACGATCGCAGACGAAAAGATGACGGATGGGCAGATTCTTACTGCTTGCAACACGAGGAGACTCCAGGAAGCGCGTGATCTGATCGACGCCGGACAGAGCGACTGACTGGTATAGGTACGGCAGCGCTAGAGAAGCGATATATCTCGACGTGCGCGATAGCGAGCAGCCCGAGGCGCCACCATCCTTGCAAGCCAGAGATAATATCTTCGAAATGATGGATTCCGGTAAATTGTCGAGCGCAACCATTGTGGGCCGGAGATAACAGCAAGCAGATGGAGAGCACCGATGGGCCGATTCGTAATCCTGGGAATGTAACGCTCGGCCGTCGCGCTTTTATGTTCTTCGAACGCGTGACATGACAGGACGCGTCAAGGCGCGTCCAAAACACGAGTTTCGACGAGTAAAATTCAATAAACAATTAACTGACCGACACCGAAGGAAGCGACGTGATCGCGCCAACCATTTTTGGTGGTTTCATATTACTTTGGCCAGTGTTCGAGACCGAAACACGAGGCGCGACACGCCCGTAGAACGCACCCCGGCTAAACGTACTGGCGACTGAGCCACATACAATACACGCGCCTTGCGACCATGAGCGAACTGCCGTAGGACGAGAGGACAGCAGAATAGATAGGTAGCAGAACACGTAGGAGGATTGGACAGAATACGCACACCTACGGCACAGCACGTGTGGCGGGAAGAAGATGTTGAATGATGAGTGAAGGTACGACCCTAGCAACCCGGCCACTCCTTATACCCTCTTATACCCCTATTACGCGTGTTCTGCGGATATGAACCGTGGGAAGGGGTGAGACAATGGCGGTGACGATTGACTGACCAGAGTTCCCCAGGGCTTAAGAAACCGATTCTACAAACGTAGCAGTGACGAAGACACTCTGTAGAGCCTTAACAGAGCCAATAAAGTTCACTTGGTCGTGGTCGCTAGCAGGGTGGTAGAGCCGTAAGGCAAGGAGTCCAGTGATGGGACGTGCAGTGAGCCACGACTCCGACGGCGGCGAAAGATGAATATGTAGAAGCATCGGAGACCCTAGTGATTGCCACATGGCTGCTGGCCGGGAGCTAAGTGCAAGCGCCTGGTTATAGGGTCGACTAAGGGTGTCCAACCCTACACGAAGCTAAGGCATGCGGACTTGATATGTTTCCTTGGGTTTCTCCTTCGGTCGAGGTGAGTTCATGGAGATGCAGTTTTCCACCCTTCCCTTTACGAAGTCTTCGGCCCAGTGCCTTCTGTGTCGGCCTCAGCAAGCATGCCGCGCGACTGCTCCGTGTTTCTGCTTTCGACTGCGGTTATCTTCCTCTTTTCCTCAACAGCAGATTAGGTCCTATCAGATTCAGAAAAAGCAGTGGTGAAATATATCGCACAGTTGAGCATCCTCGCGCTTCGTCCTTGTTAAGCGCCTGGATTCTAACTGGCGTCGTTGTGAAACACAGAGGGTCCTAGCGAGTCCACGGCACAGGAGGGTAGCGGAGAGTCGCCAGAGACCAAGAGGCGATATCCTGAGTATTTGTCATTATTTGGGTTGTGGCGCCTGATGTTTAGCAGCACTGCCAGTGGTTTGCTCTGCTACACGGCGTAGCCAGCGGTTTATTCGGTACGTTACGTTTCGTTCAGGATTGATGGACGCTGAATTCATCTCTGTCAGATGAGTGCAGCACCGGCCGTTTCTCGTACCGCTGCAGCTGCTAGGCAGGGCTTCCCGCTGCGCCCAACCCGTAGGCCACCAAAACTTCGGAAACCGCTGAAGCGCGATGAGCAGGGCCTGCCAATCCCTCGCGTGAAGCTGCTCGTGCGGGACACCCACCAGTCGCGCATGATGGACCATTACTATAACACGCTCCGGGACGACCTGATGTACATGACCTATCTGCACGAACCCGGTCCTCGCAAACCACCCCGGCAGATTCGCCTTAAGTACGACCCTGAGGACCCGTACACGAAGAACCGCGTCAATCCACCTGTGGGCGGCTCGCAAGTTGGCCGTAAGCCGGCGCCGCCGACGTCCTGGGACAACGTCGTCCAGCTTGAGCGAATACAGATCCATACCATGGTGAAGGAGGCATTGTCAAGCCGCGTTAACCTGTTGGGGCCGATCATGATGCTGCGGGCGCTGTCCGGGGAGACGCAGTACGGTGGGGGGAGGCATACGAGCGAGGGTGTGCAGGTTGTGCGGGGCGTGAAGACTGTGGGCGGGTGGATCAGGCCTGGCCTGCCGGTCGGCGCGAAGGTCGACCTGAAGGGCCCGAAGATGTACGATTTCCTCGGTACGCTCACCGAATTCGTCCTTCCACGCTTGCGCGAGTTCCCCGGCTTCGTGATGCCTGCTCCCTCTGCGCAGCACTTCACCCCGAGCTCCGTCTCTGGTGTCATTTCCGTCGGGTTACCCCCAGAAGCCATGGGCTTGTTCCCCCAGATAGAGGTCAATTTGGATGCTTACCCAGGGACCTACGGCATGCACATACACTTCATCACCAACGCTGAAGGGCAGGGTGCTCAAAATAAAGCGAGAGCTTTACTTTCTGGACTTCAAGTTCCATTTGTCCGACGGTGATGAGCCTTAGGTGTGCCTCTCGCCCGTTCAATTCTCACGTGAACTTACGGCTATGTCCATCTGTAGATTACTTACAGTGCTTCTAGTGTACAGAGGCTTTAATAAATGTTCCTGCATGCGAGCCTGGATTAATGGTGATAGTGCTGTGAACTTATGCGAATGACAGTAGAGCAGTGCGATGCTATGCGAAAGCGAGGATGCGATAACAAAGGAACGACATTACGACCGGGGAAAAAACCAGATTACGACGAAAGGAGCGGTGAAGAGGAGGTAGGAAATCGAAAAATGTACAATCACTGATCAGGCTGCCATGAGATATCATTCAACCTCAGCCGCGACGATGACTTGGGTTTCGTCCCGCCTCCTTGCCCGGATGCAGTACGCGACACCGAGCTCGGGGCTGGTGAGAAGAGCGCTGATGTCCCCTCCGAAGCCGTGCGCCTCACCCTCGTTTTCTTAGGCGCGATAGACGGTTTGGGCGAATCGGTCCTGGTGGCACTGGATCGGGTGCTGGCTGGCTTGAGCGCCGGCGCCAGAGTAGGCATGATCTCCCTCGCAAGCTCTCTCACAAGCACAGCGCCGTCGTCCTTGCTCAGTCTCTCCACCATCTCGTAGAGACCGTAGCGTTCGACGAGTATCGCACGGTTCGGGTGGACCTCGCATACCATGCGCAGCAGACGGAGCAGATTGAGCCGCACGACGGGTTTGCTGTGGCCTAGCTTCTCGATTATGCGCTTGAAGAACTGGCTCTTGGCGATGGCGATGGTGATACCAGTAGAGATACGGCAGATCTTGAGGAACGGATCCAGCAGGTTCTCAAAGGAGTTCGCCTTGGCTGTGACGAAACAGTTCAGCAGCGCATCGACAGCCTCGGGCTTCATGAGCTGATCTTCAACGCGTGCAGTCTCGTCTTGAAGCCTGTGATGATAGATTAGAATGGCTTCTCGGGTGTCTGGTACTGTGCTCACCAGGAGACAATAGCTTCCAGGGCGCTGACTTGGAAGTAAGGGTCCTTCTCCAGCAGCTTCAGGTAGATCTGCAGGCCGTCATGTTGCCACAGTAGAACTCGACATGTTTTCCCTGCACTCGCTAGGTCACATAAAATAGGCAGAGCAAATTGCTTCAGGGGAGAGCTGGACTCGATGACGCGTTTCAAGCTCGGAATTATGCCAGCTTGCGCAGCCTCTTCCTGTCGTGACTTATTCAGCCGGCAGAGGTTATAGCAGGTTTGGAAGATGTGATTTGATACGTCCTAAGCTTTTGTGAGAAAGGAACCCCTGACAACCCCAGAGGCGGTCTTACCGTACTGCGTGGGCCCGAACTCTGCTCGTCCAGAATGCGACATAGGATCTCGATGGCATTGGCATTCTGTAAGACGTCAAGCAGGGTGGCATTCATGGATAAATGCTTAACGGCTTTCAGCATCTGCACCAAATGGTCGCCGTCGAGCAACTCGCAGGCACGTAAGAAACCTGGTAGGTGTCAGACAAACGCAAAGACAGGACCCTTCGACTACGTACGTCTTATGACCTTTCGGGTCCCAAGAGCATTGCGGACGTGGATATCGGACACAGATACTTGGCAAAATATCAGAATGATCTGGATTATTCGTCCCTTGATGTCCGCGGATTTCTCCTCCGTGGTCGCCATCACATTAAGCAGGGCGGAGGAGAGAGGGTCCAGTAGGCCTTCTCTGATGAACATGCGACAGAAGTCGTTCTTCTTGGTAGGACTCTGCAACTCAAAGACACTCCTTATGCCATTGAGAGCACGGACCACAAGTTCCGTCTGTTCTGCGTAGTCTTCGTCGAGGAGGTCCACTAAAACCTTGAGACCCCGACATCTATAACCACGGGTCAGCAAGTAGAGCAGTCATAGCTGATATAACGTACGAAATGAACATCTGAAGGGTCAAAACAGACGATTGACACAAAAGCCCGATGAAGTGGGACGCTTCCAGGCGGCATTCAGAGGGGTACTTCTTGGAAGTAAAACCTATACATGGCAGTATAAGTATGTCAAGGCACACTCTTGAACGGTAACAATGGTGACCCTACCCATTACAACTGGGATGCCTCTGGAGCCGCAGAGTAAATACCAACGTCGTCAGTAGATTCGAAATGACATACCCTATTAGACAGAAACTTTCCAAGAAACCCATGTCACCGGTGACAAGCTACAACCATAAATAAATCACAGCATCTGGGAGAACTTCGCAGCAAGCATACCAGATTGACTATTTGCAACAACTTCAAGACAACATCCCGGGAACATTTACCCTCCAGAACTTCCAGTATTGCAAGCATGCCGTGGGAAGAGACTAGTTGCTCCTGCATCTCCGGTACATCTTGCAGAATGGTCATCTGGAAACAGTCAGAAACGATTTCCTCCTGTATAAGATTGACTTACAAGCTGATCACAAGCGTCGCGCAATTGAAAGTCCGGTGCTGATGGAGTCAGCCCGTCTAGCAGCTGATTCACTGCATTGCACATCCGAGCGTATTTATCTCGTTGCAGATTAGCCTCCAGATCGTCTTCTGAAAATCCTTCGTCGATCTATCCGACTAGTTTATACGAGTCCACCTTCAATACCAGTAAAACGCACCTCGGCGAATGGATCCTCTTCGTCGATGTCATCATCACCAAGCTGAGAGTCAAGTCAGCCAAGTGCCCAAAGAGATTTGGATGAGGGTCCTACCCATGATCTGCTGGAGAGGCGCGTGGTTAACTGCAATCTCTGCAAGGCAGCTCCATTCGCTGATGAAACACGTGTTTCAGGTCACACCCAAGGCGCCTTGGGGATGCAGATGAAGGACTCACTGTTGCCATTCGGTTTGCCGAAAACATCGTCATAGTCCTCATCGTCATCTTCTGCATACTTATCGAACTCGGCCTGGCTCGCGAGGCGTTTAATTTCCGAACGGCCAAGCGAACCCCCGGGTGAACCGGCGAATGACGATGAGCGAGAATGCGAGGGGCGCGATGTAGAAGGGCCTGCTGAAGCGTTGGGGGAAGACGTCCTAGGACTGAGAGATGGTCGGGAGGGCTTTCGGTCCAGCTCCGGAAGGGGCGCAGTCTTGGGGCCTGGGGATATTTGACCCAAGCCAAATGTCTTGATATCGTCTGGATGATATAACCCCCGCCGAGACGATGTCTTCAGCTAAACAAGGGCTCGCGAGTTAGTGACGATAACGTCTCAAGTTCACAAGAAGCACACCTTGAAGTCCATGAGCTTCTCCTCCAACTTATCGTCATCCTCGTCGAATGCAAGATCCGAGTAGTCCTCAACGATAGGACCTATTGTCTCTGCTGGCGGCTTTGACAAAGGCATGGGCGATTTGGCTGGTGGGCTCCGATTTGGACGAATGGTCTGAGCGTTCTCGTCGGCTTCAAGCTTTTCCTCTTCAGCAGGCGTCTTTTCCAGGGCTTGATTCATGTGCAAGCACCTGGTGTGAGTACGCCAAAAGCGGAAATGAATGTTGTGCCAGGCGTACCTTGTAGTTTCGAGAAGGATATTCCCTCCTCGAAGTCATCATCCCAGTTATCCGTCTGCTCTTCTGGTTCGACTATGCGTGGTGGAACGATGACTGTAGGTGCCTTGCTGCTGGAAATGGTAGGCATACGCCATCCAGGAGTTACGGTAGGTTGAGAGCCCGCGGAGGTTGATGCCGGTATGCCAGGGCCATTCGATATGTCAAATAAGGGCGAATCTGGAGGGGTTGTTGGGCGAGCGCGTGCTGGATGCTTGGACGGTCGTGAGGGAGCTGTGGGTCATAAGAAGGGACATCCCGAGCCATAGCGAGCGCGGACTTACACTTGAGTGCTTCATTCCATTCTTGCACTTTCAATACAGCTTCGTCATAGTTATAATTGCTGGGTGGTCTCCTTCCTTCCCGATTGGCTGATGCTGACTCTCCGCGGCCAAACCCGCCTTCGGCGCCCATCTGTCGCCTAGCCGCGACCATCCAAGGGTGCTTCAGCAACTTCTTCGCAGATATACGCAAGTTCGCGTCCTTCTGGAAGCAGTGCTCGAGGAAGTTCCTGACGATGGGCGACGCGCCCTCTGGAATCGGAGGGCAGTCGTCTTGGACGATGCGGAACAATGCGGGCATCGGGTCAAGGAAGTGGTACGGAGGCCTGCCCTCCAGGAGCTCTATCACCGTAGCACCTACGCTCCTGCAACGAATTTGGTACACAGTTGAATGTGTAAGGATAGGACTGACCAGATGTCCGACGCAGTGGTAGCCCCCGACTGTTCGATGACTTCCGGTGCCACTATTTACGAGATTGCGTTCGGTAATGCATTAGATGTACTATTTGAATACTTACTCCAGTAAGGACTCCCCACCACGGTAGCGTCACTGACTACCCCTGGAGTCGCTTTAGCAGCGACACCAAAGTCAGCCAACTTGACACAACCATCCTTGTTTGTGAGGATATTAGCGCCCTTGATGTCGCGATGGATGACACCTTGGTCGTGTAGATATACCAGCCCTTCGAGGACTTGGGATATGTACACGGCTACAAGGTTCTCCGGAAACTTTCCGAACCGCTTGCATATATTGTGAAGTGATCCGTTCTCGCAGAACCTGATTGTAAATTAGTAGAGCGAACCTGAGGCGTTCCGAAGATCGCGTACTCGAGGATTATGTAGAGATACTCCCGTTCTTTCTTGAAACCCTTGTACTTCACAATGTTCGGATGCTATGCACGCATTCAGCAACGAGCAGCTACTGGAATCATCAAGCCTCACATCGAGATTCTTCAGTAGGTCGATCTCGGACTGTCCACCGTCCGATCAGTACTTCAGCCTAGGACCCTGGTGCAACAATCGAGCATACCATAATCTCTCCGATCTCGCCCTTCGGAATATTGCTCAGCTGGATCTCCTTGATTGCTACAGTCTCCCCGGTCGCCCAATTCAGCGCTCCTACAGAGTCCCCTATGGTCACACCCATAACAGAATAAGACATATTCCAGATTCACGCACGATACACTTGTCCGAAAGCGCCTTTGCCCAGGCAATCTCCTAATTGCTAAGTATCACTCAGCTATCACAGACGCATATACTCCTTGGTGTCCTCTCACATAGTCCCCTAGGTTCTTGGAACTCCCGCTACTTGACGTGGAGCCCGTGAGTGCAGGCATGGTGGGCTCCTAACGTCCGACCCAGTTTCGGCTAGTCTCAAGCTGCAGACAGTGTATACAGGAAAACCAAAGGAATAGCCACGGCCTGAACGCGCTTACACGTCGTCAACGTCGCGTCCGGCGCCGACAGTGGTAGTCAACGTTCAACGGTGGCATCCAAAGCTGAGCCTGAGTGCAGTGGGCGGACTTTGCCGCTGGAGCCTTTCGGACCTTCTTTGCTGAAGACGCCCATTGACGCGTTGCCATCCATTCTTGGCTCGGTTTCCGGTGTCGCTACATGGGTCGGATTATCAGGTCTGCTGAACTGATTATCTTCTTCGATTCTGGCGCTGTCGACCAGGCAGGAGAGGGGAAGTGTACTGCTTTTTTCTGGCTTGTTCGACGACGGCGGGCCCAAGTGCCACCAGAGCAAGAGGGCCAATTCTAAGACGATTTATCAACGCTTGAAGCCCTACACCCTGTGTGGCCGCAATGTCGGAGGTCTAAGGCATATACAGACTCTGCCCGATCTCCGAGGAATACGTGCGAGTGCGCTAGGCCTTAGCAGTGCTGGGCATTCGGACCTTAGTGTCAAGAAACAGAATGATTTCCGATCGCCATTATTGCAGGAGTACCCGACTCCCGTACGTCTTTAAACAGTAGGACCAGGCAGACCAGCGCCGTCGGACAAAGTCGAAGTATTTACGAATAAGTTATACTGGGGAAAGTACGTTATGCGGGTTCCTCTTCTGCTCCCAATCCATTATCGAGTTCCGATAGCCCTTGCTCACCAAGGATTCGGCGAGCGTTCTCTAAGGTTGTGGCCTTCAATTCCTCCAACTCCTGGAATATCCGGTCCAGTCTCTCTTCCAAAAGCTCGTTGGAACGCTCCAAAACATCCATGTAGTCCGCGGCTGTCATCGCGCCGGTCGTTAGACTTGAACATGTTCTGGTCCATAGCGCCACGCACCATTGTTCAGTACGACCGCCTCGTCGTCGGCTTGTAACTCGGGTGGTAAAGCATCTCGCAGCTTGTATATGCTAACTTGCTCTTCGATGTAATAGTCGATATTGTCTTGTAAGTAATCCGAATCGTCGATGATGTCTCTTATACGGGAGCAGAGCTGATCAGGTAAAGCAGGATATGCTTCAGTCTTATACTGCAATCTGTGATCTGCCACAATCTGACTCACCTGTCTGCAGTTCACCATCTCTGGAACTTCCAAATGCGAAAGTATCTCCTCTATCAATACGTCTGGGAGGGCCGGGAGACCCCTGTGTTCAGTCCTGTTGGAGGAAGAGGGAAGAGAGGCCATTAAATATGTAAGGTTTGATTCTGGCTTCGTGCATAATGAACTTCTTTCGCCGGCGGTGGCCAGTGCAGAGCGTGCCGCCACAATGCGACGAGCGGATAATGGCCGAAGGGGGAGGAAGGAGAAAGACGCGGATTAAGGTCAAAGGTCCCTTTATCGGATCGTCATGAGACAGGCAAGTTCCTCCGTCAAGTTGAAACGCCACCAGGATTGTTGGCCTTCATTCATGTTTCCTTTTCGGTAGCCCTGGGCGCTGGTGCTGGCTATGGTCGGTCATAGGGGATTGAGGCGCGGCTGGTCTAGGGCGTGGAAGAAGTCCGTTGGTTTCCTTTCGGGTGTTTCCTGTGAATGAGCGTGAGCGGAACTTTGAGGCTCAATGGCATGCCGCAAATGAAGCCGAAGGCGTTCGCACAGCTCTAGCTTACACGCCTCTCCCAATCGCGCATCACGTGTCTATTTCTGGTGCGTCGGTGCACTGCTTTGTCTTTGTTCGCAGTTCTCAGCGGCGATGGACAGTTGTACTCCACCGGATTCCTGAGACGGCGGTCCACGGACTCTGCTGGATGCGAAATCGTTCCGAACAGCATGTGGTGCTTCCGCTGATTCACAGCTCAATCGGAGGCGAAAGGTACCATGTCTCCTATGTACGCGCGCCCCTGAAATTTCAGCCAAGGGCGCGTGTCGTCTGAGCTATGGTATCTTATTGTCTCTTGCATGCTATTCTTGCATCTTTGGGTATACTCTCTACGTCAGTTCTCGCTGAACGGCGCAAATCCCCCCCCCCGATTCTATCCCTTGCTGACAGTCCCGCAAGCTAAACTCGATCCGCACGCCGTACTTGATCTGCTCGAGCGCGCTTGTTTGTCACGACCCTGCTTATCGCCACCTACTGCCAATCTTCTTCTCGGACCCTGGTAGTCTCTGTTCCTCTCCTGTACTTTGAAAGACTTCCATGTCTCGTGCACTCCGTTGAATGAAGGGTACGCCGGTGCTGCGCGCTCGTCGGTGAAGGGGAGATTTACGTTTCTATACCTTGGGTAAGGTGCCGTCTCGTTCTTATTGGACACCGAACGGGGGGGTTGTCCCCTCTCGCTGGCTTCCGACGACCACGACCCCCCGTCAAACGGCCATCCCGTGTTCTGCTCCCTTGATCCGCGATCGTCGCTGTGAGCCCAATTTGAGCAGCGGTTATGCTTTGCGTAATGGCTTCTGTGCGAACTCGGGCAGATTGTGCCACTCACTAAGTAGGCCCACGCATGCTTGTCTATGTATTTGTAGAGGATTTGTGTGTCCATATGTACGCGTCACGGTGTCCAGATTAGAGTCCGAGGCATTCACGTGCAAGACATACAGTCAACGTCGACGTCCTGCTCTCCGAGCCTCTTGTTGGGAGAGACAGTGAGCTAGCTATGTGGGCGATTGGTTTATTCTTTCTGCTGGCCGAAACAGCTTTCTGTCTAGATATCTTGTCTCCCCCAAAGCCATACGAACTTGTCGTCCATCACGATGGCCACTCTCATAGCTGCTCATTCTTGTCATTCCGAGAGACTCAACTGCACAAGGGATTGAAAAATGAACCTGGAAGCTATTCAGTCGAAAGGTTGCCAGACAGGCACGTCCCGCTGGAAGGGAGCAGGAGCCATAGCGAACCCTTGGGTGAAGAACGACTACGCTTCTTCAGCTATGACAAGGATGTGCTATGGTTGCAAGCAAGACGTCTATGCGGACATGAAAGCTCATGGGAGCATACAGTATTCCTGGAAGACAGTGATATTTCGGAGCTCGCCCTTGGCCAGGAGGTTCTCTCAGCCGAGAGTAGACCCCGAATTGCAGATTTCCACGCAGTTTCGCCTCCGTTGACTATACAGCCCCTCATTCTATCTGGAAAGTCAGCGAACAGGATTGACCTGGTCTTTTTCGCGGACGGATGTACGTATCACACGATTGAGTTGGGCGAAACCTCATGTCCTCTTAGACACTGCGGAGGAACGTCCAAAGTTTCTCGAAGACGCAAGACGGCTAGCTCAGGATATTTCATCAAACCAAACGTTCAACACGGTGAAGCCGCTGATGAACTTCTGGGCAGCCTTCACACCCAGTGTAGAGGTAGGTTATGTTATTTGCCAGGGTGACTATATCTGAGCCCCCCCTCCGGTCTATCATACTCAGAGCGGTATTGGCGTCGGAGGGAAGCCTAAGAAGTAGGCTGCACACATTACGAGCGGTGATTCGGACTCTAAATCGTGAATGCAGTACTGCGTTTGGCCTGTACCGCGATGGAACAGAGCTGCGAGGCGTGTATTACAGTAAGCCGGATGAAGCTAGCGCCGCGTGCTTCTCCATGGGCGACAGGTGCGATTATCCTATTTTAATGGGTGAGTACATCAAACCTGTGTATCTGGCAGACACTCATGCATGATGCCTTATTACATCAGGGAACGATCCGTTATACGGAGGTCAGTTTCACGTGTCACTAGCCTCTTCAGCATCTCAATGGCAATTATGACTGAAGGCTTAGGAGGGGACTTCACGTTCGTATGGTCAATTTACATGGGCGCATGGTGGTATGATGATCGTACAACAGGGTTATCACGCCATCCCTAGCGAATGGTGCGTTGGTTTTGAGGTAAAGTAGCCATTTTCTGTTAATGGTCTTCTCCTGACGAGCATTGCCGGCTAAAGACATGAACTCGGTCACTCCATCATCGACGTCGGGGAAGAGTACGATGGCGGCTACGCGTACTTTGGCGTCAACGCCGTGCAGGATCTCTCTTCCGATTTACCATGGAAGCAATGGCTCAGCGAACCTCTCTCTGATTCTCCCCGAGTGGAGCGCTCGGTCATGCCGATGCAGAACTACGCCTGGACGATGCTGAACACTTCCGAGCCGTGGTCGGTGACGTTCAACTCTTCCGGAATGTATGATAGGTATTTGCTGCGGTTCTCGCTATCTGGCGTTCCGGAGAAACAAGCCCTTAGCGTCGAGTTCGACGATCAGGATTTGGGATGGACGCCGAGGAAGGATATTGGCGTGGACCGGTGGCATTATGATATTCACAAGTCCGCTGCACTGGAGGAGGGTCTCCATCAGGTGAAGTTCACTTTGAAGGACTCTGCGCTGGAGGGAACTGCGCAACTGTGCAGTGTTGAGGTCTTGGAGTTCGGAACGGAGAAAGAGTGGGCCATCAGTTCTATCTCATTCGAGGCGAATGCTGAACCCGGCTCAGATTTAATTCTACTCCAGCGTACTACGGGCTCTTCCCGACGTAAGTCGTTCGCATACCCTACGTCGTAGGATCTCACCGAAAAAGTTTGCAGCTTCTCGGAACAGAATGAGACTACGTACCGCCCTACAAACGAAGATTGCCTGATGCGACAGGTGACCACACCCAACTTCTGTTCGGTCTGCAGGGAAGGACTGTGGCGGTCCTTGCTACGCCGCGTCCATCTCGTGGATGACGTGTACACCGGGTGTGCGCAGGATGCATCTACAGGCAAGTGGACGAGGACTATCGAGCTGTACCTTGTTCCTCTCGCGCAATTCCGGAGGGATCCGGTTACTCCTCAGGAAAGCTACGCGGTGACATGGTCGAAGGGAGGCCAGATCCTTGAAGAGTTTACGAACAGGACGAGTATCGTGGTTGATGATGAGGTGGGTGTCACGTATGACATATCCGTCGAGTTTTCGACGGAAGAGGTGCGGACGGATAGGGATGGGTATTTGAAAGCTTCTGGGGAGTTGACCCTGTCGAGCAAATGTGATGGGTAGGGCCGCACTCCTGACTTGTATTATAAGTGTACATGTTCGTCTTGTATGCGAATGAAAAAATCAAAGAGATCCATCTTTGTGCCTCCTCCTCCAGCTGCCTCTCGTTTCTGCCTCTCTCTCTCTCCTCAGCGTCTCCTGCCATCGTTTTAAGCCAGACTACGAGGTGCCTTGACATTTACTACAGCCAGCCACTATCACCCAAATTTGGTAAGCTTAGGAACCGGGAACTACGGGCGCTTGGGCTTCTTTGCAACGCTCGCTGTTGCAGCCGCTCTGTATGCTGGCTATCTCGTACTTGTGTTTTCTGACCGAATCGCCCTAGCCATTCCTTATCCTTGCCTTCGCCATCTTCACTTTTCCACCGTTATAGGGAGTGATCGGTTTCTTTCATGGCTGCCTTGACAGCTACGGCGCAATCTGCGTTACATCCAGGACCATCATGGGACGAGACGATCGTGCCAACATTACGCAAACGTATGTTCTTATCAGGAGATGCATATGTTTATATTCCAACGAAGATATAGGTCTCGAGCAGGAGAGCCGCATGTTGTCGAACCGGCTCTCCCAGGCCTCACTGGGTGACGATGGGTACGACCAGAATTTTTATCAATATTCATCTCCTTCGGCCAGCCCGACGCCTTCGCCGCGACCGAGCGCGATTCCGCGCCCAAGTTTATCGCAGTCGCGCCCTTCCGAAGGCAGCAGCCACACCACGTCGTCGACCCGGCCGGCGCACTTCAAACGAGCTCGGACGCAGTCCACGCCGTACGTCTACGACGGTCTCCCTGCAGGCTCCTCACCATCTCCGTCTCCCGATTTGGGCCGCTCAAGATCACCCGCTGTGAACGGTCGCCCGACTCGAATACCGGTGTCTCCACGCGCGCGGAGCCCGAGCGCGGCCAGCCATTTTTCTTCCAGCACCGCGGACGCGAACGCGAACGCGACCGCGAATTTGACGCCAAAGCCAAACGGGTACCACATGTCCGCTGTTGACGAGGCGTCACGGTCGACCGTGGATATCCCGTCGAAGCAGTCGTCGTCGGGGATACTGAACGAGCAGCCGCCTTTCGCGACGGCGAGCTCGGTGACATCGTCGTCGCTGCTACCAGATCAGGCGTCAGGGCGGTCGTCGATGGACTCGGAGGAGCACCCGTACGAGCACTGGTATCGCGGGGACTACTCGCGGAATGGGGGCGTCGGCGAGTTGCGGGTCGGGAAGCGGATGGAGATGCTTGAGATTGCGAGCTACGGGCACTCGTTGCGGAAGATGCCCGAGAAAGCCTCGGGCTATGTGTCCGGGAGGACATCACGCGCGGATTCGGAAGTGACGATGGGCGGCCGGACTAGGAGGCGGGCAGAGAGTTTTGGTGCGCGAGGCAGTCTGTACATCGATGAGGATGCGGAGGCTCAGCAGACGGGTATGGTGCTGGACGAGCATCCACTGACGGATCTCGACGGTGAGGACGACTTCAGCGTGGAAGGCGGTGTAGCCTCCAGCTCGCATGCTTCTCATCCCCTCGCAGAGGACAAAACGCATACCGCCCGCCTACAAGCGCAGACAAGCACCCCGTCCCGTATACCTGCTAGACGGCAGCAGACCGAGCCTCCCAAGACACCTACTCTAAATGGTACTCGCAACACTGCTGGGACATCAACTCTAGCTTCGTCTTCCACAACGCAACTTAATACCCCTCGCACCCGCCCATCCCCCTCTGCATCTCCCACTTCCACGCGCCAGCGCACAGTCTCCGCTACCACTCCCAACGCGAAGCGGCGTGCAAAGAGTCCTGCGACTTCGACTCCCACATCCTCTGCAAAGAAGCCCAAGACAAAGACACCCCCTCGGAATCTCAGGCAGGATGACAAAAGGGGATCTATCGCAGAGTATCCCATTCCGAAGGATGGGGACGACGATATGGCAGATGCTATCCCCGTGTGGACGCAGCCGAAGGCGAAGGGTAATTGGGATGAGGTGAGTGGCTGTTCCATGTGATTGACGGTATCGATATTTGCCACTTCGAATGACGTGAATTACTATGTATATACTGATCTTCGTCCTTCGGCATAGGTCGTTCTACCAGTCGTGGCTCGTAAGAAGGGGTTGCACGGTCTGTATGAAGAGGCGGATGGGAACACCCCGCAAAGGAAGCCAGAAGAGCAAGAACCCGCTCCCGTAAGTTACTCTGGCACGGTTACGTATGTTGTAAAAGGCTCTCAGCGGATCTCACCTAGGCTCCCGGGACATTTGGCTTTGACTACTCGAAGTACAAGCCTCCTCGTACGGATCTTGGCGCCGAAGACATCCCCATGGACGAATTCGGGCAACATCGTGATAAGCAACGTCAGGGTGCAGATCAAGGCGACTGGTACGGCGAGCCGTGGCCAGGGCACGATCGAGAAGACGATCGACCGCTTCCTACCACTACACATGTGAACCTTGACGAGGATCTAGAGAGGGAACGCGCACAGATGCGGCTCAATCCGCCCCGCCATTCCGAATCACCTGTACCTTTTGCTCGCTATCACTCCCCCAATCCAGACGCTGTGTCTGCGAATGGAAATATCCCCCAGATGCAAGTCTCTGCCGAGGTTCAGAACGAGAAACGGCGGAGACAGCAGGAAGAAGAGGACGAGGCCAAGGGAGGCTGTTGCAAGTGCGTCATAATGTGATCTCCGCGGTGACATATCGGTTAGTCGGTCGGTCGGTCTGGAGTAGTTTCGTTTTGCCTTTGGTCTTGCTGCTTTGTCATTGTCATGACTTCTCATGTTCACTGTAACATATCTTGCTCACCAGCGCGCCCTTCGTTCGTCGTATGCTCTGCGGTCTGATCTGCTTCTTACATGTCACAGTATCGCGTCTTATCCTCCCTTCACCTGGCGGCTTCGCCGTCCTCCTTGCTCCTGTCTCATTGGACAGTTATGATTTCATTTACGGTTTCCCTTTGCACCATTGTTTCACTCACGATATATATATTGTACTATACGGGTGCACGTATGTTCTCAGTATATTTAATCCTCGGAATAGTTTAGGCTCGTTTATTCAATCTGCAATCAAGGTTCCTCTTGCTCGTATCTGTGGGTATCCGCTTTATGCACTTACATCAATAGACGAAACATGCAGCAGAGGAGACGAGCTACCGGGAGCTGCACCATACTGAATCAAACCATAGTTCCTGTGCAGTCATTCGACGAAGAGAGGACTGTGGCGATCTCAGAACTGGGACGCCACACACAGCGGGCAAGCACCAATATCCCGCCACCGGACATTCGTCATTCATGAAATAGGTGGGAGAACACTTTCCTTGCATGCTCCGAAGTGGGACTTTGCAGAGACATAAAGAATGAGAGAAGAATGCCAATCAAATGTCCCCTGCTTTTTAGAGAGCATAGTAAATGTCCCGCAGACCTGCCTTTGTTCATTCAAAGGACATTCTCCATGTCCAGGTCATGGTCCAACAAAGACCATTCTAGGAAAGTGTTCTCCCGACTGGGGCATGTTCATAGCATGCTCGCCGGTGGGACATCGGTCTCTGCCCGCAGTGACAACGACCCGCCATGCAATGTGGCTGTGGCACCGGCACAACGTAGTGCCGCAGACATTCCCATGTGCCGGTGCGAGGTGCCGTTTACAACGACATACAACTCGCACCCTCTTTCTTGCCTATGGCTTCGAAGAATTCGCCTGCAATGGTTGCGCGAGAATTTTGAATACATGGCTGCCCTTGCTATCGGTCGAATGTCGGTAATAGTAAGTCGAAGATCGGACCATGCATGGCGGCGGCTTCTTCGCGGAGGTGAAGCCGATATCATCGTACATCCGGCGACAAGAAGGAACGTCTAGTTCAGCATTCGTCTCAGAATTTCAGCAGGTATTCGCTACGGTTGGAAAGCCACCATGCGGTCTTCTGCTGTAAATTTTACTTCAGAAGATATATCCGGACCACGGCTACTTACCTGGGCGTCTTCAAAGAAGTGCCCTCAACCGTGCTCCACGCTTTGATGCGATTATGTATGTCCTCTCCGATCTTCAACTGGTGCGTCATCCTGAACTGTATGGGATCAACGCAGAGCATTTGGAACAGTATATAACGGGTGGGAGTCGCTCGACTCCAATGTGCGACATCTGCTGTCTGCTGCCCCTTCATCGGAGTGGATACCTCGCGAAACTGCAGCTGCTACTTTAACCTGTCCTCGTCCATACCCTAACGATGAGTCAGACACAACCGTTTAGGCAGGATCTCACGCCTACCACCCGTAGCGAAAGGACTGCTGTTTCTGGACCTCCTAGCGTCGACGAGAAGGCAGACCACAAAGACGCTTTGCCAAAGCCGAGGAAGGTGTACAGTGGCGACGAAGATGAGAAGGGCGCGCAAGAAGATCGGAATGAGCAGGCCGACATGGGTAGCATCGAACGAGGGACCGTCCACGAACGGCATACGCTACCTGACGGCAGGATGGTGCTCTCGGAAGGCGAGGCATACGACAAGCTCGGGTTCACTTTCCCCACTTGGAAGAAGTGGACGATTCTCTCTGTCATATTTGCTGTACAGTGCTCCATGAACTTCAACGCATCTGTGTACGCAAATGCTGTACCGCTTTTGGCGGAAGAGTTCTCCATCAGCGAGCAGGTGCGTAGACTTATCAATTCGTGATTGCGGTGCTAAGAGGGACTTGTCAGGCTGCGCGGGTAGGCCAGTTGGTGTTCCTCATATCCTATGCCTTCGGGTGTGAGCTTTGGGCGCCATGGTCCGAAGAGCTCGGGCGCAGGCCCATCCTGCAACTCAGTTTACTCTTCGTGAATAGTATGTGCACATGATCCATGACCCTCTACACGGCACGAATCCTTATCTCCGTTCTAGTCTGGCAGATACCATGCGCCTTAGCCCCGAACTTCGCTACCATCGTAGTGGGTCGCTTCCTCGGCGGCATCTCATCGGCAGGAGGTTCCGTTACTCTGGGAATGGGTACGTTTTCTTACTGTGACGCCGGTCAACAAACCGTAAATAACTAACCTTTGCACTATCAAGTTGCCGATATGTGGACCGCGGAAGAGCAGCAGTTCGCAGTTGCCTTTGTCGTCTTTTCTTCGGTCGGCGGATCCGTCCTCGGTCCTATCTTTGGTGGCTTCATCCAAGAATATCTGTCATGGCACTGGAATGTCTGTAGCGCCGTGTGCACCGGTCGTAGAGTCGTCGAGGCTGACTACCACTCCTCTAGTTCTGGATCCAGCTTATGTTCGGCGCCGCAGTCCAAGCGATGCACTTCTTCATGGTCCCGGAGACTTGCACCATTGTCTTGCTCGACCGGGAGGCTAAGAGGCGTCGCGAGGCTGGCGAGAAGAACATCTACGGCCCTTCTGAGGTGAAGGAGAACCGCTTCTCTGCCAGGAAGATTGTCGCAATTTGGCTGCGTCCGGTATGTGTATCTACCTTTCTTCTTGTGTCGCTTGCCTCTGATCGCGGATCCTTTTAGTTCGAGATGTTCGTCCGCGAGCCGATCGTGCTGTGCCTGTCGCTTCTCAGTGGCTTCAGTGATGCTCTTATCTTCTCGTTCCTCCAGTCCTTCGGTCCTGTGTTCCAGCAGTGGGGCTTTGGCACGGTCACAGGTGGTCTCGCTTTCTGCTCGTGAGTCCGATCTTCAACATCTTGTTCGTATCATGACCTAAACCAATATTGCTCAGCATCGGAGTGGGATACATCATCGCCTACGCGTCCTTCATTCCCTGGATTTGGAAGCAGCGCAACCAGCTTCGTAAAGACCCTAACTCGCTTCAACCCGAAGCTCGCCTGTGGTGGCTCCTCTTCAGTGCGTATCCTTGTATGACCTCGGGAAACCCCCCTCACTGACGCTTATGGTGATTCTCCATAGCTGTTCCTCTCGAGCCCATCGGTTTGTTCGGTTTTGCTTGGACTAGTTTGGGCCCGCCTATTCCTTGGATCGCTCCGATGATTTTTGCCTGCATGATTGCCATTGCAAACGTATGTGGCGTGCTGTTCGCATACTATAACGAGGTTCTAACCGCTGTTTTAGTATGCTATCTACATGGCGACTATCGACTACATGGTTCAGGCCTATGGTCCCTATGCAGCTTCAGCTACGGGTGGTAACGGTTTTGCTCGAGATTTCCTTGCTGGTATCGCGGCGCTTTACTCAGTTCCGCGTGAGTCAAATTTATCTCCGGCTCGTATCATCAGCTCTGACTACTTCGCCCACTTCCAGTGTATCAGAACTTGGGGCCGCACTCGCTCGAGTGGGCGTCGACCCTTCTGGGCTTTCTCGGCGTCATTGTCGCGATCCCAGTGTACGTCTTCTACTGGTATGGCCCACAGATTCGTGCGCGATGCAAGTTTGCGCAGGCAGCGCGCGCCTCCGTCACAGGCGATGCGAAAGTGGCGGACCTGTATTGAACTACTGCTCCGAGTACTCCTCATGGAATATTTATGACCGACGAGACATCGTCATTTAATGTGTCTTTCCAGGCTATGTCTTTCTTCTTTCATCAGCTCATGACACCAATGCCCGACACGCGCATTCTGTTACACTCAACTGTCGCGATGAAACTTGTATCATAGTTCAACTTGTGTAGCTTACGCATACCCTTGTGCACCTGTATAATCAAGCGTACCTCAAGCATGGATCCAATGTTAAGGTGCAGCAATAGATTCGGTTATTTATCCGTTCTTTGAGGATCACTTGAAGTCTGGGACTAGGACTAGGGCTGCGGCTGCGACTGGGACTGCAAAGTACTATGATTTATCTTCAAACCTTCTTCGGGTGTCCGAAGGACAATCCATGACACATGTCAGGCTTGTATAGCCTGTGTCGCACAACGTGGGAGCACTTTGCCCACACAATCACAAATTGGCAGATACATAGAGGGGCGCGATTTAATCGTTGTTCCAATGGGACACCTTGGACGCTTCACGCTCGGACAGCCTACAATAGTAGGCACGCTTGGAATGCGTATGCCAAAATATATGAGAACGGCCTGCGGACTCGAGGAATCTGTATCAGCCTCCTATACCTAGGGAGAAATCAAGTCGAAAGACGAAGCCTCTCAGTCCCTCCCTTGTCCCCTATGATTCTGGCTTGGGATACTAAGAGCAGAATATAGACGAGGGGAAAGACTGAGAGTCTTCTTCGACCGACTTCCTTACCACTGCGAGTCGTACCTATATACTACCTCATTAACGAACGACTTAACAGTGGCTCGCTGATAGTGAAGGGCGCAGCCTGTCAGGAGCTTGCAAAACCTTCCTCTTTCCGGGTAACCTCCCAAACACGTTGCGAGCTTAACCGGTAAGAGGGAGGCGTAGCAGAAACTCACACTTCTGGGCTCCAATACCACTCAAGTAGCATGAGATACAAACTTCGCCCGCGAGTTGTATGAGTACCGGCGGGTCCTTACGGAAGACATGCATTGACCTTCATCAGGCTTCATCATGATGATGATGTTGTGGCCTACAAAGGTTACACGCCACCACTCGCAAACACAACCAAACTATGGGTCTGCACCTGGATCGAATTTTGTGTTAACCCTCTTCCAGGCTGCAGGCTTGTCTGGCGTCGTGCATCCTTCGCTCTCCCTCCTGCTCGATGTCTAACACGGAACTCATCGACGGGCATGTGTCATCTCTACAATGTAAGAAGGCGGTCAACGCCCTGCTAGGACATGCGTTGCAAATCCAGAAAAAGAAGGAGGAAAATGAGCTCCTGCCAGGGAAGGAGCAGCATGTCTGGTTGGTCGTAGCGGTGAAAAAGATGCAGCCAGAGAAGAAGTTGAAACCTCATAAGATGTGCGTGATTACACTTGCTGAACGCTGAGTTCTCCTGGAACGTTTGCACCGACAGACCTATCAAACACCCATTGGTCGACCCGCGTACAACGCCCGTATGTCTCATAACCAAGGACCCCCAGCGCGAATATAAAGACCTGTTAGAATCACACGGCATAAAGTTCATCTCGCGTGTGGTGGGCATTACGAAGCTGAAGGGTAAATTCAAGCCGTACGAGGCGCGGCGGCTGTTACTCCAGGAGAACGGACTTTTCCTTGCAGACGAGCGAGTCGTCCCACTACTACCCGGACTTTTAGGGAAGCGCTTCTTTGAAGCTAAGAAGTGAGTTCTTCCTCCTGCGTTTGTCTCTCCGTGTAAATATCAGATTGGCCTAGGCAACCCATACCTGTTTGTCTAACTCGCAAGGATCTGAAGGGTGAACTCGAACGGGCGATCTCATCGACGTACATGCACTTGAATCAGGGAACCTGCACGTGAGTATCTGCCACCTCGTGCTTCCTGCAGTCCTCCTCACTTTACGCAGGTCTATCAAGGTTGGTACGCTATCACAAAAACCAACCCAGATTCTGGACAACATCAAAACCGCCCTCCCTGCTATTATCAAGCGGATAAAGGGCGAGTGGGACAACATTCAGAGTCTTCACATCAAGACGAGCTCGAGCGTGAGTCTCCCGATATGGACGTGTGACCTAGGTGCCGAGGCAGGCGGGCGCTGGGATGGACTTGTCGCCGGTGAGAAGTCTGAAGCCGAGGCTAGTGGCTCGAGCGACGAGAGCGAAATGGAGGTAGATGAGGTGCTTCCCGAGGCGGCCACTAAGGGCAAGAAGAGGGCTGCAGAGCCCGCCCAAGGGGAGGAAGAGCAACCCAAAAAGAGGTCGAAGGGTACTGTCGCATCGGCGGCAAGTGCTGCCTCGGACAAGTCGAAACAGGCCGAGGTCGCTAGACCCGCTGCTGCCCAGGCTAACGATGTTACTCAAAAGCCCCAGAGGTCCAAGCCCGCCCCCCAGCCTACCCAGGAAGAGCCTGCCTCGTCCAAGGAAACGCCCGGTACCACTTTGAAGGGTTCACCTGCAATCTCGTCTTCGGCACCCACCTCCTCGGATTCCGTTCAAGTTCCTCCCCAGAAGAAGCCAAAGCGGAAGTCCAAGAATCAAGCACCTGAGGCCGTTACCCCGGTCCCATCTAGCTCTATCTCCGATCTACGTGCGTCCGAAGACTCCGTGGTTGTCGCGCCGACCAGCGGTGCTGAGGCGGACGTGGAATCAGCCCCAGAACTGTCTCTGAAACGCCGTAAGAAGAAGAGGAAGTCTGGGGCTGAAGACACGGAGGCGGCAGCTGCAAATGAGCAGCCGGCGAAGGAGTCGCAAGACCAAGCGCCCTCAGCGCAACCCTCGAATGCCGAAGCTGCCACACCCAAGCCGAAAAAGGAGCGGAAACTCAAACGTAAATCACGGACTGCGGAGACTCATACTACAGAGTCAGCTGTCCCCGATTCTGAGTCCCCGATTCCACCCGCCGTGTCAACCCCCATCGCTGAGAAGAAGAAGTCCCGCGCATTGGCCTCTGACTTCTTCGATCCTGAGGGCGTCACTGCTACTCCGAGCACGGGGGTCCCAGCCCCGCCTGTCAACACCCCTGCGACGCTGGGCGATCCCACCAAGAAGAAGAAGCGGAGGAAGTCGAAGGCTGAACACTCCACGCCTGTCGATGCGCCGAAGCTTGCAGAAGCTCTGTCTGAAGAGGCGAAGACGCCTGAACTTCCGAAAGCGACAGCTAGCGCCGTCTCGGAGGATGCTGAGAAGGCGGCATCGACGCCGTCGACTAACGAGGGCAAGCCTAGGAAGCGAAGGAAGTCTAGAGCTGAGAAGAGAGAGGCTTTGGCTTCGAAGGATGCTGTTGTGTCTGTCGCAGATGCGGATGCGACGGATGCCAGTGCTGCTGAGAAGACATCGACGTCGACGCCGTCTCAGGAGGAGATGAAGCAAAAGCGCAAGGAGAGGAAGAAGGATAAAGTTGTGAAGGGGAAGCCAGGGAAGAGTGCGAAGGAAGAAATCATAGGGAAAAAGGCTTCCCTATCGTAGTACTTGCTGTATCTTCCCAGTCCATCCATCTTGGTGCCTCAGGTTTGTGGCGACGAATGTACGCGACTGCGGGTCTCGTGACTAACAGTATTGGTCACGTTCCACCGGATCCGGCTAAGCAAATAGCCGACTAAGTTCAATGCCCGTTGCATTCTGTGCCACTGAGATACTAATAGTAACCTCGAGTTTCCAGCCTTGTCAGCTTTGCTACTAGCAGATCAAGGGGGAGAATTCATGGCCCAGAGTATACCGAAGAAAATTCATATACCCCATACCGAGGTAGAGGGGTGCTCGATCACCGGGGTTCTTCAGCAATGGCAACCCGACCAGCCAACGCAGGGCAAGAGCATAGCGCTGGTATGTACTGGAACGTAATCCGAGAGGATCAATGGATTAAGATAACTTGCACAGATCTTACACGGAACAATGGGGTGAAACGGCTTCTAGCTCCGTGTCTCGCATGTCTGTACCCATTTCATGGACTTTAGGCACAAAGACTACCTTTACCAGAAACGGCTGGCGCATCGCCTCCCCTTTGACTCTTTCCGTTTTGACTTCCGGTAAGGTCACCGTGTATTCCCTGTCCAGACAGTGCCGACGCCGTCGCCATTTTTTTGCAGCGGTAATCATGAGACCCCCGGTATATGGCGACAAGGGGCACTTGGAGATGACGTCGTGGATTTGCAAGTCGTAGTCAGATACCTGGTTTCGACCTACGGGTACAAGATCGATTTGGTGGTGGGTCATTCCCGCGGCAGCATCGTCGCGTTCCACTGGCTCTGCACTTCCGAAGAGGGGAAGACGGTGACGGGGTTCGTCAATGCATCAGGGCGATACAGAATGCATGTGCGTGCCTACTCTTCACGGAGGGTGCTGTGGTCTCACCCCGACTCGAAAGAAAATTTACGGTGCGCATACCCACAGCATTGCAAATCCCATGATGCGCCGACGCTGATTCCACGACGTCAGACAACCTGCTACCGATCTACAAACCCGCGTTCGAGTCCCAGGGTTTCTACGAGTGGAGAGTCACCGTAGCGCGGAAGGAGGTAAATGCCAAAATATATCCTCACGACTTGGAAGCGTTCGCGCATTGGGACACGTCCATCGTATGGGACCGGTTCCCGTTGAGCACTCACGCTCTGTCCGTACATGGACTTAACGACAAGACTGTTCCGCCGTGAGTGACGCCATCTTTGCATAATGCATGCCCTGCTTAGCATGCTTCCCGTAGATATGATGCAACGATATACGCCCGAGCTCTGGGTACCCGGACGCCAGGCACGCATAATTTGTATCTCATGGAAGACGCCGACCACAATTTTACGGGTGTACGTCGCTATGGCTACTTTCGTGCCCTTGAATGCTTCGTAATAACTGACCCGAATACTTGCAGAGGCAGGACGATATAGTTGATACTATTCTGGAGTGGTGGCAGCTGTGCGAGCGCGGTGATTTGAAAACGGGTGTGTGGAGGACTGGTGTCCGAGGGAAACTGTGACCCAGTGGGTCGATCGACTGTTCCGGGACGCTATACATAGAGTGAGCTGACAGCGACCGCCGCCCTGGCCATATCCGTGAATTTACCGCAGTCAGAGTAGCTCTGCGCAGGCCCTATGCCACTCGGGGAAGTCGTCACTTAGCCTCCGTTGCTTAATGGGATAGGCACGACCTCCATGAGAAAAGACGGTGGCTACGATCATGCTTCCTGTTTCATGAGGGTGGAGGCCGTTGGGAGTCAGCTCGGGCCTCTTTCGCGTCCGTCCTCGCGATCATATTCTCTGAGGTTCTCTATGTATGTGTGGCCTTGATCGATGATACCATCAGCGCATTTCACCGTATCGGGCGTGGAAGGTGAGAATCAGGATACTATTGTTGTTGCTAATTTAGCTACATTCAGTTGCGCGGGGGTGCAGAGGGGAGGGGAGCGGGTGTGTACTTCTAGGGAGACAGGTCTACGGGGTAAGCTACAGGATGGGGAATCACAAGGTCGGTAATAAAAATATTAAAGCCACCGCGGTCGAGCGCTTATATTATCAGAATCCGAAAATGAAAGACAGATCTGAATCTCCTCCGAGGAATCCCTAGATCGCGATTTGGCTGCAGCCAAAATGAAGACGAATAAATACGTCGGCGGTTCGACAAAGGGTAGTCGCAGACTTGAGAACGATTGGGTTGGATTACGAAGGTGTAATTGAGCTTCAGCAGCGCTTGATGAAACTGGAACGAGACATGACAAGGTCAGGACATCATCTCGCAGGCGGGCAACTGAACGGTGACTCACCAATTAATGAAGTGCATCTCTTCAGATTATAGAATACGACGAGGTTGAAGGATTATTTGATTATGTGCACAGTATTGTAGGTTATATCGTAGGGCGCTGACAGAGTCCCGCGATGTCGGGACGGGGCTTAGAAGAATACTGCCCCAGTGCTGCTTGCGGTGCTGCGAATGGCACCTTGCGACGTGCTGCCGGTAGGGCGGGGCTTCTGGGGCGAGCTCATCGTAGTATGTGGGTGAGGATGAACGATAGTGTCAAGCTAGTGAATCGAGTCCGGGGTGACTTGAGTAGCTGGAGGAGATGATGGGGAGCTGTGAACATACCAGGGCCCCTTTATAGCTCTCGGGGGCGCAGCTCTGCATGATACAGAAACAGCAAGTGACAACACGTATCGCTCAAACGGGATAGCGGGACCGCCAAAGCTGCGCACGAGCGATGCCGTCCCACGGAAGCGTGTGTAGCACAACAGCCATTACCCAATTCACCGCTTTCTGGGTACGCGTGGCAGGCCGAGGACTCTGATACATGATGACACCTTCCTGAAGATTATCGAGCAGACCGTGGCAACGGGTTAGGCGCCAGGATGCAGTAGCCATCTCCGCGTCTAGTCGATTGTTTCATACGGAATGCAATGCGCTGACGCGAAGGAAGCACAGGCAGTGGTGGATCAGGTACGCCGCTGGATCCCAAGAGCCCTCAAGGCATGGAAGGAGAGATCCGTGATGGACGGATGGAGATAGCCTCAAGAACCTGTACGCAAAGAGTATCAGAACCTGATCTGCCCCGATTCCATGTCTCTCGACGGATGCATGAAGCTTGAGAAGGCGAACAGGGCACTATACCTGTCTGGAACATCGAACGCTCTTTGCAAGCCCGCGAAAGGAGATATCGGTCGAGAATTCAATTGTGCGTGGGACGCTGATCGGCAACGTCCACCTGGGCCAAACAGCTCGTGCTCAAGAATACGCGTACGTCTGCGCCCCTCTATCGACCAAGGTTAGTAATCTCGCGTTCGCAATTGCCTGACTCATGAATATTGATACGTGTCAAGGCCGTGATAGGCTTCTGGCATTAGTACGCAATGGAGGGGAATCAAGTCAGAATGGCAGTGACTCAAGTCGGGCAGTGACTAAGCTTTTTGATTCGAATTCGACGGTTTCAAGTCTTTTCTAGCATCTATCACGTAGCGCGATTTGCCCTCTCATTTAGGCTTCGTTGCACGATGCGGAAGGCGAGAGATGACGACTTCTGCCAGTGCAGGTTGCAGTCCGAGCAGGCTGGACTCGTACCTCAGCTCTCGATACCGTCCAGCTTCTCGCCGATGGAACTTCTTCGGCATATCGGAGGGTTTACGACCTTCAAACATGACGCCCACGACTTCAAGATACCTTAGAATCCGGGCTATCACCGTCCATCTCGGAGACTCCATACCCCCCCCCCCTCCATTAAGATTGACTGCCCTCGGCATCCGGGTGCCATAGAAATAAGGACGTGCATTACGATGCAGCGGGCATATGATGCCCGCTGCATTGGAATCCACTCCCTTCGGTATTGTTTCGTTGGCCTATCATTGTCCCCAACCACCGTGCCGTCTTCACGCTACAGCGACAAGGTATACTTATACCCAACTTACACCGGCTTCCGACCGCACTTCGCGGGAGCTTGTGGCGAACACGTTGCTTGGACGAATGGGAGACGGACTGCCGCGGGGTATGACCGTGGAGATCTTGGCTTCCTCCGCTTTTTTAATTGTCGAGGGCCACGGGACTCAGGCCATCCCGACGAATCGAGTACAGCCTCTTCGGTACCTGGCTATGCAAAGGCACAAAGCATCCGCATAAGAAACCGCCGCTCTCGGACCATGTGTACCCGTCTATCTATTGCGAAGCGGTTGCCCGATGCTACGTTCACGGGATGGCTCTTCCGCTATCGCACAGTCTCCGACTCACCGGGCGTCTATCTGGGTAATCGACGACTATGACGGGAGAAGCACGATCTATATATCGAAGTCTTGCATTGCAAGTCGTGCGACCACGTATGTCGAAATTGCAGGTACTGTATATTTCGGTTCTTAGACGGAGCAGGTGACGTTCGCTCTTCCTGGAACTGAAGATTGTTGGCAAATGGGGTGTCCTGTGCCCGGTCACATAGCGCCTGGACTTGTCATAGCAAGGGACGAATGATCATCAAGTCTTACCGTGAGTGTTAGGCAATACACTTCGAGGACGAATGCAATGACGTTGGCCCACCTCCAGGTACAAACAAGTACCAGTGATATATGTGTCGCCCTCACTTACATTACATGGGATACAGTCTGGGCTCGGCCGACGTCCCGCATACCACGCCACTCCTGGGAAGCAGATGGCGAAGTATAACCTACCTCGCACGGAGGTATTCTCGTCGGGGGATTGGCGCCCGGTGCTCTCACAGCAGCTCTGAGCGTCCTTGTACCCCTCCATTATTCTATTCCACGGACCCATCTGTTCCGCGCATCGAGATACATGTACATCCTGATCTCCTGATCCTCATCCGTTGTTCATTGTCCCAGGTTTCTTGCGCTCTCACAGCAGCTTTGCGTCTCCGAGTACCCTCCACGGACCCAACATCTCTCGTCCGTTCCGCGCATCGAGATACTGATCTCCTGATCCTGATCCATTGTCCATTGTTCCCCGTTCCCTTGCCTGGCAACAATTACCGCTCCGGCCACTTGAACATTCCCCGCGCGCATCTGTTCGCCATTCCAGGATGCATCTTCACGCCACCCATGACGGGAGAAGCAAGGCGGGTGGCCGCAGGTTATTGTTGGCCGCGCGCGGACGTCCTGTGTTACGGTGCATGACGCATCGCGCATCCCGCAAACCCGTCTCGCCGCGTTCGGGTCCACACGCATCCGACTCTAAGAGGCTTTTCCGGTTCGACGTACGACGGTGGGATGCTGAACGCCGGCCTGGTAGGGCGTTGTTACACTACGCGGAAGGTTTGATTCATTATGATTTCCCGCCTTCTACCCTCGCTTCACGAGGACTCGAGCCTTGATTCAGTGGTCGCGGCCAGAGCTCTGTGCTATTCCGCCGCGGCTGGGCCACGATGCATTTCAAGCACCGGAGACGCATAGAGACGAGCATCACTCCACGCCCTCTCATGCACCCCGCCGTTTCCGAAGCTGGACAGTCGACCGCGCGCGCGGATCACCGTCCCTTCACAAGTCGCAGCGCATGTCCGAGGCCCACGCCCGTACGCAGCCCATTTCCAGACACGGCGGCGGCGGCGGCGTTGCCTGCGATCGCCCCAGCCCCCGGGGCGAGACGCTGTCCCGTGTACACGCACGCTTTCCTCGCCCTCCCGGCCCCGGCGCATACCTCCAGCCGCCCGTCGTGCTCAAGAGCCCCTGGGCTCGGTGGCAAGTGCACGCTGCGTTTTCATGCCATCCGAGACCCAGCAGCATTCTGGACATGGAACACTCCAGCTGCAGAACACATTGCGGACGGTGCTGCAGACTTGCCGCTTGCCTGCCGTCCCGCTCGGTAAGGAACCACCCCGGGCACTGCTCCTCCGGCGCACGCGGCACGCACGCCCCCCCCCTCCCCCCCTAGGGCAACGCAGAGAGAGAGGGTGGGACCTGAAGGGCAGGACAAACAGGTGAGAGGCACGCACACAGCCCCCGTACCGTCCCATCATCCACGCGAGGCGTCTCGCTCCTAAGGCCTAGTCGGTAGTCACCAGCGAAGAGTCCGCCCGTTCCGCGTCGGCGCTCGGAATCTTAAGGCGCGCGTGTGTATGTGTATGTGTATGAGTATGTACCGCCCTGGAAGAGCGGGCCGCGTTCGATGCAGTCAGTGTACACTCGCATCCCGCAGGCAACACCGGTCCCGTCTGTATACTGAACACACCGCTCTTCTCTTCGCTTTGTTTTGTCTCCTGCTCCGCCACCGAACCATTCGCGCGTCCATTGCACTCCCCTTCCTCTCTTCCTATCCCCTTCTTCTCCTCCTCTCCTCCATACCCCACCCCACCCCTCCCCGCCCTACCCTCGCCGCCCGTACCATCCTACTCCGAATCGGTGATCTCGCATACAATCTTCCCACTACCCACCCGCGCGCAATCAGCCATCCACCGTGCACATAGAGAGACCAAAAAGAAAGAGAGCCATCCAACGTGCACATCGCATCCAGCGCATCCAGCGCATCCACCACATCCACTCCATCCAGCGCATCCACAGCATCCATCGTAAAAAAGAAAGAAAAAGCTCACCTGTTCGCGTTGCTCTCCATGCAGCGGTGCGCGTCCTGGATGCGCGTCCAGGGGTAGACCTGTGGGGGTGGTTAGCAGGGGGTAGGGAGGGGAGGGGAGGGGGAGGGGAAGGGGGGAGGGGGAAAGGGCAGGGGGGGGAGAGGGGAAGGGGAAAAGGGAAGGGGGGGCGGGAGGGGGGAGGAGGAAAGGGGAAAGGGAAAGGGAAAGGGGAGGGAAAGGGGAAAGGCAACGGCACCTTGTGGATGTAGGTGCGCACCGCGCCGGCGCCCTCTGCGCCGGATATCTTGTCGAGCAGGTCGCGTTTGAACCTGGGCGGTTCGGGTTAGTCTCGTGGCGCGGGTGGGGAAGCATGTGGATAACAGGGTGCAGAGATAAGAGGCAGGAGGAACGAGAGGAGGGTAAGGCGACACGGCGCTCACCTCTGCACCAAATCAACCTGGTACTCGAGCGAGCGCGCGCGGAGCGTCGAGCCCTGGATGCGGAGGCGCTTGTACAGGATGGGGACGAGGTCCACCTTGTCCACCTCCGCGCCTACGACGCACGACGTCAGTGCTGCAGGAATCAATAGTAAACCCAGACCCAAAGCCGAGTACTCACCGCTCAGCACCGCCAACATCACCATGCGCCCGTCCACGCCGAGACTGTCCACGTTCCCGGCCCAATGCGTGCGCCCCACAAAGTCGATCACGACGTCGACGCCGTTGCCGGCTGTGATGTTCTTGACCTCGTCGGCGAAGGACTGGGTCTTGTAGTTGACGGCGTGGGTGGCGCCGGCGGGGAGGGAGAGGACGTACTGGAGTTTTTCGGGGGTGGAGGCGGTGGCGATGATGTTTTTCCTGGGGTAGGGTTTGGGGTTAGTAGAGAGGGAGGGAGTGGGCAGGAGGGGAGACGTACGCGCCGTACGCGCGGGCGATCTGGATCGCGGCGAGCCCGACGCCGGACGCGCCGGCGTGCACGAGCACGCTCTCGCCGGGCTTGAGCTCCGCGATCGTGACGAGCGCTTGGTACGCGGTGAGGAAGTTCTCGGGGACGCTGGCTGCGTCGGCCCAGCTGAGGAGCGGCGGCTTGCGCAGGAGGAGCTGCGCGGGCACGGCGATGTACTCTGCGTACGCGCCCTGTCCGGCACGCGCGTCAACATCCAATCGCACTCAATCATCACACGCAAGTAAGCCAGGAACGCACGCACCCCGCCCGCGAGCCCGAAGACCTCGTCGCCCTCCTTCCACTCATGCACGCCCTCGCCCACGCCCGCGACGGTGCCGGAGAACTCGACGCCGAGGATGGCGGACGCGCCGGGCGGGACGGGGTACTTGCCCTCGCGCTGGTGGATGTCCATCCTGTTCAGGCCGAACGCGCGGACTCTGACGAGGACCTGCGCGCGGCCGGGGGCGGGGGTCGGCGTGGGCCCGATGTAGAGGTTCTCGAGGGGGCCTTTGGCGTCTTTGATCAGGACGGCGCGCATTTCTGCTGGGGGCATCGTTGCTGCTGGTGCGAGTGAAGAGATCTCGACATGGCTGCCCTTCTGGCCGGGAGTTTGCAAGACGCGATCGGAAGCCGGCGGGGGTATGACACCATCGCTCAGCGGTTCGGGCCGGAGAGTTACCGGGTGCCGTACCGGCGGTTTGATGCGCTGCAAGTTGCAGACGGCAGCGGGCACTCGCATTCATGTGTGCGCTATAGTAGTGGGAGTCAGAGTGGCGGATTCTGCTGCGATTCTGGATTGCGATTCCGCGCGTGATTCTGCGAGGCAGAATCGCGCCAGCGCAGAATCCTCCTGGGATCGCAGGAACTCCTCCAGAGGAGTTCCTGCACCTCAGAATCCCTCGACTTATCATGCTCCGCATAGTGTTTTGTAGTCTCGTATATAGAGTATAAGCTGATCTGAAATCTCTACTACTAGTTTGTATACATGACTACAAACTTGATCCCATCATCCGCTGTGACCCAAGTTGCTTTCTGTGTCGGAAAGGTCGATATCGGTAGACTCTCCTTCGGAGTCGAAGGGGACATCAGGGGACGGAACACCATGCGGGAGGCGGCGTGTTTGTCCACCACCGCGACTACGATGGCTATGCCATCTCAAGTGCTTGTGACGGGCGTTGCGAGCCCGTACAAATTTCAGGTATGCTTTTATCAGCTTCTTGGCTCGTGCAGGACGGGGCAGCAGGCGCTGCATGTTGAGCGAAAATTCCCGCTACCTGTGGTAGTGGGTTTTGGCATCCTTGATGTGGACAACTTACATAGTAGATTTACAAGATCGGGAGAAACCTGCCCTAAAGTCTCAAATAAGGGAAGTATGACATCAAAACATATCACAAAAGGAAACAGAGGGTGAATGGTATTGAATGTCGGCCCACTGACACAGTAGTGACAGGCAGAGGAACTTGAACACTCAGGCAAGAGGGATGCATAGAAGTGGCAGGACATTCGATTCATAAGGAGTGGTTGAGACCGGAGATTTGGAGCTTGAAGAACATGACTGCCTTGTTCAGTTCTGATATAAATTTCCGAGACTTGTGGTGATATGTTATACATGTCCTGGACCATAGGCCTATGAAATTATCAATACATTGCAGGAGGTTGAGGAGCCCCATTTGAAGCTGCTGTCTACACACAGTTCGAGTCAAAGGTAGCGGGTTCCGCTGTGCACGAGCGCGGCCCTGCGGCCTTATTTTTGGAATGGGACTCGGACTATCAAGTATATAGTAGCATGTATATATCGTTTGTAACTTGTCCTTCACGGTTGCAGTGTGAGAATCGACAGTCAGAATCACGCTGGTCAGAGTGACACAATGATTCTTGTGAGATTCTGGGCTGAAGAGGAGCTCAAAATCCTATGCAGAATCGCCGCAGAATCTCGCCAGAATCTGCCACTCTGACCTAGTATATACCTAGCTTGCCGCTTGCGTTCCGTGTAATTTGCTGCTATATTATTTGTTGAGTTTACAATGTGAAGAAATGTTTTCACCACCTTCACTGTGACGAATGCGCTCGGGTATACAGTGGCCGCAAAAAATATCCGGACACCGGCATTTGAGGATGGAAATTTTCTTCGGCGGGAAGGACTGCGACTCCTGTAAAGCTGAATGCGGGTTTATTAGAGGGTCAGAGGGTTTCTGTAACGCACATACCAGAAGGGGGCATATACAGCCTAATAAGGGAGATATGGGTGAATCAAGACATGGTCAGTGGAACACTCTGAAGAATCCTGGATACCAGCATGATAAGATGGGTGCTAGTTGAAACTATGCCTGCAATGCATAGTCTAATAGTCTACCTGAATGCTGCTGTAGCTATCAGGTCAAAGGGTATCCTGGTTGCTTCACAATAAATTCCCCAAAAATATTCCATAAAACCAGCAGTTGTAGTTTTCTGTATTCAGGCAAGCCAGCATCGAGTCCCCTTGGCCCCAGCTGATGTGATTTAATATCTCTCACGAGTGTGGATGACAATGGCTGGGTCATTGACTGCTCCCAGGGCCAATAAAGGCAGATTCACATTTTCACCCCTGAAATGATACATGTTTTCTATGATTTTTAGGGGATGCTAGTCATGCCCCACCCAGGATCCCTGGCTTGTATTCAGACCTTTTGATCATGGTCTCTCCAGCAGTAATATTGGATTGACTAGAAATTGTCTGGATCATGTTCTGTATACTGATCTTTCGAGGCCAAGGTCATGATGACCTGCCATTATGCATAAGTACCAGATATGGGAGTTTTACACCGCATTAGGGTGCACACCAGGGAGTGCGAGAGGAGGTCTACAGAACCCCTTATGAGCTTCACTTGAGACCAAGGTCTTCCCTCTGTACAGAATTTTCTTACCAGAGACCGCTGTCCGGATACTTTTTGCGGCCACTGTATACGGGCGCCCTTCCCCCTTTCCCCTTTTCCTTTCCCTCAGTCGTGTCGCATACGGCTGAGGTGAGTTTCATGCCCACACTACAATATTGATGTACCTGACAGCATGTACTAGATTCACTGTCACTAGGTACATACACTGCTATACATAGTCGTGTCGCATACGGCTGAGATTCACTGCCACTAGTTTCTACATTATTTGTGCTACTGTACCTTTTTTCCGTGCAACACTACTCTCCAGCCGTACTCCGCTTCACCCTTCCCGTGCTCTCACGCGGCACTCTCACGCCCCTACAATACACAGGGATACCGTCCTACGCAGCCCCCCCTCCCACCAGCTCCCTCATACCTCCCTCCCTCCCGACCCACCATGTCCTTCGCCGACGTCGAAACCGGCCTCGCCTCCGCGCGCTCCCTCTCTACGCCCTCCCACTCCCAGTCCAGCGAGGACGCCGAGTTCGCGCGGCTCCAGTCCGCGCTCAGCCTGCAGGTCTTCAAGATCAACGCGAACGTGCAGGGCATCTCCAAGCTCCTCGACCAGCTCGGCACCGGCCGGGATAGCGCCGCGCTGCGGAAGAGCCTGTGAGTGCCCTGTTGGTCGTGTGTGGTGGGAAGAGGGGAGATTGATGAACGAGGGACAGGCATGATTTGACGGAGACGACGCGCGCGATGGCCAAGCGCGGGTCGGACGACCTCAAGGAGCTCGCGAAGCTCGGCGCGAAGCTGGTGCGTGCGCCTCTACTCTGGCGCTCTAGCTCCTCTCAGCGCTAACTGTGATGGCTCCAGCCCCACCGCAAGACGCCCCTCCAGAAGACCTCGCACGACTTCCAGCTCTCCCTCGTCGCCTTCCAGCGCGCCCAGCAGCTCAGCGCCGAGCGCCAGCGCACGGTCGTCGAGGGCGTGAGGGTCCTCGCCGACGAGGAGCTCGGCGGCCCTTCGGAACCCTATCATGACCACGACCACGCACAACAACAGCAGCAGCAGCTCCTGCAGAGCACGCTCTCGCCCGCCGAGCTCGCGTACCAGGAGAGCCTGATCGAGGAGAGGCAGGCGGAGATACAGGAGATCGAGACCAGTATACACGAGCTCGCGGAGATATTCAAGGATCTGGGGACGGTCGTGGGCGAGCAGGGGGCGATGATCGGTGAGTGTCCGTTCTCTGCCTTCCTTCCTTCCTTCCTGCATGCCATGCCTCCGCGTTCGCGCCCATTTCGCTCTCACGCGTTTCGATACGCGCGCGCGTTCCTTCGCCGCCTTTTCTTTCCCCACCTTGTCCATTCCGTCTTTCCCCTTTTCCTACCCGCCTGTTCGTTCGGCACCGCTTCTTCGCCGCCCGTCCTTCCCCATCTCTATACCGCCTTTCGCGTCGCGGCCCCTTCCTTCCCGAACGTTTTCTTCCCCGCGCTCTCCCTTGGCTGCTTTTCCTTCGCCGCCGCTTCTCCTCGCCGCCGCTCTTTCGCGGCCGGTTCCCGCGCGACTTCCATCGTCCGCCTTTTCATTCGTCACCATCTCCTCCGCTGCCGCTTCCTTCCCCTCCCCACCGTCTCTCCAACTCGCCTCCCATTGATCCTCCTCATCACCGTCTTCACTAACACTCGTTCTCGCAGACAACATCGAGTCGAACATATCCTCCATCGCCGTCGACACCTCCGGCGCGGCCGAGGAGCTCACGACCGCGCACGCGTACCAGCGCAAGGCCGGCCGGCGCGCGCTGTGTTTGATGCTCGTGATTGTGGTGGTCGTTGCGGTGGTGCTGTTGGCTGTGCGTGAGCATTCCGTCTTTTGTCCCGCCCTTTTCCCGGGGCGCTGGGGCGGAATTGGGACTGACGCTGTTCGGATAGGTCTTGTCCTGAAGCTCGGTATACCCCTCCTCGAGTGTCTCTAACCTTGTGTGTGCGTGCGTGCGTGTCCCGCGGACTGGTGGTGGCGACGGATGGTCTGATGCTTATGTTGTCTCATATGTTTATGGTATAATCACGCTTGCGTAGATGCAGTGCTGTTTAATGTTATACTTATAATTTTGACCTGCCGGGCGGTTCGTTGGGTATGCTTCAGCTCTCAGATGGAGCTCAGGCTTGCAATCTCATTCGTGCTCAAGGGGATTGAGACAGGTGGCATTGAGTAGCGGCGAGTGTATCTGTTCATGTGATGTATGGAATGGACTGTACACGATGGCACTTTGGGAAGTCATAATGTCGAGTCAACCTCAACCAGGAGCAAGTGTGACTGGACGGCCTATATTTCCTCGAATCATACAGACAGCTTGAGATGAGTTCAGAGCTGCTATATGGGCAGCATCTACAGGTCCGACTGGAATCTGGATTTCAGGGAATGTGGCTCATTCTGACTATGTAAAGATTGGGATGATATGCATCAGAGTGGATACCCCTGGATAGCTAGCGTTAACAGTACATGCATGATGGATATAGGATGGAAGTCTATGACTATACAATCATTTCGCAATACATTTCACCCAATCCTCCCCATGCACAAAATTGTCCAAGTTCAGCCTGGTTTGGTGTGCACCGATGACAAATAGGGCATTTGGCCTCAGGAAACCCTTGCGGTGGACAGGAGGGATCCAGAGCAGGAGATCTCCACCGGGACTCCTCAGCCAACCAGTCTCATCCAGGATAGCAGTTCTCAGCAATACTGGCAATTGCAAGTGGATAGTCAGTAGTGCATCAATGACACTTTTAGTAGACTCACCTGAAGAGGGATCACTCCTGAGAGGTTCATGTGCTGGCTCTCCTGTCAGAGATTTCCACACCCTGACTGTGCTGTCCTCTGAGCCGGAGGCAATGTACTTGCCATCAGGGGAGAAGGCCACAGAACTGACCAGATCTCCGTGCCCTGTGAGAGGCTCACCCACTGGCTCTCTTGTCTGAGCATTCCACACCCTGATTGTCTTGTCATCTGAGCCAGAGGCAATGTACTTGCCATCAGGGGAGAAGGCCACAGAATTGACCAGATCTCCGTGCCCTGTGAGAGGCTCACCCACTGGCTCTCTTGTCTGAGCATTCCACACCCTGATTGTCTTGTCATCTGAGCCAGAGGCAATGTACTTGCCATCAGGGGAGAAGGCCACAGAATTGAGCAGATCTCCGTGCCCTGTGAGAGGCTCACCCACTGGCTCTCTTGTCTGAGCATTCCACACCCTGATTGTCTTGTCATCTGAGCCAGAGGCAATGTACTTGCCATCAGGGGAGAAGGCCACAGAATTGACCAGATCTCCGTGCCCTGTGAGAGGCTCACCCACTGGCTCTCCTGTCTGAGCATTCCACATCCTGATTGTCTTGTCCCATGAGCCAGAGGCAATGTACTTGCCATCAGGGGAGAAGGCCACAGAAGTGACCCCAAGTTCATGCCCTGTGAGAGGCTCACCCACTGGCTCTCCTGTTTGAGCATTCCACACCCTGATTGTCTTGTCATCTGAGCCAGAGGCAATGTACTTGCCATCAGGGGAGAAGGCCACAGAAGTGACCCAATTTTCATGCCCTGTGAGAGGCTCACCCACTGGCTCTCCTGTCTGAGCATTCCACACCCTGATTGTCTTGTCCCATGAGCCAGAGGCAATGTACTTGCCATCAGGGGAGATGGCCACAGAACTGACCCCAAGTTCATGCCCTGTGAGAGGTCCAACCACTGGCTCTCTTGTCTCAGCATTCCACACCCTGATTGTCTTGTCATGTGAGCCAGAGGCAATGTACTTGCCATCAGGGGAGAAGGCCACAGAATTGACCTGAGCTTCATGCCCTGTGAGAGGAACACCCACTGGCTCTCCTGTCTGAGCATTCCACACCCTGATTGTCTTGTCCCATGAGCCAGAGGCAATGTACTTGCCATCAGGGGAGATGGCCACAGAACTGACCCCAAGTTCATGCCCTGTGAGAGGTCCAACCACTGGCTCTCTTGTCTCA